TCATATTTACTGAGCAAAGCCTATTACTCACTAAACGATTACTTGAATGACGAGTGTGCATGGCAATAGTTGTTCATGCACTGAATTTTCATTTAATGTTAGACATAGACACCTATATAAATATACATTGTAAATAAACTGGCTTTAAAAAAAAAAGTAATTCAATTGAGTTTCTTGCCAGTTCTTCTCAATTGGATCTATATACCGAACTGGACGGTAGGGAAATAAATAAAATTATAATGTAAAAATTTGACGTTCATAAGCGGCTAAAATGTCCTACATGAATAAATGATTTTTGAATTTGAATTTGAATTTGAATTTATTATAGTTGGTAGCCGCCATTGATTGCTTTTTTTTTTAATCGTCATTCACTTTTAATGTCACACAGTCGTACAAGCGTATTTGCTTAGTGGTATATACAAGGATAGGACAGATACATCCAAATAGTCAACTTTTATAGCGGGAAATGGATTGTTAGTAAATAAAACAAATAGCTCCATTGCTAGCAATATACTCTCTTAGGTCCACCTCCACGCGGTTCCCTCTGAAAAAACCATCATGGTTAATTCTTGTTGAATTCATGATGGTGAGGCAACTGACCTGTATTCATTCTCACCTATCATCTTCCACTGGTGTCCCGCCGGTGCATACCGATAGCGCGGACGGGGTTACCATTTCCTTATCATCCATACAAAAAAAACTTATTATATTATAGTAAGTACTTTATTTTATTGTCAGTTTCGTGTATAATATAGTATATGTCATATATATGTAAGTATATTTGTTATTTATATATATTTATTCGTTTATATATGTAATTTTAGTATGTATGTATATCAATAATTACTAGTACCGCATTCGAGTATGCTGACACTTCCCTGTGGTTGACTGTTCCATTCAACCATTAAAAACAGTCGACTTTTACAAAGACTCCCTTTTATAAAAAACAAACCGGACTATAGGACACGTTCACGCCAATAAAAATCGAGCAACGCCACGATATACAACTAGTGAGTTATATAATCGGAGAGTAAAAAAAAATTGTTTATGCGCTAACGGTATACGCAGGGGGAGAAGGGATTCTTAGTAATGGGGAATACTAGCCCTATTGTTAGCAATATACCCTGTCAGGTCGACCTCCTCGTGGTTCCCCCTGGAAACCATCATGATTGATTTATTGTTAGATTCGTTACGGTAGGTTAACTGACCTGCATTCATTCTCACCTATCACCTTCCACTGGTGCCGCACCGGTGTATACCGATAGCGTGAGCGGGGAGGGGTTACCATTCCCTTTTCATCCATTAAAAAAAGTCGACGTTTACAAAGACTTGGTAAAACAAGTATCATCTTCCACTGGTGCCTCGTCGGTGTATACCGATAGCGTGAGCGGGGTTACCATTCCATTTTCACCCATTAAAAAAAGTCGACGTTTACAAAGACTCGCTTTGGTAAAACAAACCGGACTATAGGACACTTTTGCGCCAATAAAAATCGAGCAACGCCACGGTATACGACTAGTGAGTTATATAATGGGAGAGTAAAAAAAAATTATTTATGCAAACTGCCGTTCTGTTTTCATTATAAAATGTCAATAGGTAATTTACGATTTCCAATTGTTTTTGTTATGTAAATTATTAATTTACGTCAATAAATATTAAATTCAGCTGTGCACACTATGAACTTGATAGGAACAATGACTTTTTAAAATGATAACCTCATAATGATATTTTAATATACATATTTGGACACGATGTTTTTATACCTAAGACTAACTATACAAAATTCTGAATCATTCGGTGAGACAACCAGATGGTTGTTGTATTATAAGCCTGCTTGATTGTAGCCTACATTTCTAACTAGTACACCTAACGCGGCTTTGCCCGCATTAATCAATATATAATCCTAAATTGTAGATTAGGATATAACCTAATCGTGTACCAGATTTCTTTAAAATCCGTTCAGTATTTTTCCCATGAAATGGTTTTAATCTTTCTTTGCATGATTTTTTTTATTGGAATTTTTTGTAATAATATAAGGTGATACTAGTTCATGTTTAAGATTAAAGGAAAAATGGTAAAAAAAAAAAAATTGGACAGCTATATTTTTTCTAAGGAAAAAAGACAAATTATTAGAACTATTGAGGACAGAAGTGGAAAAATGTTAGGACACTTGATACGACACGACGAACTTATGAACATTATAATAGAAGGTAAGATAGAAGAAAGGAGGGGGAGAGGGAGACCGAGGCATAGTTACATCAGGCAGATCAAGGAAGGAGTTGGTGTCGTGTCGTATCAAGAGGTGAAGAGACTCGCTGAAAATCGTAGTGAGTGGCAAGAGCTCCACCGACAAGAGCGCAGCTCTTAAATAGGATAGATAGATAGATAGATAGATGTTTTTTTTTTATTCTGCAACAGACATTAAAACGGTATCCAGACACGATCAACTCAAAGTGAACTTGTTCTTTTACCAGAGGGAGACATTGTACAAAAGTCGATTGCTTGGGTACCTCTGTCCTATTCGTGTTTCAACCGTGAAGCAGTTATGTTTGCATGGCTGTGTTTCGGTTTGAAGGGTGGGATATGGCGTCAATTTACTGGGTACAGAGGAATAACACCTGAGTCCTCAGGAATGGCAACGCATGGAGGGTATCATGGGCGAAACAGTATCACGGGCAACAGATATCATCGATATCGGTCGGATATCTATTTTCGAATGTGTTAAAAGTCTGTTATTCAATATTTTTTTTTGGATAACAGACTTTCTACATATTCGTTATTTAGACCAGTATATAGGTATTACTATATATTAGCCACTCCTAATTACCTCATTAAGAATCATAATCATCATCATCACAGCTGTTAATTGTCCACTAGTGAACATAGCCTACCCTACCCTAAGGGTTTTGCCGGTAGTAGCCACGCTTGGCAGTCGAGTTGGCAACCGCAGTTGGCCTTGGGTGATGTTTAAAGAGGGACACTGCTGTCCATCTCTCGACCAATAAGTAACGTGAAAGGAAAGGGTGGCCCATTGTATACCGAGACTACACGGCAATTAAGAATTATTTATTTATTTATAGGATTACCAACATAAGATACAGCTAATCATTTCAATACAATACACTAGTAGATTGAATCTAACTGTTCTTACATTTATAGGCGACCACAGCGTGCCTTGTGTTTGATAAATATTAAAATATAATTAAATTATGTTTGTGAGTCTTTATTTTACTAGTTTTTACCTAGTTTTTACCGTAACTAGGATATGTTGACAGATTAAATTTAATATTTTAAAATAACATCCAATTCACATGAAAAGGTTTGCTGGAAGAAATCTCTTATTAGAGATAAGCTCGCCTTTGTACATTACGTTTAAAATGAATTGTGCTTAACATTATATTTTGTGTACAATAAAGAATAAGAATAAACGGTCCTTATTCATTTCAAATGCTCTTGTAATACTTTTCATAACAATTGATCGAACCTTTAAGGCAACATGTGAGACAAAAAACAAACTCACTTTCACATTTATAATATTATTGAAAAATATAAGAAATATATTAAATATTTTTTTAATTAATTCCTGTTATATTTACCATTCCATTTTTGTTCATAACAAGTCTGTTTAAAATATTTTTAATAATATGCTTTTATAATGTAATCCGCCATCTTGTGACTGCGGCAATTTTAAAATGGTGGCCAGAATAGCTATACTAATAGCCAGCTATGTACCAGCTTTGGAAAGAACAGTCACAGTTTAGCTATCAGTTGTCAACCTAGCCAGCTTTTGACGATATCCACAAGCGCCTGACTTTTGACGTTACACCGGAGTGTTAACTAATCGCCAACTACCTTCACTAGGCTTAGAATATTTCACCAATTACAATTGAAATTTCATATGCTACGCCAAATCATACGTTACTTCAACAACGCGCTTTATGTACAGTGCTACAATTCATTCTAATTTCAGCAGGAAAGTTATTACTACTTTTAATTTATTATTAATTAGTGAAATTATTATTTTTATTCACATGTATAAGACATATACAGAAGCACATTTTGTGACGAGACGTAGCAGAAAAATAAGTTACATGATCCAATATCGCAAATATTAAATTATTTATTTATTTATTCAAAGAACTATTTTGTTGTTACGATTACGTTAAGTAGATACATATATGTAGAAAAATCTCTTAATTCTATCAATAGCAATCTATGGATATTATCTAAATTCATTTATTAACAAGAGTAAGCGACTTTTATAATTTATAAACTTAAAGTTCATCGGTACGATTACCGTTGACACAACAAAATCTTCTTAACTTAATTCATAGATGACCACCATTACTGATAAAACTAAGAGATTATTTTGCTAATGCATATAGCTAACATAATAGCAAGTAAGGGATTGTTAGCAATGGAACGTAACAATTATATTACTAGTAGAAATTCACTATCAGATCTATCTAAACGCGGCTTCACTTGGAAACCATAGTGTTTAATTCTTGAGTACACCGCGTTGGGCTAACTTCCATTTTCATCTTCAAAATAATCAACATATAATAATAACTACAAAATACTTGATTGAATAAAAAAATAACAGAAATAAAATAAAAATTGCATCTTCTAACTTATATGTTACGGAGTTGAGGATCAAAGTCGATGTATTGCACCTGAACAATTACATAGTTAACGCTAAGCGTAACGCTATTGGACCTATTATAGTAATTCATTTATGTAACGCATGAATAACCAAATAGCTGGTTATTTAGCTGGCTATTACACCACAAACAACTGGCTTATTAAGTTATTACAATTTCGGCTAGTTTCCCATCACTATTTACTTTATGGATACTTACTTCTTAAACTCTTTCAATTGACAAAATTTTACTTAACTATAGGTCAAATATAATTAAGTTGTTTGTTTACAAACTAACAATTACTGCAAGTAAAATAAAATTTTGTAAAAAGGAACTTCTTGTTAGAGTGTACATATTTATTTTAAATCAAAAAATATATAAAATTTGTTATAAGTATATATTAATCTCGATAAAAATTAACCCTGATATTGTATATGAAACTTCCAGTGTTGCCAGATAGGGTATTTTTCCGTAACTTTGCTTAAAAAATTATGTATCATTGCGATATTTTCATAACATTAACTTGTTGTCGAATGTTTTGAAGAAGAATAAAATAGGTGTGGCACAATATGAATATTTTTTTTTCTTTTAGTTTTTGTAAACCGTGTATAAATTAATTATATAGCACATAACATAGTTAATACTCACAGAAGTTCATGATAGGGTAAAAGTAAAAGAAGTTTTATCGATTTGGAGAAAAATGTTATGACATATGTATAAAAATAAAATAATATTTGGCAACCCTGGAGATTTCGTTTGCTATTTAAAACCTCGATTCATATAAGAATAGCTTACAAATGAGGTGGGGAATCTAATGGAAATTCTTCAGATTTCGTTGTAACCTGAAACAATTAATAGTTCTCTTATTGGTGTTATAATGTATTAGTTTCTGTTGCAGTTAATGTGTATAGATGACAGTTATAATTGGTCATGTACATCCCTAATGCCAATCCCTACCTTGGGGTAACGAAATGAAAACTTCCTTCATTTAGTAGTCGCTTACAAATTTACCCCATATACATGTTTTGTAGTTGTCCTCATGCTCTCATGTGGATCCCCACATTAGGGTTATAAATTGAAAAACTTCTTGTCTTCATTTGAATGATGCTTGAAATTTTACCTTATTTTTACATATGTCTGTTCTATGTTTGTTCTCGTGTTGTTTGTTTGTCAATACCCACCATAGGGATTACCCTATGTTCATTAGAATTGAAAATCTCCTATACTGGGAAGTCGCTTTTAAACTTATCTCATGTACATGTTATGTGATCGTTCTCATGTTTTCATGTTCAGTCTTATCATAGGGTAATGAATTGAAAACCACCTTTATTCAGAAGTTGCTTTTAAACTCACCTAACGTACATGTTCCGTGGTTGTCCTCGTGTTTTCATGTCGATTCTCACCATAGGATAATTAATTCTCTACCTACCGACTTGCGAAACAATATCACTGTCAAAAACATAAAATTTAAACTGAGAGATTATTTACTGTCCAACCTTGGTAAAACAGCAGAATATTAATGTAAATAGTGATATTTGGGAACCGAATGTAAAGTACCACACACAAGCCCAAGAGGTTTAAGTGGTACTAAAAATCCAGTTTTTCAATGTATTTATGTATGACAAATAAATAAAAAAAAAATTAAAATCTCCTTTATTAAGAAGTTTCTTTTAAACTCACCTAATTTACATGTTCCGTGGTTGTCTTCGTGTTTTCATTTCGAATCCCACTATAGGGTACCGAATTGAAAACTTTCCTTGCTAGTCGCTTATAAACTTACCTCATACACACATATACTTGTTTTACTGATTCCCTTGTGTTTTTAAATTGGTCCTTACCATAAAGCAACGAATTAAGAATCTCCTTCGTTTAATAATCGCTTTAAAATTACCTCATGTACAGACACATGTTCTGTAGTTGTCTTCTTATTCTCATGTGAATCACCGCCATAGGGTAACTTCGTTGACTGTACAGAGACTTCATCACTACCCAAATTCTTTATTATCGCATGAATTATATGTCTACAAAATGAATATCAAAATTTTAATCACCAAATACACAAAAATACACTAATATCATTTAGAGAATGTATTTATCCTTGCTTTTCCGTGGGTGCCGTAAGAGGCGACTAAGGGTCGAGGAATGGGCAGCAGCGTCCCTCTTAAAACATCACTAAAGCCTAACTTGTGCTGTTATTGTTGTTATAAAAAAAAATTAGAACCCCCTTTTGTTCAACTACCTTCATTAAGAAGGATATTCTCTTGCTTGAGTACCTCTGTCTCATATGTGTTTCTACCGTGAAGCAGTTGTATTTGCATGGCTGTGTTTAGGTTTGAAGGGTGGGATATGGCAGTGAATTTACAGGGTACAGAGGAATAACACCTGAGTCCTCAGGAATAGCAACGCATGGGGGTGTCATGGGCGAAACAGTATACTCTGTTATGTCCATGGTACTGCTTATGTCTATAGGCGACGGTTACCACTTTCCATCAGTTGAGCCGTCAGCTTATTTGCCATTCTAAGTTACGTAAAAAAAACTCAATTCGGTTATACTTCTTTTTTTGTCACCTCATAACTTCGACAGTTCTAAACCGATTTGGAAAATACCTTTTTTATTTGAAAGAATATACATACTTACAGACTAATCTTTTAGAAATTTTATCAAAATCGCTTCAGTTATTTAATTTTTAAATCAAATTTGACTGGTTTCGTCACAATTATTGCCGGTTTTTTTGTAGGACACACTCTTTAATTATATTATTCGAAGTCAATTGAAAAATCGTGCGAACCCGAGATAGAGTAATAGTCTAGTGTCAAATACAAACCCAGCGTATTGAAAACCTAAATCCATATGTGAATTTCTCTCCTGAACTGATAGTGAACTATGCAACTTGTGATAGCGATCGAGACGTTCAATTGGAGAGTATGTAACTTCTTCATGTTCATTTGCACCCTCGCATAATAATTTTGACCTTAAAAAAAAATTTATTAAATGAATGAAAAACTCTTTATTGTTTCCTTCAAAGAATAATACAGATTATAAATATTAACAATATGTACACATTAGATTATATAGATAGAGTGTCTCCATACAAATGTTTCGAGAAAAACGAGTCAACTTTTTCATACAATTTTGCGTGATAAATAGTTATAAATGATTCCTTTATAACTTCTATATTCATTTTGTTATATAAATTCTTAATGCGCAAAAATTCATTTTATTTATTAAATAATTAAATATAGATACGTCAAGATACATTGTGTGCGTAAGTATATAGTACACTGATAAACAAACGAGTCAGCTAATTTGACAATTAGCTGACAAAAAGTTGACCCATTTGCCAGACTCTATGCTCCATTTATACAATCTAATTATTTATTTTGTTTATGTACATTTTGTATACAAACAAAACAAAGAGTTTTCCAAATCGATTTAGAACTGACAGAGTTATGGCGTAACAAAATAAAAAAAAAATACAATCGATTTGAGAACCTCCTTGTTCTTAAAGGCAGTTGAAAACTTGTGAAAGTGAGTTTGTTTGTTACATCTTAACGCCTTAACGTATGATCACTATGAAATTTGATATACCATACACGTACTAAATGGGTTGGAAAAGGATACATGCTATTTTTATCCTGGTCACGCGAACGAAGTCACGTATAAAAACTAGTAATAATATATTTTTCTAATGTATAAGTCGTGAACGCCTGCACACAACAATAAAATATGATATTTACACCAAAATTTCACAACAGATGGCTCCACTATGAACGTATTGGTGAAATTATTAGATTTGATACACAAATAACATTTTACGTCAGTATCACTACTTAGTCATTATTAGTGATGTGCCGAATCATTAAAAATTCATATTCGCTGATACAGATTTGAATACGGATAAATAGTATCTAGATCCGCAGATATGGACACGGATCTTTACTTTTTCGACAGATTTATAATAGAAGATTCATAAAATAGAGATACATTTGGTTATATTTTTTTATATTTGGTATCTCATAGCTTTATCATTTACAAATCGATATGAAAATTCTTTTATTAAAATCAGTTTAGTTTAGTTTTGAAATCAACATAATTGGTTTTGTCACAACTAAAGTCGATTTTTGTGAAACAATTTTATTTGTTATTTATTAATATGTTTTCGTACATTCACTTTAAATGTAGTTTAGAAAAAATATAATTGATTATTTTATTACAGTCTTAATAATTAATCAATAATAAACGTTTTGCATAAATGACGTAACATTACGACTTGCACTGCGCTATTTTTTTGATTTTATTTATAACTTAAGTTATAAAACAATATCTACTAGAAGTTTGCAAAATGTAATTATTTATATATTTATTCTTTATTAACCACACCGATACGACAACATAACCTTCAAGAAAAGAGCATATTCCTTTTTAAAAGGCCGGCAGCACACCTGCAATGCCATAGGTATTGTGGGTGACCATGGGCGGCGGTAGTCACTTACCATCAAATGAGCCGCATGCTCGTTTGCCCCCTGTGTTGTAAAAAAAAACCACATTAAAAAAAATGTTTGGTGTAAAAGGCAGGCTTAATGCTATATAGTATTCTTTTCCAGACAACATTTGGCAAAATAGAAATGTAATTACGCAGTGGAAAAAATTGAAAATTGTTGTAAATTTTTATATTCATTCACAAATTATATAATATACATAAACTACACATTACGATCATATAAAAATACTTACATGAACATATTAAAATAAATATTATTTACATATGAAAACGTATATTTTAAAAAGATACATGTATATGTAATCATACATACATAAACGATAATATAATGTAATACCAATAAAACAACAATAGAGATCAAAGGTAATGTTAATGATGAAGGTGAACTATTTTCATGGTTTTTTTTAACAATTTATGAAAAACTTTTATAATAAATTCAAACTTAAATCATTTTTATGCAAAAAGGCTTATTTTAAATTGTTATTTTTTATTATTCTACTTCGGATTATTACTAAATGATTATGATAGTAAATAACTACATATAAACAGAATTATACATGTGTGAAAAATCCGTTCAAGATCCGTTAAAAAATAACGAACACAGATCTTTTATTCTCTCGGATGTCCGCAAATATTGGATACAAATACGGATATGAATGTCTAGCACATCACTAGTTATTATAGTATATAATAATAGAAAAATTAAATAGAGACTTGTTATACAACAAACGTGCCCATGAATGTACAACGAGTACATAGATTTACAACGGTATTCGGCCTTATCAGTCGAATACTAGCCCCTTCTATGCTATAAGGATAGATAGATAGATAGATACTCTTTATTGTTTCCTCCAAAAGATTACAATAGTAAACTTATTATAAATATAAATAATTACAAGAAATAATCATAATGAGAAAACAATGGGTGACCTTATCGCTAAGAGCGATCTCTTGCAGGCAACCTTTGGATGGAGAGGAGTAATTATAAACAATAAAAACAATAAAGGATAATTCTTTTAATACTCACTTATCAGCTGCCATGTCATTGTTTTCTTTAACCTTCCCTTTTTCATACTTATCCTCTAATTTCTTTTTCATTTGCTCTATGTAATGGTACAGGATATGGGACGTAACGTGATTGTAATGTTCACGTAACTCATTTGTCTATATAAAAAAAAAAAACAATAAAATACAAAAAAAATATGTAGCCTTTTACATCTTTATCAAAAAAAATCTTTTATTTATACCACATTAATGGCAAACAAGCATACAGCTCGCCTGATGGTATACGGCCTATGGACATCTGCAACACTAGACCCTGAAAAAACTTTAATATACCCTTTTTGAAGAACCCCATGTGGTCTCTAGGGAGAACCTTAAAAAATTATATAATTTTTTATTAAAATTCATTTTATTGTTATGCGTAACTAAAAAAAAGACTATCTATTTTTTAACTAACTGTACTCCGTAGCTTCGGGTAGATAAATTTATAACGATATACAAAAAAATATAATACAGCAACCTGAGTCTTCTTCATCATTCGGGTATTGCTTTAATCTTTTTTTTAGACTAGAAGCTACTTATTACCTTGTCATTTAATATCTTCAAATAGTCTGGGCTCCTTCTGAATCTTGTGAGTATAATGCGGAATGTTTCACCGTACAACTTCACAGCTTCTGTCTCTATGTCATACTTCCTGCATACCACTGGATTTAATACTGAAAAGTTTAAATCGGTTAATACAATAACTAGTTTACTGCTTCGTGGAACAAATTAAATAGACCATATCTGTAGGGGATATCAAGTTAAAACATATACCAGAATTTAAGTTACGCCTTCAGGAACGCAACTGTGAAGCTACATCCACTTTTTACTTAATTTTAAACGTCGGCAATAAAGAAGCAGGTGTGAAGGTACTATTTACCTGTAAAGGCTTTTACATCACGTTAAGTCCAAATGCTTCGATTCAAACAAATCGTTTTCGCTTCTTCCACATTCATTAATCTTTTCATACACGCTCGCTGGTTACGGGTACTTTTAATTTGGCCCTTCTTCAGCACGTCGCCTATTTGGTCAAGATACGTCCGTCTAGGGTATCCCCTACCGAAATCTCCATTTAGGCTTGCTCGATAAATCTCTTTCATAATTCTTCCTTCATCTATCCTTTTTAATTTTATTATATTAGTAAAATAAACAAGTTAAACGAACGGACTTCAATAAAATTTGGTACACTTGTAAATTAATCCTAATTTAGTACACAGGATATTTTATGTACTGATACACGTGAGGGCAGCCCCGGATCTATTATTATCACAAGATTAGCGGAATATTGGCACATTAATTATAATTATTATTATTGAAAAACGGACTTTTTCAAGCAGAAAAACCTGTGACACTGCGACCTTTTCATGGTCTTTTGGGCTCGCCCTTTTTTTCAAAGCTTGTTACTAATTCCTACCAAAGATACGAATTTTAAGCTTGTTCTTTGTAGCGTTATCTCCTCAGGATATAGTGTGTTTTCCAAAGGAGATATATCGTTTATGTATGAGTGGGCTACAGCCATACATTCAGTGCTGCGGCGTTTCTTCCTCACTGTGGCAAAATCTACAAACACTTTTTAGGCCAGAGGGAGACTTTGTACAAAAGTCGATTGCTTGGGTACCTCTGTCCTATTCGTGTTTCAACCGTGAAGCAGTTGTGTTTGCATGCCTGTGTTTCGGTTTGAAGGGTGGGATATGGCGTGAATTTACTGCGTACAGAGGAATAACACCTGAGTCCTCAAGAATGGCAACGCGTGGGGAATATCATGGGCGAAACAGTATACTCTGTTATGTCCATGGTACTGCTCATGTCTATAGGCGACAGTTACCACTTTACATCAGGTGGGCCGTCAGCTTGTTTGCCATTCTAAGTTGTATAAAAAAAGGCATAAGCCTAGTTGAGTTGTTTAATTTGTAGTGTCCAATTAAAGTGCCGCGGTATACAAATAGCGTTGGAAACGTTGAAAAACATGCTTGAATGTTTTTCAAGCACGTTCTCTGTTGAATGAATCCATTTAAAATAAAAATAAAAAAACATTTACATACATAGAAAAATACCTGCCACAAAATATATTAAATTTGAAACTGGAGTATTCATTTTAAATGTTTCTGATCGAATTCCATTTAAAAATAATATTAAATTGTAAGTTTTATTTACAATATTGGTAATAAATGCTACTTACATTTTATAGTGTGTTTATTTAAAATAGGAATTGTAAAATAATTGCATTTTGGTACCGACATAGGATGGGCCACATGTTCCTTTTCCATGGGTCTCATAAGAGGCGACTATGAGAACTTAAAAGTCAAAATATGGGCAGCAACGTCCCTCCTAAAACCTATGGTTTTTTTTTTTTTTTTTGGTGAGTGAAAATGGTATGGTAGCCCCGCCTGCGCTAACGGGATACGCTGGCGGAGCACCAGTGAAGGGTGATAGATGAGAATGAAAACAGGCCAGTTAGCCCATCGTGATGAATTCATCAGGAATTAACCATGATAGTTTCCAGGGGGAACCACGCGGAAGTCGACCTGGTTGGGTATATTGCTAGCAATGGGATTTTTAGTCTCCATTACTAACAATCCCTTTCCCCCACCTAACTATGGTTGCCAGCCTGCCCACTAACCGTGAGAACTATTATCAAAACTCACCAAGAGGGAAACTTCAGCATTCAGCAGTGGACCACAAACGGCTAAAATGAAGAGGATGTATTAAATTAGGATATAACCTACCCGTGTAGCAAATTTTATTCAAATCCGTTCAATAGTTTTTGCATAAAAGAATAACAAACATTCATTGGTTCATCCTCACTAACTTTCACCTTTATAAAAGTTTAAAGTCTAAGTGTAAATAAAGTCCACCTACCCTTTGTCTTTTTCTCGATGTCCTCTACCCAAAGGTTGTTTGGAAGAGATTGCTTAGCGATAAGGCCGCCTTTTGTATCACTTCTCATTAATATTTACTGTATTTGTTATTTCTCTTTTTACTTGGTGCAATAAAGTGTAAAATAAATAAATAAAGTGGTATTAGTAAAATTGTTGTTAACTTCATTTTCGTCCGGGTGATCCTAACATGGAAACCCCTCCCTTTCTTGTGGGTGTCGTAAGTGGCAACTAAAGGAACTTAATTATAGAAGGATGGGCAGCAACGTCCCTTCTAAAACACCTTTAAAAGCTTAACTGCGGTTGCTAAACTGCCTGCTAAGCGTGGGACCTACTAGCAAAACTCCCCTTATGGGGAAAGCTTATGTCCAGCGTTGGACAGTTAAAGGCTGAAATGCTAACAATGACTACATTTTCACCATACATATTTACATTTTTCATTAAGAATAATAATAATTTATTTGCTCGAAATGTGGTACAAAGGTCTTAAATGGTAACTGAGCTACACATTTCGCCTTATCTAAAGGCACGCAAATTTTGTCTTAGCACATGTTAAGTAAAAATTTATCGTTACCGTAACCGTCTATCCTGGTAAGGCCACGTGATAAGGAGCATGTTTTAAGAAAGGTAATTAATATGTGGATAAGGACAGAGGAAGACCTAAAAGGATATGAATAGACTGTGTGAAAGATAATATGGCCAGAATGATATAGCCAAATATGTAATATGGGGGGAAAGGGATTGTTAGCAATAGAGTTTGACAGCTCCATTGATAGCAATATGCCTTATTAAGTCGACCTCCACGTGGTTCACCCTGGAAACCATCGTGAACAATTCTTGTTGCATTCGTCACGATGGGCTAACTGACCTACTTCATCCTCGCCTATCATCCTTCACTGGTGCCCCGCCGGTGTATACCGATAGCGCGGGTGGTGTTACCATTCCATTATCATCCATTAAAAAAAAATGTAATATTTTTTTATACTATTTAGAATAGCAAACAAGCTGACGGCCCACCTGATTGAAAGTGGTAACCGTTACCTATAGACATGAGCAGTACCGTGGACATAACAGAGTATACTGTCTCGCCCATAATACCTCCATGCGTTGTCATTCCTGAGGACTAAGGTGTTATACCTTTGTACCCTGTAAATTCACGGGATAAAATTGGGATGAAGGTATAAAAATAAGGACATATATACAATTTTATACTCATATTAGTCGGCCATATTGTATAAAACAAGTTTATCGACAAAAATTTCCTATGGTTTTGTTTGTTTCACCCATATTTTTAGTGCCAACCATCTGTGTTTGTTCCGCTGTTTTTCGATTTGTATTGTATGGATAAAGCCAATGAAATTGGCAACGCGTGAGTGGTGGCATGTACGTCAGTGTATGACGGCCATATGGTAATATTTTTTACAAGCTTTTGTTTAACTTGCAATGTTTGTCAGTTTACTTTGTTTAATGTGATTTAAACAAAATTGTACATGACATACTAGATGGCGCTAGAGTCGGGACTTGTGGTTTTTGTTGATTATTTTGTAATTAAAGATAATTTGATGCGAAATTTCTAAATTGGCGAGTGGTTTTATTTACTTTGTACGGATATAATAATAATTTATCGTAATGTTTGTCTTTATGCCGTTGTATTGTACAACTTTGTGAAAAAAACACACACTAGCAAGAAACATTGCGATTGTGTGGGTTACATTTCATTCGAGAAAAGATCGCGTATCATCTATCACTATTACACTAAAATATAATAATAAAAACTAAACTCGCCAATATGGCAGCTAGACCAAATATGGCAGAAACAAAAGAAAGACTGACTCAGACGACTTCATCTAATCTTCGCTTGGTAACAAAGCTTACCCTTTGTCTTTTAGTTCCTTTATACAGTGATCTAAAATCTCAGGATTATCTATATGATGTATTCTTACAGAATCGTATTCATTTGCTATCAAATCTTGATAATCTTTCTTAAAGTCGTAATTATTTTGTGCAATTCTCTTTATCTGCTTCAATTCTTTATTATCTTTGACATTGATTGTTACATCTATAAAAACAAAGATAAAAATTAGAGCAACTGTAGGTAGGATTAACTGGTCCGCAATTTTTTTTTAATAGGTGAAAATGGTATGGTAACCCCGCCTGCGCTAACGGGATACGCTGGCGGAGCACCAGTGAAGGGTGATAGATGAGAATGAAAACAGGCCAATTAGCCCATCATGATGAATTCATCAGGAATTAACCATGATAGTTTCCAGGGAGAACAGCGAGAAGGTCGACCTGGTTGAGTATATTGCTAGCAATGGGATTCTCAGTCTCCATTACTAACAATCCCTTTCCCCTCGCCAATCCAAGGTTGGCAGGCGCCAAGAGTTGGAGCTACTGGCAAAATCCCCAAGGTGGAAGCTTATGTTTAGCAGTGGACAGTTAAAGGCTGACATGACGATGACGATATGTCCTTGACTGATTTTTATTATTTCAAATGTGACACTTGCTATGGCAACATTTCACCGAACGTACTAGAATCAAAAGTGGCCAGAGACGAGCCTACTGCTACGCCCTTAATCTGATTAATTTTGTTATCAACGTCACCATTATCAGAGAGTTAGTCATATTTAATTCAGTTTTTTTTTTCTTATTGGATAGATTATATAGATAGAGATTGGACTATCTAGTTTGCAATCTTTTTAAGCCACTGTATTTTTTTTATACCACAAAAGTAACAAACAAGTATACAGCCCATCTAATGGTAAACTGATGAAACCTTAATATACCCTTTTTGAAGAATCCCATACTGACTAGAGATTCCCTAGAGACTATCTAGGGAAAATCTCGGCAGGGAGCTTATTCCAAAGCCTGAGCGTTATCTTATATTAATTTGTGTTCCACAAAAAATATGGACTATTTTTTTGTGGATATACACTGGATATATGTAGGGTCCCTGACACTACAGCATAATGCTGAGCACGGACCTCATTTTGCAGGTATTGCGACACACGCACACATACACTCAACTTTGATGAAACTGTTATAGTACGATTGTTTTATTTTTCTTTTTTAACTTACATTCTTTTATATATATATATATATATATATATATATATATATATATATATATATATATATATATATATATATATATATATATATATATATATATATATATTGTTGTTTCTTTATTATAATTCTTAATTTATGATTTTTTTTAACCCCTATGTTGTCACATATTTTTGTAAAATAAGGTTTCTTTCTTTCTTTCTTTCTTTCTTTCATATATTTATGGATTAAACACTGGATCATTTTAAAAATAAAAACCTTTCTCAATATTAAGACGGCATAAAATTCTCAGCATCAAATAAGACAGACACTTTATACAAAAGTCGATTGCTTGGGTACCTCTGTCCCATTCGTGTTTCTACCGTGAAGCAGTTGTGTTTGCATAGCTGTGTTTCGGTTTAAAGGGTGGGATACGGCAGTACATTTACAGGGTACAGAGGAATAACACCTGAGTCCTCAGGAATAGTAACACATGGCAAGTATCATGTGCGAAACAGTATACTCTGTTATGTCCATGGTACTGCTCATGTCTATAGGCGACGGTTACCACTTTCTATCAGGTTGACCGTCAGCTTGTTTGCCATTCTAAGTTGCTTAAAAAAAATGGTTTTCCCGTTTTAAAAAATGCCCAACGCGTCTAAAGAAGTTTTTACCTCAATTATTTATACTGTTATTGGACATCGGCATGCTGTCCCACGGTCAGGTCGCGTATTCCTTTGTTTATATTTGCAACAGACTTCAAAAAGGAGAAGGTATTTCTTTGTGTTTGTTACCTCATAACTCCATTAATTCTATTAATTCTAAACCAATTTGGAAATATCTTTTTTTATCTAAAATTATATACTTCCAGATGGGTCCTATAGAAATGTTATCAATGTCGGTTCATTGGTTTGATTTTTAAGACCGAAAATAACTTCTTTTGTTACAATTAATTTTAGTTTTTTATTGGCACACAGTCTTTATTATATCTGGAAGGATATACATACTTATAGATTAGTTCCATAGAAATTTTATGTTTATGGGTTTTTTCATTAAATTTTATTTAACAAACCACGACAAACAACAAATGTAAGCAATATATTTTAGTAACATAACGTTTTTCAATAGATTTTGTAACATTATTCCCAACTATAAAATTGTACGTAAATATTAGAATTGCAGCTTATCGTAACGACGAAATGAGATTTGCTCTCCGTGAAAAAACATTTGATTTTGCACAGTCCAAGTGCAAATTTAACCATGGTGTTTTATTAGGCGTATAGGTCCTAGTATAGAATAGGCCACCCCTTCCTTTCCCGTGGATGTCGTAAGAGGCGACTAAGGGATCTTGTAGTAGATAGTCAGCGTCCCTCTTAAAACATCACCAAAAGCTAATCTGCAGTGGCCAAGCCTCCTGCCAGGCGTGGCAACTACTGGCAAACCCCCCCTTATGGGGCGGAAAGGGATTGTTAGTAATGAGGCCTAATAAGACACCATATAATAACCCACCTGATGGAAAGTGGTAATCATCGCCTATAGACATGAGCAGTACCATGGACATAACAGAGTATACTGTTTCTCCCATGATACACCCCCATTCGTTGCCATTCCTGAGGACTCAGGTGTTATTCCTCCGTACCCTGTAAATTCACTGCCATCTCCCATCCTTCAAACCGAAACACAGCCATGCAAACACAACTGGTTCCTGGTAGGAACACGAATGGCACAGAGGTAACCAGGCAAGCGACTTTTGTACAAAGTCTCCCTTTGGTAACATTGATACGCCATGTAAAACTAGTCTATTTCATTGGTTTTCCTATATTATTATTACTATTATTATTTAACTCTTTATTGCACCATAAATAAAAATATACAATGACAAGTGAATAATTCAAATGAAATACAGTAACATAAATACAGATTGAAATATACACATAAAGGTACAAAAGGCGGTCTTATCGCTAGGGCGATCTCTTACAGACAACCTTTAGTTAAGGGAGAACAGATAGAAAAGGGCAAGTGGCGCATATCTAAAATCCATTTGTTAAAAACTAGTGAGAAATAATTTCAAATCTGTTTAATCATTAGAAATCATGAACAATTGTGTTACCATGTTATTTTTCGTGCCTACAGATTACAGAAGATTAATTAATACGTCACATATTTTTTTTAGATAAACTTAGAATATCATTTATTGTTTCCTATAACAGAACAATAATAACAATTGTTTCTTTAAAGAGATAAAAAAAAAAACATCACAAATGCAATAAGTCTAGGTAGATAATCGGTCTACATCTATCAGATATATGTAGATTGACGATTTTGTTTTTATTCAAGAGTTTCCTCCTGTCGGTGCGACTAATTCATGCATATTCTAAATATATATATATATATATATATATATATATATATATATATATATATATATATATATATATATATATATGGGCGAAACAGTATACTCTGTTATGTCCATGGTACTGCTCATGTCTATAGGCGACGTCAGCTTGTTTGCCATTCTTTGCTGTATAAAAAAAAGTTAGAAAGTAATACAGCTATCTAGAATCCACATGAATCAAAATATATATGTATGATGGAAAAGATCCAAAGGAAATTTATAAGGTGTAGACGACGTAATTCCAAAATGACACCACTTCTATAGCGCCACTAGTGTTTTTATATTTATTTACATATTACATTTATAACTATTAAACATTGCATCAAGAGATACAAGAATGGTATAAAAAAAAATATTATTTTTCTTTTTTTTTCTAATATACTATATGGCTTCTGTCCAGCCATTACCAAGGTGGCTGTATCAAAAACAATATAAATACTATGTTACGTATTCTAATATATAACCTAGTGAGTTCTTATTGGACATAACCTCCGACTTAAATTTCCCACTCATTCTTCTTCCTTTTATTCTAAATCCTTTACTGTTCAGGCAGTTCGTCTATTGAACTCACTGCCTACCTCTATTCGGTGCGCTCAAACTCTTACTAGCTTCAAAACCTCTGTTAAATCTTACTACCTCTCACTTTAGTACTATTTTCCTGTGTTCTCTCTTCGTTTTCCTTCATCATTTTTTTTTCTGTTGTATGTGTGCTGTTAAGTATGTGTATGTTATGTATATATTTAATTGTGTATATATTATATATGTATGTGTATGTATGTATGTATGTATCTATATATGTTTGTATATGATAATATTTATATAGTAGTGCGCCACCTACTCTTTGTCTTTTTCTCAATGTCCTCTACTCAAAGGTTGTCTGGAAGAGATTGCTTAGCGATAAGGCCGCCTTTTGTATCACTTCTCATTAATATTTACTGTATTTGTTATTTCTCTTGTTACTTGGTGCAATAAAGTGTAAATAAATAAATAACTCATTTAAAATGAGACGGAAGTTAGCTTTGAGTATATTTAAAAATTGTTTCAAAGGTATAAATATAATTTGAGCATCCTGGCTTCGATATCCATTCGAGCGCCTTCTAATTATGCTCGAGCATGTAGTGGGAACTTTTGTCATCTTCCGTTGAGAAGAATAGAGCTAGCAAAACAGGATCCTCTTCTACTGGCATTGGTTCTGCTCGACGGTGTCATGAACCAGTATCCAGAGGGGGAAAAGGATTGTTAACAATGGAGTTTGACAGCCCCATTGCTAGCAATATTAATACCTTATTAGGTCAACCTCTACGTGATTCCCCCTGGAAACCATCGTGAACAATTCTTGTTGAATTCGTCACGATGGGCTAACTAACCTGCTTCGTCCTCACCTATCATCCTTCACTGGTGTCCCGCCGGTGTATACCGTTAGCGCGGGTGGGGTAACCATTCCATTATCATCCATTTAAAAAAAAAACAGTATCCAGACTTGGTTATATCGACTTGTAAACTTGTCGAGTTTCACAGAATGGCAATAAATTATTTAGAAAGTGTCCAATAATTAAATTATTGTGTTTGTAAATATGGTGATTGCTATGGGAGTGAATTAGGAAACTAGTTATTGAAGTCGCTGGCGGAAGACCCAAAAAAAAACCCAATTCTATAAATATAACTAAATTTAATTCTAAAATTAATTATTACAATAATAAGTGTCTTCAGATCGATGTGTGATCCGTAAGTGAAGTTATATAAAATCAAACATAAAGGAAATGGATATTTTTGCTGCGGGAATTGAAATACTGACTCGACGCAGGTGTCTTTCTCGGTAGCGCACCTTCTTGCGTCACGCTAGGTGATCCGATCCGATCGCCGTTGAGGGTGTCTCGTAATACTTGATAGGTATCTACTATAACAAACTGTCAAACTCACTTAGTAAATAAATAAATAACATAGGTACAACTGATCCATCCACATTTCTAGCATTAAGAAATTTTGTTTGCATCACTGTATCGATTTAGTGGCAGTAAATTTACAAGGTGATATGACATAGTTCTTAGGAATAGCAATAGCGTAAGGAGTTTAATATCATGAGTGTTCTGAAATATTTAAATTGCTATTCCTTCCTTATTATTTGCTAGTGTTCCTTCTTTTCATTTCATTGCATTTATTTACTTTGTGATACATACGTAACAGTACATAACAATGTATGGTAAAACAAGATAAGTCCTCTATGATCAACCTCATCTATATTAGAAAAAAAATTCTTCTCTTCTTCTTTCCATTAAATAAACTGTCAACATGTTTACTATTCTACGTGTCATAAAAAAGTCTTTTTTTTTTTATACAACTTAGAATGGCAAACAAGCTGGCAGCCCACCTGATGGAAAGTGGTAACCATCGCCTATAGACATGAGCAGTACCATGGACATAACAGTGTATACTGTTTCGCCCATGATACCCCCCATACGTTGCCATTCCTGAGGACTCAGGTGTTATTCCTCTGTACCCAGTAAATTCACGCCATATCCCACCCTTCAAACCGAAACACAGCCAAGCAAACACAGCTGCTTCACGGTTGAAACACGAATGGGACAGAAGTACCCAAGCAATCGACTTTTGTACAAAGTCTCCCTCTGGTAAGTCACTAGATATTTTCAACAAAAAGAAGAAACAGACTGGAATAGCAGACACTTTAAATACGATTAAGTTATGAACAAAAATATTTTTTAATTCTATACTCAGATGTATATCAAAATAATCAGCAATGATAAACATCATTACGAATCATCATGCACGTTAAACTTATTATTTTTTTTTTCTTTAATAATTTTACATTATTTATATTGTTAATAATATAAAAATTTTAAATCTTAAAATATAATTTCACCCATACATACCTACATATCTGTCGCGCCTGTCTTCCATTAGGATTGGCAGAAACAATGGAACACCAAACGCTTCGATTCAAAGCTCTCCCATATACTGAGTAATAAATATACATTATGGTAACCCTAATTACTTATTTATTTATTTATAAAAGACACACCAACAATATGCTCACAATAATTAAGCAGACAATATACAATGTTATTAGTAAGTAAAAGTGAAAAACTACTATTACAAAATGCTTAAATCTAAGTTTGAACAAAAAAATCTTACTCCTCACTACCAAGCTTAAGGCCATATGAACATATCAATTAAAGGCGTATACAGCTCTCACAGGTAAGCGTCAATGTATACTAACTAACAATTATACAATTAGAAAAGACCTAACTACTAATCCATATTATTAATAAGCCTAGTATACTGCACTAAAGAATTACCAAAGATGTCGATATCATGGTCAACGTTTACGGCTTTATTATACGATTACGCACACATAGATAATATGTCTACACATAAACAATATGTTTGACCTGTTTTTGGTCCTTCTTGTTTTTAGTCCTCAAGAATAGCAACGCATGGGTGGTATCATGGGCGAAACAGTATACTCTGTTATGTCCATAGTACTGCTCATGTCTATAGGGGACGGTTACCACTTCTCCATCAGGTGGGCCGTCTATTTTAAGTAAATTCTTGTTTGCCATTCTAAGTTGTATAAAAAAAAGCATAGAAAGACGATGAGACGAGAATAGGGAATTACGGCATCAGAAAGCAAAATCCTGGGAGATAGTTGGCTAACTTCATAAAGAAGGTAGGGCTCATTATGATGAACTTCTACTTCCAAAAGCAGTATAGAGATATATCATATATCATCAAAAATAGCTCAGAGTTAGAAGACGAAGGTCTTTAACCAGTGCGTGTCGCCAGTGATGACTTATGGAACCGAAACATGGTCCTACACGATTGCCCGTATGCAAAAGCTACAAGTTACTCAACGGGCTATGGAGAGGGCTGTGCTCGGAGTCTCTTTGCGTGATAGAATCCGAAAAGAGGATATCCGCAAACGAACCAAAGTAACTGCCATAGCCCGAAGAATAAGCAAGCTGAAGTGGCAATGGTCACATAGTCAACTTCCAGCAGCAGTATTTCCGAACCGATACGACAACATAACCTTCTAGAAAAGAGTATATTCCTTTTTAAAAGGCCGGCAGCACACCTGCAATGCCGCTGGTGTTGTGGGTGGTCATGGGCGGCGGTAGTCACTTATCATCAGGAGAGCCGCATGCTTGTTTGCCCCACTGTGTTGTAAAAAAAAAGTTCGAAGAACCGACAACCGATGGAGAAGAAAGGGTTTTCAGTCGAAACACCGTACGGGAAAACGCAGTGTAGTACGACCCGCCATTAGATGGCGTGACGACCTCGAATGCATAGCAAGGAGTCAGTGGATGCAAGTGGCTCAAGACCGTTTCTTATGGCTGTCTGTGGGAGAGGCCTATGTCCAATAGTGGACAGGTAATGGGTGAAATGATAATGATAATTACCCACATAAGAATAGGCATAAATTTCTACGCATGTAACACTTACCCCCCGACGTCGTAATTAATCATTGGATTTAGATTATTGGGTCATAATCATACATAATTATGATATGACTTTATATTCATGTATTGATTTTGGATTCCGTACCTGAAAAAATATGGATGCCATCAAAAATATAAAATGTAAAAAATTACCAAGTCTACACAACGTACTTTCATTACAAAAAGTTGTGAGATTTTAAATCTACTACAATAAATGATTTGGCCTTTACATGACTTCGTAATTATAAAGGAATAATTTAATAAGATTGTATAGTATTTATGTATTAATGTTTTAAGTATGTGAGGTATTTTTTAAAATTAGGATACGATGAGGCTGACATATCCTTATAGGATAAAAGCATCTAAATAAAAAAGATATAAAAAAAAAAAGATTTTATAGAGATCGTAAAAAACACAGAGTTAGTAGTGAATGGCTAAAATGACAACAGGTTTCGGGGACAGTATACGACCCCCGAATGGCCTCAAACTGAAGGGTAAAATTTACAAATCTATTATAAGACCTGACCTGTCATTCTGTATGCATCTAAATATTCGCTCAAAAAGATATTATTTCGATTATCATATAAAGAATTTTATTAGTAGAATATGTTACCGTACAATTGTCAAGTCATTATAGTAGATTTAAGATCTCACAACCATTGGAGTGAAAGACCAACGCTGCGAGCTTGGCAATGGATATTAACCACAGGGCGATTTTGTACAAAAGTACTTTGCTTAGGCACCTCTATCTCAATCGTGTAAAACAGTTGTGTTTGCATGGCTGTGTTTCGGTTTGATGGGTGGAGGTGGTGGTTCCTGTAATGTAACATTATGCCCAGCACATTAGTGTCTAAACTAGGCCTGGCCTGTATCTTAGACACCAATGCCTTCAATTAGATACATATTTTCGTGTAATTTCACTATATTACAATAGTACAAATTTTCCTGGGTACAGAACACACTTGATTCCTAATCAAGTGTGTAGTACCCAGAATATCACTTAGTTATACTAACACTTAATTCCTCAGGAATGGCAAAGCATGGGGGTATTATGGGCGAAACAGTATACTCTGTTATGTCCATGGTACTGCTCATGTCTATAGGCGACAGTTATCACTTTCCATTAGGTGGACCGTCAGCTTATTTGCCATTCTAAGTTGTATAAAAAAACCCCACTTTTCAAATCGAAAAACAGCGGTTTGGCAACACAGACACTAGTGGGACAGAAGTACCCACGCAGATATACATAGTCACTTTCTAGTCTACCTTAATCTATTCAGTTTAACCGTGACTGAATGGGGGAGAAGGGATTGTTAGTAATGCGGATTATCAGTTCCATTGCTAATAATATACCCCAACAGGTCGACCTCCCCGTGGTCTCCCCTGGAAACCATCGTGCTGAATTCCAAGTGTATTCATCACGATGGGCTAACTGACCTGCCTTTTCATCCTCACCCATCATCTATCACTGTTGCCCCGCCGGTGTATACCGTTAGCGTAGGCGGGTAGGGTTTTTTTTTTTAATGGATGAGAATGGAATGGTAACCCATTCCATTCTCATCCATTAAAAAAAAAAACCGTGACTGAATAAGGTAGGTTTGATTGATGAAGTAAAATTGGGATTAATAGAATAGTAGAATTTGGCGCGCTGTATCCACGCAACAAAGGATTATAAAGGTAATCAAATTGTTTGCCATAAACAAGTACATTTAAAAACAAAAACAATGATAAATTACTATCATTGATTATTATCATTATTATCACAATATATAATAAATATGAATAATAATGAGTCATGGAAAATCTTAATTAATTAATCGCCTAATAAAAGAGTGAGCTAGATTGCAATTTCGTTGACAATACTGACAAACATGGCGGCGTTTGGACTTCTGCTTCTTTTCGTTGTCGCTACTGTGTCAGGTTTGTTTTTTATTTATATTTTTTTGTTTTTTATAGGGTAATAATGTAATGGTAACCTCGCCGGGCTATCGGGATACGCTGGCGGGGCACCAGTGAGGGATAGGTGAGGATGAAAAGGCAGGTCAGTTAGCCCATCGTGACGAATTCTGTTTGAATTAACCACGACGGTTTCCAGGGGGAACCGCGTGCAGGCGACCTGGTAGGGTGTATTTTTTAATGGATGATAATGTAATGGTAACCCTGTCTGCGCTATCGGTTTACACTGGCGGGGCACCAGTCAGTGATGAGGATGAAAGCAGGTCACTTAGCCCATCCTGGCGTATTCAACTAGAATTAGCCGCAATAGTTCCCAGGGGGAACCACGTGGAGGTCGACCTGGTGGGGTGTATTGCTAGCAAATGGGATTCATTCACCATACCATTTTTACCCATAAAAAAAAATACATTTACGCGCACATGACACCCCTAATGTTGCAGGCGTCCATAGGCTGCAGTGGCCGTTTACCATCAGACGGGCTGTATGCGTATTGAGCCGCATGCTCGTTTGCCCCCTGTGTTGTAAAAAAAATACTTGTTTACCACCTTCGTGGTATAAAAAATTACTCGTTTATTTATTTTTATTTTCTCTTATCCATTTATTTTTTTATAGCACTACCGGCTGACCCGGTTATTCTGAAATATGACGAGAACCGGTTCGGATATGTCCGTGGACCGGACGGCACCCCACACCTGGTTGACTCGTGGATGAAGGTCAGCGATTTGAGTGAAACAGCGAGATATAATCCTTTAAGGCAGAATGTCTACCACCTTTTCACCAGGTATTTATTTATTTATCCTTTATTGCATAATAAAATTGTACAAACGGCGAGCTTAAGCAATATGGCATTCTCTACTAGCTAGCTATTAGGTAAAAACAAAAAGCATTTGAGGGCAGTGGTAGCGCACATACATTACACAAAAAAAATTTAGAATTTTCTAATTTTTAAGTCTAAAGTTAAGAGCTGTCAAAACCATTGACAGTGGCTGTCATTTTAATTAATACGTGTATATTAATTTATAAACAACAATTATATAAAAAAAAAAATTGTTCCCAATTAAAATTAAAAAAAAAAAGAAAATGAAGAACGGGAAATTTATAATCAAATTCCTTGCAACACTAATAAAGAGCATGCATTGTTTTAGTTTAAAAAAAAAATGTGATAAAATTCAGTCAGCCAAAGTGAGGATTAGCAGCTGACAACATTTTTACATATTTTTAATACTCAATACTCTGTCGAGCAAAGTCGCGAAAAAGTGTTTGTAGATATATATGTAGGTAACATACATCTACTAACAGTTTTCCGCAACTTTGCTCGCATAAAATAATGTATAAGGTATCGTGTATTCTTTTTTTTTTACACAACTTAGAATGGCAAACAAGCTGACGGCCCACCTGATGTAAAGTGGTAACCGTCGCCTACAGACACGAGCAGTACCATGGACATAACAGAGTATACTGTTTCGCCCATGATACCCCCCATGCGTTGCCATTCCTGAGGACTCAGGTGTTATTCCTCTGTACCTTGTAAATTCAAGTCATATCCCACCTTTCAAACCGAAACACAGCCATGCATACACAACTGCTTCACAGTAGAAACACGAATGGAACAGAGGTACCCAAGCAATCGACTTTTGTACAAATATAAGCTATCTATCTATCTATATATCTCATCCAAATCTATAAAGTATTTTTTGCGTGAAAGAGTAACAAACATTAATCGGGGCGACATGGGAGGAGGGGGTTGGCATTGCTAGCAGCGTACTAGTCTCACTGCCAGCAAAATTCTCTGTCAGGTCGACATCCACGTGGCCCCTCCTAGAAACCATCGTGCTGAATTCCAGGTGTATTCATCAGGATGGGCTAACTGGCCTGCCTTTTCATTCTCACCTACATGGTGAGGTGACACCCACTGGTGCCTTGCCAGCGTATACTGTTAACGCAGGCGGAGATACCATTCCATTATCATCCATTAAAAAATCAAACATACATCCATTTTCATTGACTTTTGATTTTATAATAATTATAAGGATTTCTCAATGGTTCTGTTGTACTTTATTCCAGGGAAAACCCCACTGTAAGCCAGCCTCTGCTGATAGGAAACGTTGGACTTATCGGCCTGACCAACTATGATCCGCAGCGTAGAACGATCGTCCTTCTTCACGGCTGGCTAGACACGGCCACTGCTGACTTCAACGCTGTTCTAGTACCAGGTAATCTATTTAGAACTACTTTTATCACGCGACTTCACCCATCAGTATGTAAATTATCTTAATATGCTAAGCCTAGATTGTATAGATAGAGCATCGAGCCTCAAAAACAGGTCAAATTTTTGTCAGATAATTGTCAAATTAGCTGATTTTTACATCAGTGTTCTATATACTTACGCATAAAATGTATCTTGACGTGTTATTTAATAACTAAAATGAGTGTTTACACATTAAAAAAAGATGCAGAAATTATAAGATCAAATAAATATAGAAGTTATAAAGGAATCACTCGTAACTATTTATCATGCAAAGTTGTTGACCTGTTTTTTGAAGCATTTGTATGGAGACACGTTATTTATATAATTTAAGGGCAGAAAAACGTTTGCCTGTAATGTTATAAAGAAGAAAGATTACATTGTTTCTTTCTAATGGATAAACTCAAAAATTGAATGATTGATTTTAAAAATTCTTTCACTCATAGAAGGAGGGAGACTGTACAAAAGTCGATTGCTTGGGTACCTCTGTCCCATTCGTGTTTCAACCGTGAAGCATGGCTGTGTTTCGGTTTGAAGGGTGGGATATGGCGTGAATTTACTGGGTACAGAGGAATAACACCTGAGTTCTTTTTTTTTATGTTACTTAGAATGGCAAACAAACTGACGGCCCACCTGATGGAAAGTGGTAACCGTCGCCTATAGACATGAGCAGTACCATGGACATAACAGAGTATACTGTTTCGCCCATGATACCCCCCATGCGTTGCCATTCCTGAGGATTCAGATGTTATTCCTCTGTACCCAGTAAATTTACGCCATATCCCACTCTTCAAACCGAAACACAGCCATCCAAACACAACTGCTTCACGGTTGAAACACGAATGTTCTCAGGAATGGCAACGCATGGGGGGTATCATGGGCGAAACAGTATACTCTGTTATATCCGTGTTACTGCTTATGTCTATAAGCGACTGTTACCACTTTCCATCAGGTGGGCCGTCAGCTTGTTTGCCATTCTAAGTTGTATAAAAAAAATCAATCCTCAAATGATTTTTGAAAATTTTATCCACCCATGTGAAGTCGGATCGAATAATATAAATAAATCGGATAATATAAATATACCATTAAATTTACTTATGTTTTCAAAATAAAGATGTCAGCCCTGATGGAAAGTGGTAACCATCGCCTATAGAGGTACACAAGCAAACGACTTTTGTACAAAGTCTCCCTCTGGTAGCATATGGTATTAAGCTTGCCATTTGTACAAAATTTTATTATGCAATAAAGAATAAATAAATAAACATCTTGACACGAAGTTTTAATATATATAAGAAGTATTAACAGAAAGTTTCTAGGAAGAATCCTATATAAATACTTCTCTCTTCTAGCTTTCCTGGAGGCTGAGGATGTGAACATCATTGTGGTGGACTGGAGTGCTGGCTCGAACACTGCTATTTACATATCCGCTATTGGCAACACCGTGCGATCAGGTAAGTAAATCCTATTTTCATGCTAACGGTATATGCTGGTAGAAAAGACAGTTCAGTTAGCCCATTGTGATAAACATATTTTGGAATTCAACACGATGGTTTCCAGGGGGAACCGCGTGGAGGTCGACCTGACAGAGTATACTGCTAGCAATGGACTAGTAGTCCGCATTACTAACAATCCCTTCCCCTCTCTATATCCAGATTTACATCTATGTGTATACTGTAAAAGTGTGACGTCACAAGGCAGTTAGGGTCGTGGGTATGACCGTCGTGCCCACAACGATGGGTTCACGCTTGTTTTCTGGTAATAAATATAACCTATTTATTTATATAAAGCAGTTGTGTTTACAAAAGATTCAATAATTAATTAATTAACATTAATGCATGTCGAAAAGTAGTCGAAAAACATCGAACTAATTACGAAACGCGTGAAAAACGCGTGTCAACCGCATGTATGTTTCGCTGTAAATAAGCCGCTGCATCGCTGAATTATTTTAGACGCACAAAAAAAAACAAGTAATAATAAAAACGCTAAATTTCAGCACAGCGTTTACGCTGCAGCGATGTTTTTTTACCGAGGCGTACCTCCTATTGTACCTCCAAAAAAATAAATAGGCCTAAATCCAACGCAACACAGCGGCTGCAGCGCTGATTTGAAGCGGTACATACACGTGGTAAACACGCGTTTTTCACGCGTAAACATTATGTATGTACGTAATAAATAAAAAAGAAACAAAAGAAAACAGCTAGGTATAGGAAACCAGATAATTTAAATATTAAACATTTACACATTTTCCATGTTGAAAAGATGGCAACAAAGCTGGTTATAACCGGTTACTGCGGATTGCCATCTGTGATACAAGTATCACGTTATATATGTATATATAATAAAATTGTAAATGAACAATGTCTGTCAATGTCAATATGTGGAAAATATTTGAGATTGATTTGAGGACTCTAATTAGGCCACCTGTTCCTTTCCTGTCGTCTTCCTTGACTGTTCGTGTCGTAAGGTTTCTTATTGGATGATAATGGAATGGTAACCCCAGCTGCGCTATCGGTGTACACCGGCGGGCACCAGTAAAGGATGATAGGTGAGGATGAAGCAGGTCAGTTAACCCATCGTGACCAATTCAACAAAAATCGTTCACGATGGTTTCCAGGGAACCACGTGGAAGTCGACCTAATAGGGCATATTGCTAGCAATGGGACTGTCAAGCTCCATTGCTAACAATCCCTTTCCCCTTTTAAAATATCACTGATTTGAGAACCCCCTCTTTCTTTGAAATTTGTTGAAAACCTTTGAATTTTTAGGTGAAAGCGTGGCCGACTTCATCAATTGGCTCAATTCGGTTACTGGCGTCACACCAGACAGATACCACATCGTGGGGCTGGGCCTTGGTGGTCACCAAGCTGGTATTATTGGTAGAAACGTGGACGGCGAGATTGCGTACATAACTGGTAAGACTATATTATTTTTAAGACCCATGTTTCTTTTTTTTATGCAACTTAAAATGGAAAACAAGCTGACGGCCCACCTATTGGAAAGTGAAAAAAAAATTCATCCCAACCATCTGGACAAGTGGCGGTCCTCCACCGTGCGTTTTTCAAGGCACTTTCTCCCACGCACAACCACTCTTTGGAATCAACTTCCAGCAGCAGTATTTCCGAACCGATACGACAACATAACCTTCAAGAAAAGAGCATATTCAGAATAGAATAGAATAGAATAGAATAGAAATCATTTATTCAAATAAACTTACATTGAAGCACTTTTGAAAAGTCATTACATTTTTTTTAATTTACCGCTCGTTCGGAAAGCTGTCTCATCACAAGAAGAACGAGCAAGAAACTTGCGTGATGCTCTTTTAAATAATTTTATTATTATTTTACATTTTTAAGTTTAATTGTGTGAATACAAACCACCAATTAGCACTAATTCAATTAAATACTCAAAAAGAGAAAAAAAAAATTGAATACATAACCAACTGGTTAAACAATTAATAAGAGGAAATCAGTCATAGTGATTAGAGCAGACCAGTCCCTACAAGCAGCACCCGTTCACGAGTATGACGGATGAGCCAGCCATCACTGCGCTCGACCATATTTTAGGGAGCCCAATGACCCGGCCCACCACGCCGCCACAAGTCTGGACATTTTAGTGAGCATGACTACTCAAAACACTAGACCACGTCAAAGCTACTCACAATTGCCATCTGATAGTTATAGTATTCACATTTTACATAAGAATGCATGCGGCAATTAATACAAAAAACCGCTACGCTTTCATATTTCTAAAATTAATCAATTAAATCAAGAAAGCAATGAGAAAATAAAATTATAACGTTGTATGCTAATAAACTAATTATTTACTTGATATGTTGTCATCTATGAATTCGTCTATCCTGTAATAGGCTTTCTTACATAAAAATTGTTTAATATAAGATTTGAATTGCCTCTCTGTCAGATTTAATGCAGATTCCGGCAGTTTATTATAAAATCTTATGCAATTACCATAGAATGAATTACTGATTTTGTGCAGACGGCATTTAGGTAAAATAAGCTTATTTATATTGCGTAAGTTTCTACTTGTACAGTCTTTGAGTTTTTTAAAACTCGCTAAGTTCTTCCGTGTATACATAATATTTTCATAAATGTATTGTGAAGTAACTGTGAGGATATTTGAGTCTTTAAAGCACTGACGTAATGACTCTCTCGAACCCATACCATAAATAGAACGTATGGCTCTCTTTTGTAAAACAAATATAGTATTTATATCGGCTGCTTTACCCCACAGCAGTATGCCATAAGACATTATGCTATGGAAATAACTAAAATATACAAGTTTAGCCGTCGCCACGTCTGTTAATTGCCTAATTCTTCTAATTGCATATGCAGCAGAACTGAGTCTACTGGCCAATTTTGAAATATGGGGCCCCCATTGTAATTTCGAGTCCACTGTTATACCTAAAAAAACTGTATCATTAACAAAATTTACTATTTCGTCATTAAGCAATAACTGTTTTATTATTTATTCCTTTTTAAAAGGCCGGCAGCACACCTGCAATGCCGTAGGTGTTGTGGGTGACCATGGGCGGCGGTAGTCACTTACCATCAGGTGAGCCGCATGCTAGTTTGCCCCCTGTGTTGTAAAAAAAAAAAAAAGTGGTAACCGTCGCCTATAGATATGAGCAGTACCATGGACATAACAGAGTATACAGTTTCGTCCATGATACCTCTTATGCGTTGCTATTCCTGAGAACTAAAGTGTTAGTTCTCTGTACCCTGTAAATTTCTTTCAACAAGACGAGATGCTGCTACTCAAAGCACCATATTCCTTCTGAAGAAGAACTTTGGAACTCTGAAGTCGAAGTCGAAACAATTGTCGGAAACGACAAACGAAGTAAATTCATAAAATTCCCGTTACACATTGATAATTTAGTACTTTTTAAAAAAAAAATCCTTTTTTCTCTTCAAGTCTATTGACCCGACCCGGCTTCGCCCGGGTAGATTCTTTAAAAAAGGAATACAAAGTTTTCTTTAGGTTCAACATGCACGTAATACCCCTGGTAATGCAGACGTTCATAGGCTACGGTAACCGCTTACCATCAGGTGGGCCGTAAACTTGTTTGCCACCTCAATGGCAAACAAGTTACAAAAACATTGTAAATTTAAATAAACGCACAAGTGACCCAACCATAAGGCAATCTGTTAATGCTATAGACATTTGGATTTGATTGATTCATTATTTCGATTTATTATTTATTTTATTTGGAGGATTTTTCTGTGATAATTTTTACAATTTTTGGCTACCTATTTATTTTATATTAGTAAAACTGTCTATACAAAGTTCTAATTTAAAACTTCCTCCAGCTCTGGACCCTGCTTCGTACGGATGGGTTCTCAACAGCAACAAATTCAAACCTGAAGATGGGCAATACACCGAAGTGATCCACACCAACGCCGGTGTCCAGGGCTACGTGGGAACCCTGGGTGATGTCGACTTCTATCCTAACAGTGGTGTTAACATGCCCGGCTGTATTACACCTGCTTGCGATCATGCCAGGTGAGTGAATTTAAATATAATAATAATTCTGGGTCCAAAGGAGACCAGAGGGAGACTTTGTACAAAAGTGCATGGCTGTGTTTCGGTTTGAAGGGTGGGATATGGCGTGAATTTACTGGGTACGGAGGAATAACACCTGAGTCCTCAGGAATGGCAACACATGGGGGGTATCATGGGCGAAACAGTATACTTTGTTATGTCCATGGTACTGCTCATGTCTATAGGCGACGGTTACCACATTCCATCAGATGGGCCGTCAGCTTGTTTACTATTCTATGTTGTATAAAAAAAAAAATAAGATACCCTGTTCTATAAGGAACAAGGCAACAACAACTTCGAGTTGGCTTCAGTTTGGTGTTCGTTGCCTCATTTCTTATAACATAGAATATCCTGACTCGAAGACCAGGTGATCGGTGCAATTGTATGGTACTTCTTATAAAAACAATACAAGTATTACCACAAATTTGTCCTGCCTCCCTCTAATACGTACCTTGCATTTTTAGGTCCTACTTCTACTTCGCTGAGTCTCTGGTCAGCGGTGGGTTCACCGGTCGTCGCTGTGCCACCACCACTGCCGCTATGGGAGGAGGTGTCTGTCTTGCGAGAGGCAATCTGAATTTGGGCGGCATTGAGCCTAAGACTGGGTAAGATAGAAGATCTTTTACCTTTTAATTGACTGAAGTTAGGTTGTATTTCTGAGCGAAATTTCTTTTTACAACTTAAATATCTAACAAGGTGACGGCGCATCTGATGGAAAATTGGAACTAGGAATAGGTGTGGGTAATATCGTTTATTTATTAGAATAGAATAGAAACATTTATTGCCAGTAAACTTACAATATAAAATATAAATGACATATACAAAAAGTGTCCCACATCCGGCAAAAGGAACCGGCTCAGCGGATGCTGTGAGTGTCCCAGCGCAATGTGAACAGCTACACAGCGCTGGTTTTCAGCCAGTCCCTCTCTTATAAAACAACCAAAGTGCAGGGTACCACTGTACATTACTTATTTATGATATCTAATCAGTAACTATATATTCGATTTTAAATACATGTTATCAGCAATTTTTATAATCCGGAATTCTTTACAATATTTAGGCAATGTGTGTACCTAAAACGTTAAGATGAAGTATGAAATATTACCTCTTTTACTTACTTTGCCCAAGTATTCTTTCAAAATTGAATACGCAGCCGGCAATGTTTGTAAAAGACGAGAGTAGGGAAAGGTACTGTTGATCGTCTACGATCAAAGGTTAAGAACAATTGTTAGAAGCTATAAAAAATGCAAAAACAGTCGAAATAGAATCACCACGGAAATCACAACATATTTAAGAATTATGTTATTAAAATTATTTACTTTATTTTATTTATTTATTCATTAGTACAGATATGTGTACATGGCGGACTTAATGCTAAAACATTCTCTCCCAGTCAACCATAGGGAAGTGTCAGAATACTCGAATGCGGTACTAGTAATTATTGATAAAAGTACATAGATACTAAAATTACATATATAAACGAATAGATATATATAAATAACAAATATACTTACACATATATAATATATACCATATTATACACGAAATCGAGCATATGGGCAATCGTGTAGAACAATGTCATCACTGGCAACACGCACTTGCTAAATACCTTGGTCATCAAACTTTGAGGTATTTTGGAATATTTAGGTGAAAGACCAAATGTGGAATATTTCATACATTACTTGGATGCGTCAAGTATTCTATACATTGTCTAGCTATTTTTATTTATTTTATTTATTTATTTATTTATTAAACACATAAAACAGATTATAACCATAGAAAAAAACTTAAGTAGTAGTTACATTTGTGAAATAGCTTTACCAGAGGGAGACTTTGTACAAAAGTCTTTTGCTTGGGTACCTCTGTCTCATTCGTGTTTCTACCGTGAAGCAGTTGTGTTTGCATGGCTGTGTTTCGGTTTGAAGGGTGGGATATGGCGAGAATTTACAGGGTACAGAGGAATAACACCTGAATCCTCAGGAATGGCAACGCATGGGGGGTATCATGGGCGAAACAGTATACTCTGTTATGTCCATGGTACTGCTCATGTGTATAGGCGACGGTTATCACTTTGCATCAGGTGGTCCGTCAGCTTGTTTGCCATTCTAAATTGTATAAAAAAGTATTCTGTACATTGACTAGCTATTTTTGTTTATTTTATTTATTTATTTATTAAACACATAAAACAGATCATAACTATAAAAAAACTGAAGTAATAGTTACATTTGTCATACAAATAGATTACAATCCAATTACATTATGTGCACAGCTTGTGTAATTTTATGTAAAGCAAGCAAATATAAAAAAGAAAATACTTAAAATGCTATATAAATATATAAAAGATAAAAGTATAAAAAATATATATTTCTATTATTATTATAGCTATTCTATTATTATACCTGAATTATACAGATTGCCAGAAACATATATATCGTACCAAATTTGGATTAACTTTTTTTTTTCGTTTAATTAGCATGCATTAATACATTAAAAAAAAAACTGGATTTTCAGTACCACTTAAACCTCTTGGGCTTGCGTGTGATACTTTACATTTGTTTCTCAAATATCAATATTTACATTAACATTCTGCTGTTTTAGCAAGGTTGGACAGTAAATAAGCTTTCTATAAGCTATAATGTAATATTATATGCGGTGAAGTTGATATATCGCCCGCATTAGATTTGATATCTCTCAAATCGAGTCCAACATCTATTTTAGTACTTAGTAAAAGAAACTCATCACCTATTATGAGTACGACATCGTCCGTATCAGATTCATTACCGCCCACACAGGGCCCACCGGTTCCAAAATCTTAAAGCGCTATGGATATCAAATACCAGTACGAAGGGATGGCCTATTCTATGGCGGGACCACGCGGCCGTTCCTTAAATATATTTAAGAGATATATTTTCATAAAAATTCTGTATTAGTTTTCAAAAAAAGAACCGAGTTTTTTTTTCTTCTTTCTTTTACAATAATTAACCCTTCTTTGCATGTTTTTTTTTTTTTTATTGGTAAAATAAATCAAGGTGATATAATTCATGTTCAAAATTAAAGGAAAAATAGTCAAGAAAATAAATTTGGCAGCTATGTTTTTTTTCTCCGCAATGGACATTAAAAAGGTATCCAGACACGATCAACTTAAAGTGAACTTGTTCTTTTATATAATTTTTGGGCGTTTAATGTTGTGATGGAAATTTCCACCATTATGCAAGGAAGGGTCAAAATGGCAAACACGCTGACGACCCGCCTTATGTGAAGTGGTAACCGTCGCCTGTAAACATAAACAGCATTGTAGATATTACAGAGTTTATTTCTACTATTATGTCCACTAAGTACCAGCTATTCAAGGACAGCCGCTTCAAGACACACGAGTGGGACAATGGTACCCATGCAGACATAAATGTTTATTTCAATATGTGATATTTCTTTTTCAGATCTTCTGGAATCTATCACTTAAGGACCAATTCTCGCCCACCATTCTCAAGAGGTTGAAATATTATGAAATTGAATTAAGACTTGGACTTAGTAATACTTATTATTATTATAAATAAATAAATATTTTAAATGCATTTTTTATCTCTTTTTTTTGTACAAAATGAGATTCTTACATACCAGAGGGAGACTTTACAAAAGTTGTTTGCTTGGGCGCCTCTGTGTCATTCAGGTTTCTACCGTGAAGCAGTTGTGTTTGCATGGCTGAGTTTTGGTTTGAAGGGTGGGATATGGCAGTGAATTTACTGGGTACAGAGGAATAGCACCTGAGTCCTCACTAATGACAACGCATGGGGGTATCATGGACGAAACATAACACTCTGTTAAGTCCATGGTACTGCTCATGTCTATAGGCGACGGTTATCACTTTAAATCCGGTGGGCCGTCAGCTTGTTTGCTTTTTTAAATTGCATAAAAATGCGGACAGACTGTGAGTATATGTATGTATGTGAATGAAAGTGTATGGTCGGGTATGGAAATGTACTCACACACGTGTATAACATATGGTTTTGTATTTAAATTATTCGCGACGATTGTTTTTAATTAATTTAATATTAATATGTTTATATTTTCTATGTAAATATTATTTTATAAGGAAACAGGCTGGCCATAAACAATTGAGCTACTTCGACTTTCTTTTTTATTTGTAAATAGGTACTAATCGAATAATTAAAAATAATATTTTTTTTTAAAACAGATTAAGAGGTATATGCACTTTGAAATAGATAGATAGATACTCTTTATTGTTTCCTCCAAAAGATTACAATAAAAAACCTATTATAAATATAAATAATTACAAGAAATGATCACAGCGAGAAAACAATGGGCGACCTTATCTTTTACAACCATATTAAAACAAATTGAAGAAACCGCCAAATTTCAAGGACAGTCCATAATTTCTTCTTTCTCCAACTCAAGATTGTCTGGAAGAGTCACTTCTATTTATATATTTATACTCATTTTTTCTCTTTGCAACTAGTTTTTTTTTTAGTTTAAATATGAATATAAAATAATTCTTACATAAAAAAAAAAACAAAAATATCATAATTTCAGCCATTAACTGCCCACTCCTCCATGTAGGCCTTCCCCATAGACTGGCAAATGGAACAGTCTTGAGCCACTTGCATCCACTGACTTCCTGCAATGTATTTGAGGTCGTCGCTCCATCTAGTTCCTACTAGACTACTTTCTAGTTTTTTTTTTTTTTGTAATGATTATTTTATATTCATATTTAAACTAAAAAAAAAAAACTAGTTGCAAAGAGAAAAAATGGGTATAAATATATAAATAGAAGTGACTCTTCCAGACAATCTTGAGATCGTGAAAGAAGAAATTATGGACTGTCCTTGAAATTTGACGGTTTCTTCAATTTGTTTTAATATATTTGTAGAAGATACAAATTTCAAAGTGCATATTTTGTAGTGTGACCAGGAGGTCACCCTACAAAATAAGAGCTAAAATAAAGAAATAAATATAGATAGATCTCGTATCTATCTATATTTATTATTAATCCTTTTAACATTAGAAATACATACGTAAGTAACTCTTTCACACAAAAAGTGCTAAACTAAATATGGTTGACATTTCATACACAAATAGGTTACATCCTAACTGAGCACATAGAATATTTTATGTACTGATTCACATAAGTAAAGCCCCAAGATACAGCTATTTAAAAATAGATAAAATATACAAAAAAAAAATATATAACAAAAATATTCCCTCGCAAATAATTTGCCGTTTTCGATATTTTGTGACGCAGTAAGCTGTATACGACCATTCGATTTAATTTATAAGTACTTATAAGTGATTATTAAACCCAATCAGTGAAAGATTGAAGGTGATAAATAGACATGACCAATTATCTAGTCACCCATCGAACGCAATTACTTCTATCTTAGGATTAGATGGTTCGAAAGAAAAAACAATGATAAAACATTATAAATTTTGATGTTTATCTAAAAAGAATAAAAAAAAAACAATGCTATCACCTCATTAGTGACGTTCAAAATGATTCGTCTTAATTAGATAGTAAGGTACATAAAACAATTGACAGCTTGCCATTCCATTAAATTCACTGACAAACATGGCCACGCTCGGACTTCTGCTTCTATTCGTGGTTGCTTGTGCTTCAGGTTTGTTATATTTCTATTATAATTATTATTATCCACTGCTGAAGATAAATCCCCATAAAGGGGGGTTTTAAGAGGATAGATACCACGCTTGGTGGGCGGGTTGGCAAATACAGTTAGGCTTTGGTGATGTTTTAAAAGAGACGCTGCTGGCTACACCTCGTTCATTTAGTTTTGCATTAAGCTCTTAAACGGTTTTTACGACATCCAAAGGAAAGGAAGGGATGGCCCATTCTATTCTATTCTTTTATAATAAATAGACAAAAGAGAGTGTCTACCATTGGGGAAGGGTTTGCCAGTAGTTGCCACGCTTGGCAGCCGGGTTGGCAACCGCAGTTAGGTCTTTTGAGATATTTTAAGAGGGACGTTGCTGCTCATCCCTCGACCATAAGTCTCCTTAGTCGCCTCTTACGACACACACGAGAAAGGAAGGGGGTGGCCCATTCTACGCCGGGACCGACTCGGCGAAAAAGCTTCTAAATACTCAGCGGGCTATGGAGAGGGCTATGTTCTGAATCTCTTTGCGTGATAGAATCCGAAACGGTCCTCGTTTCCGCAAAATAACCGACATAGCCCGAATGATAAGTAAGCTGAAGTGGCAATGGGCTGGTCACATAGCTCGAAGAACCGATAACCGATGGGGGATAAAGATTCTTGAGTGGCGACCGCGTACGGGAAAATTATCATACACAAGTTTCGATTCCAACGCCATATTTCTTGTTTAATTTTAACTAGTGACCAGCCACCTCAATCTTCTTGTCATTTCTGTCTGCAGCACTACCGGCTGACCCGGTTATCCTGAAGTACGATGAGAACCGATACCAGTACATCCGTGGACCGGATGGGACCCCACACTTGGAGGATATGTGGATGAAGGCAAGCGACCTCGCTGGAGTAGCCAGATACAACCCTGACAGGCAAAACGTCTACCATCTCTTCACCAGGTATGTGTGAACTCAAATACAATATTTACTAATATTATAGTATGGCATGCTCTTGTATTAATCGATGATAATGGAATGGTAAACCCGCCTGCGCTAATGCAAGCTAAATACACTGGCGGGGCACCAGTCAGGGATGATAGATGACAATGAAAGTAGGTCAGTCGGCCCATAGTGATGAATTCATAAAAAACACGCAAGTTGGTTTCCAGGGAGAATTGCGTGCAAGTCGACCTGATAACGTATATTGTTAGCAATGAGGCCTCTAGTCCCATTACTAACAATTCCTTTCCCCCCGCTATGGTATGGTATTGGTACGGTAACCTCGCCTGCACTATCGGATTACTCTAACAGGGACACCAGTGAGGGATCCAATGGCAATACGGGTATACAACAAGTTACCTTCAGAAATAAAGGATCTTCCGATAGAGACATTTAAATCAAACTTATTTCATTTTCTTTTGGAAAAGTGCTATTACACAGTTATTGAATATTTAAATGACAAAAAATGTAATAAAAGATGTAATGTGTTAAAAATTACCTAAAATATAAACCATAATTTTATATGATAATTTGAAATAAAGAATACATTATTTTGAAAAACCTTTGGATTTTATAATTGTAATATAATGTAGAAACTAAATACAGTTAAACATTTGCATACCTCCGCGGGGTGCTGCATGTTGTGTGCCTACTTGTATATGTAACTTCTTATTGTACCATGTAGCAAGCGAATAAATATGATTTCATTTGATTTGATGATATGTGAGCACGAAGTCGTACCAGTTGGCCTACGTAACGAATTCGCCATGAATTAACCAGAGATTGTTAGCAATGGAAATTAGCAATCCTATATATAAAAGCCAAAGGTGGTCATTTCGAATAAAATATTTCTTTTATTTTTTGACTTTTAAGACCTTAATAAATATGTAGGTAGGTATAAATATTTTAGTAATATTACATTATTTCACAAAAAAAAATGCATTTTCATTTGTAACAGAACTTATGGCTGAACTAGGTATATATGCACATAAACCTTATAAATATATATATAAACAAAGACTAATCTCGTCATTGCGAATGCTAATATAATTGGGAATTAAATGCGTTTGAATACAATTAGCACATTTGTAGTAATTACAGGGATTCGTGGTAGCAATACATTCTCGTTTCTGAACTTCGATAACATATATATATATATATATATATATATATATATATATATATATATATATATATATATATATATATATATATATATATATACTTACTTCATGAAAAGGTGAGATTTCAATCTTTTCATGAAGGAAATAATGTATTAATATAATAAAGTTTGTTCGTTTGAACGATCTCTGAAACTACCAGTCGGATTTTAAATATTTCTTTTGAATTTGATAGCTCAGCTCTTGAATTAGCTTATAAGCTATTCGACATCACGACACGACGACGAGAGAAGCCACGTTGATCGGCTAGTTTCAAAGACATATCTATATGCCCCCATCATACCAATAATCTATTATCCTATAATTTATAACAAGGTATCTATTAAAATGTATTAATCTTTTAATTGTAATTAATTTGTTATCAAATTGTAACATTAATCAATCTTCTTATCACACTAATGATAAACCCTTAGTGAAAATTCTTTATTCTTTTATCACCTTCATCATATCAGCCTTTGATTGTCCACTGCCGAATATAAGCCTCCTTCTTGGGGGTTTTTTTTAATGTGTAATAATGGAATGGTAGCCCCGCCTGCGCTATCGGTATACGCTGGCGGGGCACCAGTGACGAATGATAGGTGACGATGAAAAAGCAGGTCAGTTAGCCAATCGTGACGAATTCCACTTGAATTAATCACGATAGTTTCCAGGGGGAACCGCGTGGAGGTCGACCTGATAGGGTGCATTGCTAGTTATAGGGAAATCAGACCCCATTACTAACAATCTCTTTCCCCCCCCCCCCGCCCCTTCTTGGGGGATTTTTCCAGGAGTTGTTAGACTTGGCCAGCGGTTTGGCAACTGCAGTTAGGCTTTGGAATTGTTTTAAGAGGGACACTGCTGGTCAACTCTCGCCCTCCCTTAGTAGTTTGTTACGACACTATTCTATGCCGGGACCACACGGCGAGAATTTATAAAGTACGGGGACATAATGACATAATGTCCACTCACTACCGCCATGCTATGCCACTGTGTTAGGTTGACTGGAAGAAATCTCTTTTAGAGATAAGTTCGCCTTTGCTAACTTCAGATAGATAGATAGATACTCTTTATTGTTTCCTCCAAAATATTACAATAGTAAACTTATTATAGATACAAACAATTACAAGAAATAATCACAGTGAGAAAACAATGGGCGATCTCTTGCAGGCAACCTTTGGATGGAGAGGAGTAATTATAAACACTTTGATCGGAGACACGATGATATATATATATATATATATATATATATATATATATATATATATATATATAATTTAGTATTTACATAGTGTTATCATTATTTCAGAGAAAACCCGACCGTAAGCCAACCACTGCTGGTCGGTAACGAGGGTCTCCTTTCCCTGACCAATTACGACCGCTCACGTAGAACTGTCATCCTTCTCCACGGTTGGTTGGACACGGCCACTGCTGACTTCAACGCTGTTCTAGTGCCAGGTAATTTCTGATGTCATTTCAATGATGGCTGGCTCCTGCGTCATACTCGTGAACGGGTGCTGCCTGTAGAGACTGGTCCGGTCTGATCACTGCAACTGATTTATATATTTTAAATTGTATGACCTGATACTGCTTTGTTGTTTGTATTCACACAAATTCATTATTTATATAGTTCAGCTCTTTGAAAAAAGCAACAGCTGAGTTTCTGGCCTGTTCTTCTCGGCTGAAATGAGCGGTAATAAAAAAAACTATAAAAAAATGCTTAAATCTAAGTTTACTTGAATAAAATTATTTCTTTCTTTCTTACAAGCTTGTTTTTAGCTTGCATTCTATGATAGTTTGTTTAGGTAAAATCACCGTTAGGTACCAGAGGGTGAGTTTGTATAAAAACCCTCTATCCCACTCGTGTTACTGCTATGAAGCAGTTGTGTCTGCATGGCTGTGTTTCGGTTTGAAGGGTGGGATATGGCAGTGCAATTACAGGGTACAGAGGAATAACACCTGAGTCCTCAGGTTTTATGCCTCTGTACCTGTAAAACCATTTATTAGTTCACATTTGATTTATTAGTGGAACTGAAGATTATCATCAAAGGAACATGGATTATGCCCTTATAACTCTAATTGTACCCTATTTAAGTAAATTAAAGGTAATTATGATTCAGGGTCGATTTTTTTATACAACTTAGAATGGCAAACAAGCTAACGGCCCACCTGATGGAAAGTGGTAACCGTCGTCTATAAACATGAGCAGTACCATGGACATAACAGAGTATACTGTTTCGCCCATGATACCCCCATGCGTTGCCATTCTTGAAGATTCAGGTGTTATTCCTCTGTACCCTGTAAATTCATACATATCCCACCTTTCAAATCGAAACACAGCCATGCAAACACAACTGTTTCACGGTAGAAACACGAATGGGGCAAAAGTGTCCAAGCAAACAACTTTTGTACAAAGTCTCCCTCTGGTAAGTAAGAAGTAAGAACATTCGGCAATACTCGCGTGACATCCCTGGTACTCCAGGCGTCTATAGGCTACGATAACCCTGTTTACCAGAGGGGAAAGGGATTGTTAGTAATGGAGACTAATAGTCCCATTGCTAGCTAGCCCTGTCAGGTCAACCTCCACCCGGTTCCCCTGGAAACCATTTCGTCATGACGGTCTAGCTGACCTGCTTTCATTCTCACCTATCATCCCTCACTGGTGCCCCGCCAGTGTATACTGTTAGCACGGGCATAGTTGCTATGGGCGGGGGTCCCGTGCCATTATCATCCATTAAAAAAAACCCTCGTTGACCATCACGGAACGTATGCTTGTTTACCACCATGGTTAATGAAAAATAATTAATGAAAATAAATTTTGCGTGTCTCACATTAACACGATGCGTGCAGCCGCATTGTTCTTCGTGCCGAAATTTTCCACACACCTTTCGTTCCGGTGACAATATTAATGTATGTAAATTATATACAATAATCGTAATCAATCCTTAATAATATTATAAATGTGATAGTGAGTTTGTTTGTTTGTTAACTCTTAACAACTGAACCGATTACTATAAAATTTAATATCTACGTACTACATAGGATGGTGAAGGATATAGGCCACTTATTATCCCATTTATTATAATATTAATTGGGATAAGTATCCCATTTAATATTTGTATCCTTGCTACGTGGACGTAATCATTGGTAAAAGTACTCTTATTGGAGGGGGGGGGAAGGGATTGTTAATAATGGAGTTTGACAGCCCCATTACCAGCAATATGCCCTATTAGGTCGAACTCCATGTGGTTCCTCCTGAAAACCATCGTGAACAATTCTTGTTGAATTCATCACGATGGGCTAACTGACCTGCATTATCCTCACCTACCATCCTTTACTGGTGCCCCGCCGGTGTATACCGATAGCGCGAGTGGAGTTACCATACCATTATCACCCATAAAAAAAGTACTTTTATAATATTATCAAAATGGCCGCCACGTAGCCACAAGATGGCGGATAGTGTACATTTTGTTAACCCTATTAATATGGGTATCAAATAAATGACCATAATGAGCACGAAACGTTGAAAAAAAGTAATTGCATTGTGTTTTTACAAATTCATTGATATAGTCGATTAAAGATAGTTTTAATAAAAAAAAAAACAATTATTCTCTTACAGCTTTTCTGGCCGTAGAGGATGTTAACATCATTGTGGTAGACTGGAGCGCTGGCGCTGATACGGGCGTTTATATTTCAGCTGTTGGCAACACTGTTACATCAGGCAAGTTATTTGGTTCTTTTAACTTATGTTTCTTAAGAACTTCCAAAAAAAGAAGTTCTTAATCTGTATTATTTTTAAGTGTATGTGTTTCGTTGCTGCCAATGCCAAAAAATTTATTTTTTACAATCAATAAAGTTCATTGGTAAATGTATTGGTTCCATGTAAATTATGTAATGACTGGAAATTAATTTTTCTTTCAACTCCAAAAAATTTTGGTGTATGTTTGAAAATATTTTATGAATTTTCAAAACTACCCCCACTTATACACACAGGCCGTAAGTTAGACACAAAAATCTTATTTGTATTTCTTCATGATTAATTCTTCCGATAACAAATTAAATTAATCCAGATCACAATAGGACAATAGAAAGCTCGTTGGGTTCTAATTTACTTGTCAAAATGTGGGCAAATCGAGTATTACATGGAGTAACGACATGAAGGTCAAACAGATCCTACATTACTAGCAATAGTGCCGCTAGCTCGCATTCCCAATCTTTAAAAGCGATTATGACTATGGCTGTTACGCTCACCACAAAGGCTACAGTTGACAAATGCCTCTGATTACACCCATTAGGAGGTAGGGAAGGGATTGTTAGTAATGCAAACTACCAGTCCCATTATTAGCAATATATCCTGTTAGGTCTGCCTCTACGTAATTCCCCCTGGAAACCACCATGCTGAATTCCTGGTGTATTTATCACGGTGGACTAACTGACCTGCCTTTTCATTCTCGTCTATCACCCTTCACTGATGCCCCGCCAGCATATACCGTTGGCGCAGGTGGGGTTACCATTCTATTGCCATCCATTTAAAAAACATCCATTAGGAATTGTACTTGTAAACATATTTAATTACTTCATAAACTTTCAGGCGAGAGCGTGGCCCGTTTCGTCAACTGGTTGAACTCAGTCACTGGCGTCACTGCTGATAGATACCACATTGTAGGACTTGGCCTTGGTGGTCACCAAGCTGGTATTATTGCCAGGAACGTTGATGGCGAAATCGCGTACATAACTGGTAAGTATAATGACAAAATGTTAGATACTCTTTTAAAAACTAATCGTCAAAATCTTCAGAGGGTAACTTTATAACAGTCATCTGCATATATATGCTGTCCTATCATATTTTGACGCAAAGCATGGCATGCTTGCATGGCTGTGTTCTGTTTGAATAGTGGGATATGACAGTGAAATTAAAGGGTACGGAGACATGATAGTCCTTAGGAATGGCATAGTTAGAGCAAACGTCATGTGCTGCCATTCCTGAGGACTAATATGCGGGATATCATAGGCATAACAGTGTACTTTTATTCCATGATATCCATGGTGCTGTTCTTGTTTAAAGGCTACAATTACCTCTTTCTATCAGGGAGGCTGTGACTGCCACTTCATGTTTTATAAAAAACAGCCAATAACAATATTAGGTTTCCTATAACTAGACCATATAACTTCTATTTCTTATTAATATATTTTCTTCAGCACTGGACCCTGCCTCATACGGATGGGTTCTCAACAGCAACAAATTGAGACCAGAAGACAGTCAATACACCGAAGTGATCCACACCAACGCAGGTGTCCAGGGCTATGTAGGAACCTTGGGTGATGTCGACTTCTATCCCAACAGTGGTGTTAACATGCCCGGCTGTATTACACCTGGTTGCGATCATGCCAGGTAAGATACTTTTATTACCCAGGTAGCAATCTATTATTGGTTAAAGGAGGGGATTTCTAGGAATAGAAACCAGCGACTCTGTTGCTATCAATATTAGATCAATCTCCATGAAGTTACAAAAATCATCGTAGTTAATTTCTGGTAAGTTCATCACGATGGAGCAACTGGCGTGACTTGAATATGGAGAAAAGTACAAAGTATAGATACTGATTCTTGCCATTGCCTATGTTACCAGAGAGAAGCTTTGTACAAAAGTAGCCTGAAGGTGTACGTCTTTCCCACTCGTATTTCTGCCATGAAGCAATTGGCAGTCAATATGAAGGGTGGAATATGGCAGTGGATTTACAGGGTACAGAAGTATACCACCATAACTCTCAAGTAAAGCAAGAAGAATACTATGAATTCATAGTGTATTTTGTGATCACTATGGTGTTGTTCATGTCTATCAGTAATCATTGTTACTTTCCATCTGGTAGACTGTCAGATTGAATGCCATTTCAAGATCCTACACCTTGAAATTAGGTCAGTTAACAGTGGAACTTGAAAAACGGCTTCACTCATCGATTAATGCCGCATCTTAGGCTACAGTATAGAAGTTTAAATCCATTTTCAGGTCATACTTCTACTTCGCTGAGTCTTTGGTCTCTGGTGGATTCACTGGTCGTCGCTGTGCCACCACCACCGCCGCTATGGGTGGAGGGCTCTGCCTTGCGAGTGGAAACTTAAATTTGGGTGGAATTGAACCTAAGACTGGGTAAGATCTTCTCACTTGACTATGTGTAGACTTAGGCTGTTCACAAAAACACCTTCTTCACATGGCACCTCCACAAAACTTTATGATTACTAATTTGTCTACCGCATCCACCGCTGTATGAAAATTGCGGAGTCTTTGCACATAATCGCTTACTTATCGCCAAATGCATCAAACGTCGCCATTTGCAATCAGGTAACAAAAGGGCGAATTTGTTCATAACAGTAACTTTAGTTCCTAAATCGCTCTATTATACCCTGCTTGAAGCGAAAATCGAGCAAAATTCAATTTTCACATTCTGTTTGCGAAAAGCGTAATCAAGAAGCTTAATGAAATACTAGCGAAAACCTATTATTTAAAAGAAGCATCTAACGTCCCAGTGTTGAGCAAATACATACTTAAATACATATCTAATGTTAACTGAGATTTAAAAAGAGTAACTGCTGAGTTTCTTATGGATTGTTCTCTCCTATAACAACATTCCACACCCAGCAGCAGAATCCTGAAAAATAACGATTCAAAAGAGCTTGTAAACAAATTTATTTGAAACAAATATCATTTATATTTCATTTCTACCTTTTTAACTGAAATGCAACTACATATATGTCCAATACAATTAATAATATAAAAATATTTCATTTACAGATCTTCTGGAATTTACTACGTAAGAACCAACTCTCGACCACCGTTCTCAAGAGGATAAATAATTATAAATTAAGACGTGGACTGATAAAAACCATTATATAAATAAACAATTTCGTTGTAGTTTGTGATTTTATTTTATTATCTTATACTCGCTACACGACTAATATGTACGCCTCTGTCCCATTCGTGTTTCAACCGTGAAGCAGTTGTGTTTGCATGGCTGTGTTTCGGTTTGAAGGGTGGGATATGGCGTGAATTTACTGGGTACAGAGAAATAACATCTGAGTCCTCGAGAATGGCAACGCATGGGGGGTATCATGGACGAAACATATACTCTGTTATGTCCATGGTACTGCTCATGTGTATAGGCGACGGTTACCACTTTCCATCAGATGGGCCAACAGCTTGTATGCCTTTCTAAGTCGTATAAAAAAAAATAAAAAAAAGTCGTAAGAGACGACTAAGAAAATTTAATAGTCAATGAATAGGCAGCAGCGTTCCTTTAAAAATATCACCAAACCTGCCTTCCTACCGTAGTAACTATTAGCAAAACCCCCCAATAGGGGGAGGCCTATGTTTAGCAGTGGACAGTTAACGGCTAATATGACATTGACGATGATAAGATAATGTGGCCTCGATAATACACGATATGGGGGAAAGAGATTGTTAGTAATGGAGACTGAGAATCCCATTGCTAGCAATATACCCAACCAGGTCGACCTACTCGCGGTTCCCCCTGGAAACTATCATGGTTAATTCCTGATTAATTCATCATAATGCGCTAACTGGCCTATTTTCATTCTCATTTATCACCCTTCACTGGTGCTCCGCCAGCGTATCCCGTTAGCGCAGGCGGGGTTACCAATCCATTTTCACCTATCAAAAAAAAATACAAAATATGAAAATATTTTTGTGTGAAATTTAAAATGGCAGTGAAGCTGACGACCACAACGTGTTATTTTAAAAAAGCAATACGTAAGGCGTACCATGGATATTACAATGTATTATTATTTATAAGTAAATTTTTTGCCAGCTACCAAGCGTGGCAACTACTGACAATACCCGCCAAAAAGTAGAACCTATATTTAGCAGTGGACACTTAACTGCTGATTTCCACATCATCATCAACCATGATGATGACGCATCTGGTCGTTCACCATTCTAAGTTTTTTTTTTATGGGTGAAAATGGAATGGTAACCCCGCCTGGGCTAACGAGATACACGGGCGGAGCACCAGTGAAGGGTGATAGATGAGAATGAAAACAGGCCAGTTAGCCCATCATGATGAATTCATGAGGAATTAACCACGATAGTTTCCAGAGGGAACCGCGAGGAGGTCGACCTGATTGGGTATATTGCTAGCAATGGGATTCTCAGTCTCCATCACTAACAATCCCTTTCCCCCCCACCATTCTAAGTTGCATAAAAAATGTATAGGCTACGTAGATACGGAAGTGTACGAACACGAGCGAAGCCACAGTACAGAACTAGTGTTATATAAAAAGGCCGGAATTCTAACGCTACACAACACCAGGGTCTCAGCTAATTGACACACAATGCAAACATTATGTTTTTCGTTAATTAAATAGGAAAACATCTGTACACACATATGCGAAGTAAACATTAAATTTCATATAAATATGGCCAGAAAAAAATTACGTACAGTTAGTGATCCCAAAAAATGTCCCTGAAACTGATCGTGTTGGCCGCACTGGTGAGTTTACGTTCGAGATATTAATTGCGAATCGACTACGAAACAGAGATTTTTAATACAACGATACATTTGATCGTAAACCAATAAAGAATCATCTTTATCATCCCTTCTTTGCATGATTTTTTTTTATTGATGAAATATAACCTAGTGATATAATTCATGTTCAAAATTAAAGGAAAAATGTTTAAAAAATATAAATTTGACAGCTACGTTTTTTTTTCTGCATTGGACATTAAAAACGTATCCAGACACGATCAACTTAAAGTGAACTTGGTTTTTTATATAATTTTTGGGCAGTCAATGTTATGATGGAAATTTCCACCATTATGCAAAGAAGGGTTATATCAGCTTTTACCTGTCCACGGGAGGCTTATGATCATAAGCCTCCCTCTAGGGGGGTTTTGCTAGTAGTTACCATTCTTAGCAGGCGGATTAGCCACCGCAGTTAGGCTTTTGGAGATGTTTTAAAAACGCTGCTGCCCATCCCTTGTCTTCCCTTAGTCACCTCTTACGACACATACGGGAAAGGAAGGAGTGGCCTAATCTATGCCAGGATTATATGGGAATAAATAGTTTCTAATAAGTACTTAATTTTTTTTTTTTTTGCTATTTCTAAATCGACTTTTATTATTGTTTTTCAGTTGATTTTAAAAAGTAGGAGTTTTTCAGTTCTGCTTTGTTTTTTTTTTTAAATTTCTTATCTCATAACTCCGTGACTTTTAAATAGATTTAAAAAAATCTTTTTTTTTTTATCTGAAACATCCTTTTATTTTATTTTTTTAATTTACAGATTATTCTCATAGAATTTTTATTAAAGTCTTCAGTAGTTTAATTTTTAAAACAAAATATTTTTTTTTAACCACAATTGAAGTCTTTTTTTTATAAAACACAACCTTTAATTATAAATATAATTAGGGAAAGAACCACAAACCCATTTAGTAACGAAAAAAAAAAACAATAATTTAAATCTCAAATCATATGCCCATATTAATTCATTTATTCTTTTTTTTTTTTTTTTATTTTTCTATCTGCAACCAGTTCTTTTTTAGCTGTTAGCATATAGTGTTATATGTTATAGCCCATACTTAGATTATATAGATAGAGTGTCTACATACAAATGCTTCGAGAAAAACGGCTCAACCCTTTCATACAATTTTGCATGATAAATAGTTATGAGTGATTCCTTTATAACTTCTATATATATTTTGTTTTATAATTTTCGCATCTTTTGCAAATGCGTAAGAACTCATTTTATTTATTAAATAAATTAAATATAGATACGTCAGGATACATTGTGTTCGTAAGTATATAGCACACTGATAAACAAACGAGTCAGCTAATTTAAAAAAAAAAATTAACTAAGAAAAAGTTGACCAGTTTTTGAAACTCGATGCTCTATTTATGTAATCTACCCTCATATATGTTACGATTTAACAAAATTTTTAAATGACTTCCGAAACTTCGAAAGTTGTCGATTCGAAGCTAGCAGTGTCTGTGTATGATAAATTAGTATGAAGCCAAGATACGTTCGCCCCTTGTGACCAATTTACCAGGAATTAACCATGGTGTTTTTCAAAGATCTGCGTGAACGTTTACCTGATTAGGTGTATATTGCTAGCAATAAGATTGCTAGACTGCCCTAATTACTAACAATCCCTTTCCACAAAAAATAATTCAATTTTCTTTAATGGATGATAATGGAGGGATGGAACCAGTAAGAGATGATAGGTGAGGATGAAGCAGGTTACCCCACCATGGCGAATCTAACAAAAAATCGATCACGATGGTTTTCAGGGGGAACCACGAGGAGGTTGACCTAACAGGGTAATATACCCTAGCATACCATACCCTACATAATATAGCTAGCAATGGGGCTACTAATCCCTATTACTAACAATCCCTTCTCCCCCCCCCCCCCACCCCCGTCTTATCGCCTTCTCAAGGTCAGTAAGATGCTGATGATTCTTATTTGTACAGGTGGTAGTAGTTACCTCATCCCCCACTCCATTGCCGGGGTTAGGATTAGGGGTACACACCAAAACAGGAAAACCATGGTGGTCCGGATGGAGCCGACACGACGGAAGCGCCAGGAAAGGTTCCCAGTCTGGCTTGAAGATCGGAGGAGGTGGCTTCCTTAATGACGATTATAAATACCATGCGGTAAGTTCTGTAGAACTTAAGAGGAAAGAAGAGAAGAGAAATAACCATGTAAATGATTTTTCTTAGAACATAACAGGCAAACTAGTTTCACTCGCCTGATGGTAAAAATTACCATCGTCTATTGACGATTAAAAAAATTTCAAGTGTATTTTTAAACCACTAAGATGGCAAACGAGCATACGTCCCACCTGGTGGTAATTGGTTACTATAGCCGATGAACGCCTGCAAGGGACCATTTTTTTATGCAACTTAGAATGGCAAACATGCTGACGACTTACCTGATGGAAAGTGGTAATTTTTGTTTACAGACATGAACGTACCTCACCTATAGTCATCACAGAGTATACTGTTTCGCCCATGATACCTCCCATGCGTTGCCATTCCTGAGGACTCAGGTGTTATGCCTCTGTACCCTGTAAATTCACTACCATATTCCACCCTTCAAACTGAAATACTGCCACGCAGATACAACTGCTTCACGGTTGAAACATGAATAGGATAGAGGTATCCAAGCAAATGACTTTTGTACAAAGTCTCCCTCTGGTCATGTCCTAATTCTAATTGTATGAAAAAATAAACTATTATTTTATGAATATTTTTTGTGTCACATAAAAATATCTTACCTATTATCTCCAAATTATAAACAAGACATTAAATTCGATAACAAGGTTTTTAATAAATTGCTTATGTCAATTTAAAAAAAGGGGCAAAAAATGACATAACAATTACATATAATGAGTTTGAATTTGATAGCTGAACGCGCTTTATTAGTATAGTGACTCGAAATTATATTGTCATTTTTTGACCCATATTTTTTGGGAAAAATAAACACCTCCACTGATAGTAAATTCTATTAAAGAGAAATATTTCGATTTTACCCTTGAAGCTGTTTCTTGCAGCTTGATATAAAAGTATGATAACCTTTATTTATAATATAAATAGATGAAAACAAAAAATACAATAGAGACAATATATTTTACAAGAAATTATCAATATGGATCACTTTAGTTAGTCTATGTGAGTAGAAATCATTAACTATTTTACTTTCTGCCTACCTCAATGGAAGATAGACTAAACCATGTGTATACCTAAATAATCGAGATTTTTTTTTATAGTTTATATTACTTTAGATGTTTGAACCGCCTATAATTTAAATTTCATCAAAACCTAACTGACCCGGCAAACGTTTAAGATTTAAGGAATAAATTATATTTATTTTATAATGGTCAATAAAACAGTAATATCGCAAAATTAATAAATTAAAATATTGACTTAAGAAATAAGTTTTGAGAATAGCACCTTCGGATCCAATATTTAATTGAAATGAATAATTTGTATGATAAAAAGACATTATAATAAAAATATGATAAAATAAAAAGAAAGATAAATAGTGTATTTACATTTTTAATGGACAATATACTAATTTTTGTCCTCGAACGTTAATAAGAACGTCGGAGTAAGAAATTAGTCCAGATCTTCTCGAACTTTGCGATAAACAATTCATTTTTATTAATATAGATTTATATTTTCAGGGTGACAACGTACTTCAACCTTTCGGTAAGTGACAATTTAAAATATAGGTATTATGTACTTAGGGTCTTAATCTTAAAATCATTTCTTTTTGTAAATATATAAGTATTAATAATAATTTATTAATTATATTTTATAATTATTCCAATAAATTTATTAACTAGCTAAATAAAAATTATTTCGATACATAAAAAAATATATGTATAGAATTGTATCAAAATTACCCAAAGGAACATAAGTAGAAAAATGTCAAAATATTTCGAGTTGAGACAGCTGGACTGCCCGTACTAATACGGCGCGTCCAGCTGTCAAATTAATTTTTTTTTTGTTACTTTTGGACCCATGTTACTATGGGAAAAAGATATATTTTGTCTAATAAACTTCCTTAAAGGGTTATTAACGACTTTGATTTCATTCTGTATAAAAAAAGATTCTGATGTCGTGATTACTGATAATTTATAAATGATTAATAATGTTTTAATTTATTGATTTTCAGGTTACTTGGCTAAGGGAGTGACCAATATCGCCGGTGACGCGGGAGCCATTTTGACTAAAATCTCCCATCTGAGTAAGTATTTTTACACTAATTGCATCTCGCGGAATCTCTTACGTGTTTATATAAAAACGCCAATAAAATTTAAATATTATATATTACGAATTTCTGTAAATTTGTGTTACCAAATAGGATAGAATCATTGAAATTAAGATATTAAAGAAATAATTAAAACTAATTAACAATAAATAGTAAAAGTCATAAGATGGGATTAACGGAATTTAATAGTCAATAGTGGTCAGCAGCGGCCCTCTTAAAACATCGCCAAAATGATTGCCAACCCGGCTGCCATACGTAATAACTATGGGCCAAACACTTAAAGGGGATTCCTATGTCCAGCAATGGACAGTTAACAGCTGGTATAATAATGATGAACATAATAGATCAATCGTAGCGGCCAGATCAATTCCCACAAAGCAGATCTCGTTCACAAGTATGACGGGTGGACCATTCAATATTTACTTTTTTTTTTCAGAATACCCCGGCAACTTCGATGACGCCATCAACGTTATCATTGGTGGTGAGTTATATTTCGTTTGTTCATTAATATAAGTATTTTTTTTTAATTTTTAACTGACCCAGTTCTAAATAAAGAAGGATTAATTAAATTAAAAAGAAAAATAATTTGAGCGTCAAATTAAAATTCTAATAACTCTCCGGTGACGAAAAACATCGATAACCGACTAAACTCTCGGGGTTCTCAATATGCTCGATAAATAAGTATTACGTTCTGCATAACGGCAACAATCGACAATTGCCACTAATTACTCCATTAGGGATTGCAGTCGTGAGCAATGTTTTTTTCTGTTTTATTTTAGTCCCCAAAAAATTGTGTTAAAAGTTAACTTCCTACACAAATGGAAAATGAATCTGTCAATACGTTTTTGCTACGGTACACATACTATAGAACGAGACAGCAGAGTTCGACATCTTGTTCTTTCACATGTGTGTGGTAACGAAACTGTATCTAACGAAAGATCAGCTTGTTACTTGACTTGACTGTAGCGTTTGTTACAATTATATATTTTTTTTCCAGTGGCTCGTGCGGCAAGAGGCATCATTAACACTCTAATTCCTGGCCGTGAGTATATTAGCTTTTATTTAAAAAAAAAAACTTATGGTAATAGTGTATAGGTATTTGGTGGAACTTTGACCAGTATTGTTATTATTAGAAAGATTTGAACTCTTTTAAAAATTTATAAAAAAAAAGTGTATTTTCTAATAATATCAAGAGAATTCTTTCTTTTACTCAGAAAAATATTGTGTGTAAAAAGAAAGAGACAAAAATTTATTGAAAAAACATTAATCCTGATACTAACGTAATTATTTAACCTATTTTAATAGCTACGATAAGCATTAGTTATGTTTTTTCCATGAAAGTTACACAATATCTTTGATTCTATATTAATGATTGATTTTAGATTTATTTGACCCTTAGATTTTGATATTTTTTTTTCAAAAGAGCTCGTTCTTTTTCTCATCGAAAATAAAAATCAAATCGTTTATTTCATATCATTTTAGTCCTAATCTAAGTATGAAATACTAATTTTTATTTTTTTTATTTCAGTTGGATCGCTTTTTCAAAACAGTAAGTATACATTTTCATTATTTTTACAAAATTTATTTAGGTACTCATTTTTGTATGCGTAATTTCAAGATAAACCACTTTTATGCGTTTTTTACGTTGTCGTAATAATTGAAAAATAATTTTACCGTTGGTATTTATTCCAAAATTAATAATTATAGTAAACCATTAAATAAATGTAGTAAATAATTACGCACACGATATATTTACTTATTTATTTTGTATTTTTTTACAGTTATCATCGCTATTGCTAGGATTGTCATCTGCGTCGGCGGGTCACTTGGTGACAAAAAAGGTAAATATTTTATATGCAAATATCCAAATTACTGTTTTTCGTAGGATTTTACAAGATATTGATAATCCTTATATATTCTTTATGGATGATAGGTGAAAATAAAAAGGCAGATCAGTTAACCCATTGCGATGAATACACATGGAATTCAGCGCAATGGTTTCCAAGGGGAACCATGTGGAAGTCAACCTGACAGAGTATAATGCTAGCAACGGAACTGATAGTCCACATTACTAACAAACCCTCCCCCCCAGAAGTTTGATATAATGCCGGTATAACCGGTAATTTTATTGGACGTCTCACCCTTCAAATTGAAGTACACCCAATTAAGCACAGCTGTTGATCAGCAGAAACATGAATGATATAGAAGTGTTCAAGCTGACAATTATTATACATTATTATACATTCTCCTTATAGTAATTCAATAATGGAGTTTTCTAAAAATTCTATGGCAGTTTTTTTTATTTTATTTTTCTCTTCCAGGTACCCCAGCGCTTTGCCAGAGCAATTATGGACAGCAATGGGGCCTGTCTAGTTACACCGGTGGCTATGCCAATGCTGAAGTCGTCATCAAGTTCTACAACCTTGTACAAGTTCATTCCCAAGTGGACGATATCGTCGGAAAGTACACGAATGGAAAAGGTGTCAGCTCTCTTTCAGGTAAGTGTTAATAAACTAAAATAAGTAAAAGAAAAAATCTCTTTTGCATAATCGTGACACTTGTATACAGATTTAACAAATTTAAAACAATAATTATCAATATAAATTATATTTGCCGACCTTTTTACCATATAGCGGCTGAGTTATAAATAGTGACAAAGTTGAAAACGGCTGAGACTCAGCCTCTTTAATTAAATTGCATTTAATATATTAATTTCCATTCTATAATTAATTTAATTAATAATTAATTTATTTCTGTTTCAGGTACCGATAAAATCGTTGTGCAGTTGGTAATCGAATTGGGAGATTTGATCGACAGTAAGTATTTGGCATTTTAATAAGTGTTATTTCTTAATTTATTTAAGAATAAAGAATTTGTAATGAAAAAAAATATATAGTTTATAAATATTATATAAATTAATGTAATTATATTTTAATCTACACCTTCTTTTTCAGATAACAACGGTAAATGGAGCCATGAGGATATCGTTACAGCTTTCGTCAAGGGTGAGTGGTCTTCCCCTTCTTTAATTTTTTCATCATCATTATCATCATATCAGCCTTTAATTGTCCAATGCTGAGCCTTCTCCTTGGGAGGATTTGCCAGTGGGTGGCCTTGCTACGCTTGACAGACGGATTGGCAATCGTAGTCAGGCTGTAAAATATTTCAAGAGGGACGCTGCTGCCCATTCCTCGCCCTCCCTTAGTCGACTCTTACGACATCCACGAGAAAGGATGGGGTGGCCTATTCTATGACGGGACCACACGGTCAATTTTTTTTTTAATTACTGATATCACGTTATTATAGTTTGTTTGTTTGATAACTTTCAACACATTAACGTGCATGCATTAGACGGGTTGTGGTAGATGAAACAAGAGATATAGCTAAGGAGAAAGACTTTTAGAACTCAATACGAGTTCCATGTTTGCCTATTCCGCAAGTCTAGATGGAAATTTAAAATTAAATTAAATTAAATCAAAATAAATACATGGTACTGCTCATGTCTATAGGCGACGGTTACCACTTTCCACCAGGTGGGCCGTCAGCTTGTTTGCCATTTTAAGTTGTATAAAAAAATCCATGTCGATGATGATCTCTTTCCTTATCCTGTTAATTGTAACTATTTTTTTTTTCTATTATTTTTAGTTTCGACCGTCATCGGTGTTGTTGGTAACAGTTACGCTAGCGGACGTAAGTATTATACTATTCTTATATTATATATATAACTATATTGACTAAATCTTAATATTTAATCTAAATATTTATACAAGCCCACCTTGGCAAAACACAAGAATTTCTGCATGTAATGTTTCAAGACTTTGTATAAAGTCTCTTATAAGTACTTGTTATGGAATATTTAATTAACAAGTTTGGCATGTTGTTCATTTATATATTGTACTTCAATATAACTTATACAGTATATAAGGTGAACTTAACACCATAAATTTTATAGTGTGATCTACACATCAATCATTAAATCAATATCAGTCAGATCAATAAATAGCAATGAAAAATAAATAAATAAAAATAATTTGTGACTTAATTTACTAATCGTAATTTCCTTTTTACAGTTGGTGAAGATCTTGTGGATTGTAAGTAGTTTTATTATTTTTCTTTTATTATTAAGTTAATCATTACAGCAATAATTATGGTTGCAATTCTCATAATGTACTATAAAGATCGATACAGAAAAATAACAAATCATTTAAAAATAAGTGAAACATTTTGCCTTAGTAAATTTAACAATTTATAATAATTATAACATAGCAGTAGAAACATGAAAAATTGACAATTTTAAAAAGACTTGTAAACAAGTTGATTTAAATAAACATAATTAAAAATGTTCTATTTTCTTTTTTAGCCGTAATCGCCTACGCTGAAAGCAGTTTCAAGGCTCAAGGATATTCTGGTAAGTTTATGACATCTTATCATACCTTTATAATATTTATATTATATAAAAAATATGTAACTAATATATCAAACAGCCTGAACTGCCGAACATAAGTACTATCATAATCATTGTGAATCTACATGGCTGAGATGGTTACCATCTCTATAGACATGAACAGATGTCATACTTTGACATACTTACATGACATACTTTCCATTAGATGAGCCGTCAGCTTACACGCCATTAAAAAAGTATAGAATTTATTATACACTCACTAATATTTGACACCCTTAATTATATTTAGACTCTCGTAATTTTGTTGTAGCCAACTCTATATCTAAATAATTCTTGTCATAGAAAATGACAATAAAACTTTTTTCCTACTTCCAGATCTGGTTTCTTTGGGATCGGAGATAAAGAAGAGAATTTCTGGATACGGACATTTCGACTTCAATGGTGCCTTGAAATCGGATTCAAACAGCAGCAATAGTTCCAATGGCCAGTCTGGTAACAATTCCAGCAGCTCAGACAACTCGAGCGACAACTCCAACGACAGCTCTGACAACAGTTCAAATAATTCAAACAATTCAAGCTCTAGTAACAACTCCAACGACAATTCAAACAGCAATTCTAATAACTCAGACAATTCAAGTTCAAATGGTAGTTCCAACAATAGTTCTAGTGACAATTCAAGTAACTCAAACAATTCGAGTTCAAACGGCAGTTCCAACAATGATTCCAGTGGTAATTCAAGTAACTCGAACAATTCGAGTTCAAATGATAGTTCCAACAATGGTTCCAGTAACAATTCCAGCAACTCCGATAATTCAAGCTCAAATGGCAATTCCAACAATGGATCCAATAGCGACAGCTCAAACAACAGTTCAAATGGTTCAAGCAGTTCAAACAATAGTTCCAAGAACGTACTTCGACCTTTTGGTAAGTGACAATTTAAAATTTGAATATATTTTTAACTTTTTACGTCTATGACATACAAACTAATATGGTGTACTAAATACCATGACTAATTCACAGAATAGTGATAATTACTTGAACAAGATAAAGACATATTCTATTTGCAAATACTTATAAATAATTTATTATTACTTTAAGTTTATAATCGTTAAATTATTTATTAAATAAAATAAATTTAATTACTAGTTAATAAATAACCATTTAACTAGATAATAGTATCGGTACATAAAAAAACCATAAGCAAGAAGGAAAGCGATAAAATATTACGAGCAGTTCTTCATAAAGCAGCACATCCAGCTGTGGAATTAATAAGGCCCAAAAGTGACAAAAGAATTTTGTCACTTTTATACCCTAACATAGGTATTGGAAAATATGTTCAGTTTGTCTGTCTGTTAATAACATTTCGTTAAAAGGATTTCACTCTGTATACAGAGTAACTCAGATCTCGTTATTTATCACAATCTATTAAAATTCAAATTATGTTTATTGAAATAGACTTGTTTATAAGTACTTTATAATTAATAAGCAATAACTTCTTATTATTTATTTCCAGGTTTCTTGGCTAAGGGAGTGACCAATGTCGCCGGTGACGCGAGCGCCATTTTGACTAGCATCTCACAACTGAGTAAGTGCTTTTATACTGGTTGCGCCCCCCGGCATCTTCTCCATAATGTAATATGTATTTATAAAAAAAGCAAAGAAAAGTTGATAATTATAAGAGGAATTTCTGTGAATACACACTTCTAAATAGTAGTAGTAATAGTAGTAATAATATTCAATCCACCTACATATATAATAAGTGTCCTAATATTCAAAGCAGATTAGCTCTCACAAAGCAACACCCGTTCACGAGTATGACGAGCGAAACATTTAATATTTACTTTACTTTTCAGAATTCCCCGGCACCTTCGATGACGCAATCAACGTCGTCATTGGCGGTAAGTTATATTTTGTTTACATCAGTTTAAATTCATAATTACGTTGTTTGTTTATCTCCCTAACAATAAAAAAATTAAGTGTAACGCTTTCGCTACTTCATGTATAAAAAAGAAAGAGTCAACAACGTCCGGCGTCTTGTTCTTTCTCATGTGTGTTATTTACGTTTTAATTAAGTTTCTTACTTGCATTGACTGTAACGTTTGTTTTAATTTTTCTTTTTCTTTTCTAGTGTCTCGTGCGGCAAGGAGCATCATTAACACTCTAATTCCTGGCCGTGAGTATATTTCTTTTTTTTTCCGAAAATACCAACTTACTTTTGTTAATAGCCATGAGTTTTATTTGGTAGAATTTTGAAAATGTAGTTATGTTATTAGAGAAACAATTTTCCTGATGTTTTTCTATTAATATTAAGAAAAATAGTTCTCTTAAGAAAAAGGAGAAAAAAAATAAAAAGCAATTAAATCCCATTCCAGACTAATAATAAATATTTAATTTAATTCCAGAAAAGCTATGATATATATTTACTCTGTTTTGCTACCACAAATGTTGCATCATATCTTTTCCCACTTCGATTTTTATAATTGTTTTAATTTACAGTTCTCCGATTTGTCTCTAAAAAATCATTTAGTCGCTAATTCTAAGTCTTTTCAATCATTATAACTATGTAATACTAATTTATATTTTATTTTTATTTCAGTTGGAACAATCTTTGGAAATAGTAAGTACATATTTTTATTATTTTCAATCCATATTTTCTTTTCGTTTCTTGACACAATAATTGGAAAATAATTTTCCTTTTGAAATTTATGGTAAAATTAGTAATGAAAATAAATTATTAATCATTAATTAAATTTAATAAGTAATTAAATTTAATAAGTAATAATATTGACAATTTATTTACATGTACTTTTTTGTTGTCCACAGTCGTCCTCGCCATTGCTAGGATTGTCATCTGTGTCGGCGGATCACTTGGTGGAAAGACAGGTAAATATTTTATATGCACCTAAAGTTAAGGTATTTAAATTGTCTTTGCCTATATTATATTACAAAATATTTATAAGATCTTAATGTACTTTATATAGATATACAGTTAGATTTTAATTCTTAAGGCTATGATGTTATGCCTCCGTCAGTATATTATAATATTACTGCCATCCAGGCCTTTAAACTAAAATACAGTTATGTTACCATAACCCTCTAGTAATTTAATATTTAACGCAAAGTTTTGTCGGGATTTCCTTACAGTTTAATTTTTTTTTTCTGTTCCATGTCTTGCAAACCCTTGTTGGATTTTACATTATACACACATATACATTAAATACTCATACATCGCCAATCTTGACAATATAATAGGATTTTACGCCTCCATCCGTACCCTATAATTTTATTGCCATCGTTTTCTTCCCTTGCAGTTCTTTTATTTTTATTCTTCTGTCCCAGGCTCTGCAGCACTTTGCCAGAAGAATTACGGACAGCAATGGGGCTTGTCTAGTTACACCGGTGGCTACGCCAGCGCTGAAGCCGTCATCAAGTTCTACAACCTTGCACAAGTTCATTCCCAAGTGGACGATGTCGTCGGAAAGTACACGAATGGAAAAGGTGTCAGCTCTCTATCAGGTTAGTTTTTTTCTTCTTCATTCGTTATTCACTTCATGTAGTTGCACTTGTATGTGACAAATCTAGAAATTTTTAAACAAATTTAAACTTTAATTTATTGATTAAAAATTTTAATTAATATAAAATATATTTTTTTGAAGGTAGGGAAATAGACGGTAATTTGACGGTAGGGAAATAAATAAAATTATAATGTAAAAATTTGACGTTCATAAGCGGCTAAAATGTCCTACATGAATAAATGATTTTTGAATTTTGAATTTTGAATTTTGAAGCCCGTTTTGTTGAACATTGGCTAAGTGTGAGCGTCAAAATTGTAAAAGGCTCAAACTCAGCGGCTTTAATTTAAATTATATTAATTTTAAGTAACTATTCAATAATGTTAATTTATTTCTGTTTCAGGCACCGATAAAATCGTTGTACAGTTGGTCACCGAATTGGGAGATCTATTTGACAGTAAGTACTTGATATTTTAAAGAGTGTGCTCTATTCTACTTATTAAAAATAAAATATATATTTTCATAAAAAATTATGCAATGGTATACTAATCCACATTTTCTTTTACAGAGAACAGCGGCAAATTCAGTCAAGAGGACTTCATCACAGTTTTCGTCAAGGGTGAGTGGTTTTCCTATTCTATAACTTTTGCTGGTTTTTACCTAATATTATATATAAGATATATTAATGTAAGCTTGTTCGACTGATAAATTTGAGTGCCGTAACGCCGCATACAATCACATTTAGCATTTTGCGAGATTTTCTATATTTTGACCGTGTTATATAACTTTAACTTTTTTATATGAATGTGAAACAAAATCTTTATGTGATAGATGCGTAAGTAATTGAATATAGGTTTCTATCGTGACAGGACTAGGGACTTTGAAATACAAATCGGTGATTTTTCAGCAAGTAAAATTTCTAAATACATAATCTTCTTAAGAACTTCAGTTTCGAACCTTCCAAATTGACAATATTTTGTAAAAGATTCCTTCTACGTGTCCAGGAAATCACATATCCCCATATGTGATTTCCTGGAAACTCGAAACTGAAGACACATTTGAAAGATCCACTTTCTTGATTAGACTTAAAATGACTCAAATATTTTTGCCTATCCCAAATATACTAGATAGAAAAATTAACGAATATCCAACAACTAAAACAGGTATCCTCTTAAGACATTTATCTTCTTTTTTACGATTATTCAAAATAACTTGTTTTTTATTTTATATTTTCCAGTTTCCACTGTCATTGGTGTGGTTGGTAACAGTTACTCTAGCGGGCGTGAGTATTATACTGGTTATTTATATATTTATATTAAAAAGGTTGGCAGATATTTATACTAAATATCTGCCAACCTTTTTAATACACAAAACCTTGTATTAGCAATGTTAATGTTATGTAAAATCTGTTTCTCTTTATGCAACTTAGAATGGCAAACAAGCTGACGGCCCACCTGATGGAAAGTGGTAATCGTCGCCTATACACATGAGCAGTACCATGGACATAACAGAGTATACTGTTTTGCCCATGATACCACCTATGCGTTACCATTTCTGAGGACTCAGGTGTTATTCGACTATACCCTGTAAATTTACTGCCACATCCCACCCTTCAAACCAAAACAAAGCCATGCAAACATAACTGCTTCACGGCAGAATTATAAATATGACAGAGGTGTCCAAGCAAACGACTTTTATGCAAAGTCTCCCTCTGGTAAATTATACTTGTCATGGAATATTTGCTAAACAAATTTAGCATGTCTTTTTATACATTCATTAAACTTGATAATAGATAGCGTAAAAGGAAAACGTAACATCACAATTATTATATCTATCCATCAATCGTTAAATCAATATCAATCTTAAATAACAATAAGAAAGTTTTGTACTTTATTTTACTTATCATTTCGTTTTCTTTTTGCAGTTGGCGCAGAACTCGTTGATTGTAAGTATTTTTGTTATTTCATAAGTCACTCATTATAGTATTATTTATAACTGCAGTTCTTATAATGTACTATCATTTCTAAACCTATATTAATAACATACGTAGACTTAAAAATAAGTAAAATATTTTGCAACAATTAACAATTCAAGAATTGATAACAATTGTAATACAGCGATTGAAACATTAAAATTAAAATTAACACAAGATAATTTAAATACATACATTAAAAATATTCTATTTCCTTTTACAGCCATAATCTCCTACGCTGAAAGCAGTTTCAAGGCTCAAGGATACTCTGGTTAGTTTTACGTCTTTTTACAGTCAACTAAAATTTGATACTGATATAATATAATTAATACACATGTAATCCACACATCAATATCTAAAAAATTTTCGCCATTGAAAATTGACAATATTTTTTTTTATCCCAGATCTAGCTTCTTTGGGAGCGGAAATAAAGAAGAGAATTTCTGCATACGGACGCTTCAACTTCAACGGTGCTTTAAAATGGGATTCAAACGGCAGCAGCAGTTCAAACAATTCGAGCAACAATTCTAACAATAGCTCTAACAACAGTTCGAATAACTCGAATAATTCCAGCTCAAACAATGATTCCAGCAAAAATTCTAATAACTCGGACAATTCAAGCTCAAATGACAGTTCCAACAATAGTTCCAGTGGCAATTCGAGTAACTCGAACAATTCAAGCTCAAATGACAGTTCGAACAATAGTTCCAGTGGCAATTCAAGTAACTCGGACAATTCAAGCTCAAATGACAGTTCCAACAATAATTCCAGTAACAATTCAAGTAACTCGGACAATTCCAGCTCCAACGACAGTTCCAACAATGGTTCCACTAGCGACAGTTCTAACAACAATTCAAATGGTTCAAGCAGTTCGAATTCCAACAGTGTACTTCAACCTTTTGGTAAGTAATAATTTAAAATTTGAATATAATTTTTACTTTAAACATTACGTATAAAGCGCTATGGATTAAACACCATAGCCAGAGCATAGAATATTGTTAACAATTAACGAGATAAAGATATTTTCTCTTTGTAAATACTTATAACTAATTTATTAAAATAATTAAATTAATGTTTAATAATTACTAAAGTATTTGGTGAATATAACAAAAAATAATGTCGATACATAGAAAAGCATAATAAATAAGGTAAAATCAAAATTAATCTTTCCTTCCAAAAAACATGTGTCGAAAAACGACAAAAAAATTCGAGCAGCTGCTCGTAACACTACGCATTGAACTGTCAAATTTGTCACTTTAGGATCCTATCATGGATCTTGGAAAAATTTCCAATTTGACTGTTAGAACACTCCCTTTAAAGGATTTTACTCTGTTTATAGAATAATTTTGACCTCGTAATGTATGACAATGTACCAATGATTACGTTTTTAATAATGTTCTATTATTAATTTTCAGGTTTCCTGGCTAAAGGAGTAACCAATGTCGCTGGTGACGCGAGCGCCATTTTGTCTAACATCTCTCATCTTAGTAAGTGTTTTTATACTAAATGTGCCCCAGAATCGACTGCATAATATAGTGTGTGTATTTATAAAAAAAAAACAAGACTACTAAATATTAAACAAACAACTTAAGCAAAGCGACATAACAAATCAGTCGTAGCCACCAAATCAAATGTATTCCCACAATGCAATACCCGTTCACGAGTATGACGGGCGAACTATTTCATATTTACCTCATTTTTCAGAATTCCCCGGCACCTTCGATGACGCTATCAACGTCGTTATTGGCGGTAAGTTATGTTTTGTTTACGTCAGTTTAAATTATTCCAAATTAAGTAATAGAAACGTTCTCGCTACTCATTACATAAAATATTGTAGAAAGAGACAGCAACATCCGGCGACTTGTTGCTTCTCATACGTGTTTAAGAAAACGTGTCTAACAGGCGTTTACTTTGTTACTCACTTTGACTGCAATGTTTGTTACAATTTTCTTTTTTCTTTTCTAGTGTCTCGTGCAGCAAGGAGCATCATTAACACTCTAATTCCTGGCCGTGAGTACATTTCCTTTTTTTTTCAGTAAAAGAAAATTGAGTAATTGTAATATATAATTTGTTATAACATAATAGTTGTACACTGTAAAAGCATACTGATATTGTTAGAAAAACATTTGTACTATTTATACAGTTTGCAGTAAAATATTTTCTATTAATATCAACAAAAGCTTTTTTAATTCTTGAAAAAAAAGTAGAAAAGTTTATTGAAAATAATTTAGACCTATTTCTGACTAATAACAAATATTTAATCTGATTAGTTAGTTTTTTTACAAAACTTAAAACTAACTTTTAAATTATCCTTTCTCACTTAGATTCTGATAATTGCCTTCATCAACAATTCTCTGATTTTCATTTTTATAATGCCACTTTAGTCATTATAACTATATAATACTAATATGTATTTTAATTTTATTTCAGTTGGATCAATCTTTGGAAACAGTAAGTACATACTTTCATTACTTTAAACCATTTTCTGTTAACGTTTGTTGTCACAATAATTGGAAAATAATTTAATTGTCGATATTTGTCTGCTTTCAAAAATAAAATTAATTAAAACTAATTAAAAAACAATCATTAATAATAATTAATGATTAATTTAGTAATTAATTAATTGATCGATTAAAATTTAATTAAATAAACTTCATAAATAATTTTCTTGACAATTTATTTATGTATATATTTTTATTTTCCACAGTCGTCCTCGCCATTGCTAGGATTGTCATCTGCGTCGGCGGATCACTTGGTGGAAAGACAGGTAAATATTTTGTGTTCACAAAATTAAAATATCTTACAAGATATTTATAAGATCTTAATACATTATACATACATAGATCTTAATACATTATAAATACTCATACGTCGCTGATCCTAAAAATTTTAGGATTTTATGCCTCCATCCTATAATTTCATTGCCATCGTTTTCTTCCCTTGCAGTTCTTTTATTTTTATTCTTCTGTCCCAGGCTCTGCAGCACTTTGCCAGAAGAATTACGGACAGCAATGGGGCTTGTCTAGTTACACCGGTGGCTACGCCAGTGCTGAAGCTGTCATCAAGTTCTACAACCTTGCACAAGTTCATTCTCAAGTGGACGATGTCGTCGGAAAATACACAAATGGAAAAGGCGTCAGTTCTCTATCAGGTGTGAATTCGTTTCTTCTTCATAAGTGTTTCATTATTAAATGAGGAATCCAGTAATTTTAAAACAATAATTAATAAAAAATATATATTTGCCACTCGTTCTGCTACACAATGGCTGAGTGTGAGCGGCAAAATTGAAAATGACTGAAACTCAGCCGCTTTAAATTAAATTAAATTCAAATTATATTAATTACAATAATTTAATTTTGTTTTAATAATTTATTTAATAATGTTAATTAATTTCTGTTTTAGGCACCGATAAAATTGTTGTACAGTTGGTCACCGAATTGGGAGATCTATTTGACAGTAAGTACTTGATATTTTAAAGAGTGTACTCTCTTCTACTTATTAAAAATAAAATGTTTATTTTCATAAAAAATTATGCAATGGTATACTAATCCACATTTTCTTTTATAGAGAACAGCGGTAAATTCAGTCAAGAGGACTTCGTTACAGTTTTCGTCAAGGGTGAGTGGTTTTCCTTATCTAATTTTTATTAATATTATGAATATTGGCGTAAGTTTGTTCGATTGATAACTCATCCAATCACATTTAGAATTTTACTGAGTTTGTCACATCTTTACCGTATTTGGTAATATTGACTATTTGTGTATGAATATTAAATAAAAGTATCACGAAATAAATGCGAAAATAGATGAATATATATATCACGATAGAACTACGTTCTACCTGAGAAAGGAGTCAAACCGAAGACGGCGTGAATGTATGATACGGATAGACGCCTCTGACACTCGATTCTCTCTGCCTATGAAAAGCTAGAAAGAAAATACAACTCCTAGAGATACTGTTCTTTTAAGACATCTATCTTCTTTTTGTTTACTATTCAAAGTAACTTATTTTTTATTATTTTCCAGTTTCCACTGTCATTGGTGTGGTTGGTAACAGTTACTCGGGCGGACGTAAGTATTACACTGTTTATTTATTTATTTATAACAACTTTCTTGGTCACTTATATTAATAGTTCAAAAAGCAGACTTAGTGCCAATCAGCAACACCTGCTAACCTTTGTAAAACACAGAAATTTGTGTATGCAGTTTTTAAATTATGTAACAACTTTTTAATAAACTAATTAAACTTTAATATATCTAGAAAGTATATGGTGTCTTAACACCATAATGATTACTAGTCTCGTCTACCCATCAACTGTTAAATCAGTATCAATTATAAACAACACTAAAATAGTTTTGTGATTTGACTTTTACTTATCATACTTTTCTTTTTCCAGTTGGTGCAAAACTTGTCGATTGTAAGTATTTTTATTATTTATTATTTTATTACATTAAGACACTCATTAAAACATTATTTATAATTGCAGTTCTTATAATGTACTATAAGGATTAAAATAGATAAATAACAAATCACCCACATTAATATTAACATACCTAGTTACAAAATATATAAAATATTTTTCATCATTTAATTTAATACTTAATAATAATTGTAACCCAACGATAAAAACATAAAACACTGATAATCTTAAAGATACTTGTAAACAAATTTATTTAAATAAACATTATTAAAAATATTCTGTCTTCTTTTTCAGCCGTAATCTCCTACGCTGAAAGCAGTTTCAAGGCTCAAGGATATTCTGGTTAGTTTTACTAAATTTTATCATCTACGATCTATATTATATGTAAAAACAAAAAAATTATGTCTTAAAGTAAAACTTGAATTTTTCCATACAGTCAAATAAAATTTAATACTGAAAATGCTATAATCAATATCAATATCTAAAAAGTTTTTGCCATTTAAAATGACAATAATTTTATTTTCTTCTTCTAGATTTAGCTTCTTTGGGATCGGAGATAAAGAAGAGAATTTCAGGATACGGACATTTTAACTTCAACGGTGCTTTGAAGTCGGACTCTGACTCAAACAACAGCAGTGGTTTCAACGGCCAGTCTGGCAATAATTCAAACAGCTCAGGCAACTCAAGCAATAACTCTAACAACAGTTCAAATAATTCGAGCAATTCCAATGATAGTTCTAACAACTCAAGCTCAAATGACAGTTCCAACAATAGTTCCAGTGACAATTCAAGTAACTCGGGCAATTCAAGCTCAAATGACAGTTCCAACAATAGTTCCAATGGCAATTCAAGTAACGCAAATAATTCGAGTTCAAACGACAGTTCCAACAATGGTTCCAGTGGTAATTCGAGTGACTCGAACAATTCGAGTTCAAACGACAGTTCCAACAATGGTTCCAGTGATAATTCAAGTGACTCGAACAATTCGAGTGATAGCTCTAACAACAGTTCAAATGGTTCAAGCAGTTCGAACAACGTACTCCAACCTTTTGGTAAGTAACAATTTAAAATTTGAATATGCTTTTTACTTTATTTATATGAATATTACAAAAGTAATATTCATATAAATAAAGTAAAGTAAAGTCTTAAGTCCACCTTAGTACTTTAACTAAGGTGGACTTAAGACTATCAATAGTGCACAAAATAGTAACAATTGACGAATGTAAGCTAAAGGCATTTTCTTTTCGTAAATATTAATTAATAATTTATTTATTTTTGTTACATTAATTATTACATTATTACATTATTTAAGAATTATTACATTATTTATTAAATACACAATAAATATAACTACTTGTTATTAATAGAAGATTACTTAATAATACCGATAAACATTCAAGCAGCTCCTTATCACACAAAGCGTCTGTCTGTCAAATTACGAGTAGTGTAATTTAAATTTTTTGGCTCTTTTGAATCCTAACATTGGTCTTGGAAAAAATGTCGAATTTGACTCGTAAACCATTCTTTAAATGGATTTCACTCTATACTCGTGTACAGGATAACTCTGATCTCTTGATTTATGACAATTTGTTAATGATTAATAACATTTTTTTCTTTATTTCTCAGGTTTCTTGGCTAAGGGAGTGACCAATGTTGCTGGAGACGCGAGCGCCATTTTGACTAGCATCTCCCATCTGAGTAAGTACTTTTATACTAATTACACCCCACGGTATCTCCTCCACAATGTAGTATGTGTGTATTTATTTTATTATTTTTTGAATATTATAAGACAAAATTTTGTGCATGCAAACTACCAATTATTCTTTATTGCACACAAACGTAGTGATAAAAATATTTAATTTTAAACATAATGTACAAAGGCGAGCTTATCTCTAATAAGAGATTTCTTCCAACAAACCTTAAAAACATTTATTAGTATAGGATCATGAAAAATTAAAATATTACACAAACAACTAAAGCAAAGTAACATAATAAGTCAGTCGTAGTGATCAATTAATTCAATTTCAATTTCATTTCAAATTTCATTTCATTTCATTTCATTTCATTTCATTTCATTTCATTTCATTTCATTTCATTTCATTTCATTTCATCAAAGCAAATCAATTCCTACAAAGCAGCACCCATTCACGAGTATGATGAGCGAAACGTTTCATATTTTCTTTATTTTTCAGAATTCCCCGGCACCTTCGACGACGCCATCAAGGTCGTCATTGGCGGTAAGTTATATATTGTTTACGTCACTTTGAAAACGTGTCTAACAGGCGATTACTTTGTTACTCAGTTTAACTGTAATATTTGTTACAATTTTCTTTTTTTCTTTTCTAGTGTCTCGTGCGGCAAGGAGCATCATTAACACTCTAATTCCTGGCCGTGAGTACATTTCTCTTTTTTTTATCAGAAAAAGGAAATTGAGTAATTATAATATATAATTTGTTACAATATAATAATTGTAAACTGTAAAAGCACACTGATATTGTTAGAAAAACATTTGTATTATTTATACAATTTGCAGAAAAAAATTTTTTATTAATATCAAGAATAGTATTTATTCTTTTACAAAAGGAAAGTAAAATGAAAGAGTTTATTGAGAATAATTTGGACCTATTTCTGACTAATAATAAATAATTGAGCTAATTTCCAAATAGCTATGATTAAATTTAGGTGTTAACTGGTTTTTCTTTTACAAAACTTACGGGATATCTTTTTCTTACTTCGATTTTGATAATTGTCTTCATTAACAATTCTCCTATTTTCATTTTTATAATGCCACTTTAATCATTATAACTATGTAATACATTTTATTTTTATTTCAGTTGGATCAATCTTTGGAAATAGTAAGTACATATGTTCATTACTTTAAACCATTTTCTGTTAACGTTTGTTGTCACAATAATTGGAAAATAATTTTATTGTCAATATTTGTCTGCTTTCATAAAATTAATTATTAATTTTACTAAATTAATCATTAATAATATTTAATGATTAATGTAGAAATTAATTAATTGATCGATTAAAAATTAATTAAATAAATTTCATAAATAATTATCTTGACAATTCATTTATGTATATATTTTTGTTTTCCACAGTCGTCCTCGCCATTGCTAGGATTGTCATCTGCGTCGGCGGATCACTTGGTGGAAAGACAGGTAAATATTTTGTGTTCCCAAAATTAAAATATCTTACAAGATATTTATAAGATCTTAATACATTATACATACATAGATCTTAATACATTATAAATACTCATACGTCGCTGATCCTAAAAATTTTAGGGTTTTATGCCTCCATCCTATAATTTCATTGCCATCGTTTTCTTCCCTTGCAGTTCTTTTATTTTTATTCTTCTGTCCCAGGCTCTGCAGCACTTTGCCAGAAGAATTACGGACAGCAATGGGGCTTGTCTAGTTACACCGGTGGCTACGCCAGCGCTGAAGCCGTCATCAAGTTCTACAACCTTGCACAAGTTCATTCCCAAGTGGACGATGTCGTCGGAAAGTACACGAATGGAAAAGGTGTCAGCTCTCTGTCAGGTGTGAATTCGTTTCTTCTTCATAAGTGTTTCATTATTAAATGACGAATCCAGTAATTTTAAAACAATAATTAATAAAAAATATATATTTGCCACTCGTTCTGCTACACAATAGCTGAGTGTGAGCGGCAAAATTAAAAATGATTGAAACTCAGCTACTTTAAATTAAATTAAATTTACATTATATAAATTACAAAAATTTAATTTTGTTTTAATAAACTATTCAGTAATGTTAATTAATTTCTATTTCAGGCACCGATAAAATCGTTGTACAGTTGGTCACCGAATTAGGAGATCTATTTGACAGTAAGTACTTGATATTTTAAAGAGTGTGCTCTATTCTACTTATTAAAAATAAAATATATATTTTCATAAAAAAATATGCAATGGTATACTAATCCACATTTTCTTTTATAGAGAACAGCGGTAAATTCAGTCAAGAGGACTTCGTTACAGTTTTCGTCAAGGGTGAGTGGTTTTCCTTATCTAATTTTTATTAATATTATGAATATTGGCGTAAGTTTGTTCGATTGATAACTCATCCAATCACATTTAGAATTTTACTGAGTTTGTCACATCTTTACCGTATTTGGTAATATTGACTATTTGTGTATGAATATTAAATAAAAGTATCACGAAATAAATGCGAAAATAGATGAATATATATATCACGATAGAACTACGTTCTACCTGAGAAAGGAGTCAAACCGAAGACGGCGTGAATGTATGATACGGATAGACGCCTCTGACACTCGATTCTCTCTGCCTATGAAAAGCTAGAAAGAAAATACAACTCCTAGAGATACTGTTCTTTTAAGACATCTATCTTCTTTTTGTTTACTATTCAAAGTAACTTATTTTTTATTATTTTCCAGTTTCCACTGTCATTGGTGTGGTTGGTAACAGTTACTCGGGCGGACGTAAGTATTACACTGTTTATTTATTTATTTATAACAACTTTCTTGGCGACTTATATTAATAGTTCAAAAAGCAGACTTAGTGCCAATCAGCAACACCTGCTAACCTTTGTAAAACATAGAAATTTATGTATGCAGTTTTTAAATTATGTAACAACTTTTTAATAAACTAATTAAACTTTAATATATCTAGAAAGTATATGGTATCTTAACACCATAATGATTACTAGTCTCGTCTACCCATCAACTGTTAAATCAGTATCAATTATAAGAAACACTAAAACGGTTTTGTGATTTGACTTTTACTTATCATACTTTTCTTTTTCCAGTTGGTGCAAAACTTGTCGATTGTAAGTATTTTTATATTTACAATTCTAATAATGTACTGTAAAAATTAAAATAGATAAATAATAAATCATTTATAAGCCTACATTAATAACATCCCTAAACCTATTAATAAAATAAGTAAAATATTTTTCATCAGTTAATTTAATACATAATAATATTTGTAATCCAAGATAAAAACATAAAACACATGTGTTTACAAGTTGATTTAAATTAACGTTACTAAATATTTTCTGTCTTCTTTTTTAGCCGTAATCTCCTACGCTGAAAGCAGTTTCAAGGCTCAAGGATATTCTGGTTAGTTTTACAAAATTTTATCATCTACGATCTATATTATATGTAAAAACAAAAAATTTATGTCGAAAAGTAAAATTTGAATTTTTCCGTAATGTCAAATAAAATATAATACTGAAAATGCTATAATCAATATCTAAAAAGTTTTTGCCATTCAAAATGATAATAATTTTATTTTCTTCTTCTAGATCTAGCTTCTTTGGGAGCGGAGATAAAGAAGAGAATTTCTGGATACGGACATTTCGACTTTAATGGTGCCTTGAAATCGGATTCAAACAGCAGCAATAGTTCCAATGGCCAGTCTGGTAACAATTCCAGCAGCTCAGACAACTCGAGCGACAACTCCAACAACAGCTCTGACAACAGTTCAAATAATTCAAACAATTCAAACTCAAATAACAACTCCAGCGACAATTCAAACAGCAATTCTAATAACTCAGACAATTCAAGTTCAAATGGCAGTTCCAACAATGGTTCCAGTGACAATTCAAGTAACTCAAACAATTCGAGTTCAAACGACAGTTCCAACAATGGTTCCAGTGGTAATTCAAGTGACTCGAACAATTCGAGTTCAAACGACAGTTCCAACAATGGTTCCAGTGGTAATTCAAGTGACTCGAACAATTCGAGTTCAAACGACAGTTCCAACAATGGTTCCAGTGGTAATTCAAGTGACTCGAACAATTCGAGTTCAAACGACAGTTCCAACAATGGTTCCAGTGGTAATTCAAGTGACTCGAACAATTCAAGTTCAAACGACAGTTCCAACAATGGTTCCAGTGGTAATTCAAGTGATTCGAACAATTCGAGTGATAGCTCTAACAACAGTTCAAATGGTTCAAGCAGTTCGAACAACGTACTCCAACCTTTTGGTAAGTAACAATTTAAAATTTGAATATGCTTTTTACTTTATTTATATGAACATTACATATAAAGTACTATGGACTTAACACCATCAGTACTCGTAGTGCATACAATAATAACAATTGACAGATGAGAGCTGAAGACATTTTCTTTTTGTAAATGCTAATTAATAATTTATTTATTTTAATTAAAGAATTATTAAATGATTTATTAAATACACGATAAATATAATTATTTATTAAAAAATAAACAATTAACTAGGTAATAGTATCGAATGGTACCGAAAAAAATTCGAGCAGCTCTTCGTAACACTGTCAGTCAGTCCAGCTGTCAAATTAGTATAGTTTAATTTTTTTTTTTCTTTTTTGAATCCTAACATTGGTTTTGAAAAAAATGTCGAACTTGACTGGTAGAATACTCCTTTTAATGATTCACTCTATACTCGTGTACAGGATAACTCTAATCTCTTGATTTATGACGATTCATTAATGATTAATAACATTTTTTTCTTTATTTCCAGGTTTCTTGGCTAAGGGAGTGACCAATGTTGCTGGAGACGCGAGCGCCATTTTGACTAGCATCTCCCATCTGAGTAAGTGCTTTTATATTAATTGCACCCCGCGGTATCTCCTCCACAATGTAGTATGTGTGTATTTATTTTATTATTTTTTAAATATTATAAGACAAAATTTTGTAAATGCAAATTACCAATTAGTCTTTATTGTACACAAACGTAATGATAAAAATATTTAAATTTAAACGTAATGTACAACGGTGAGCTTATCTCTAATAAGAGATTTCTTCCAGCAAATTATTATAGGATCATGAAAAATTAAAATATTACACAAACAACTAAAGCAAAGTAATATGATAAGTCAGTCGTAGTGACCAAAGCAAATCAATTCCTACAAAACAGCACCCGTTCACGAGTATGATGAGCGAAACATTTAATATTTTCTTTATTTTACAGAATTCCCCGGCACCTTCGATGACGCTATCAACGTCGTCATTGGCGGTAAGTTATGTTTTGTTTACATCGGTTTAAATTACTCTAAATTAATAATTAGAAACATTTTCGCTACTCATTGCCTGAAATATTGTAAAAAGAGACAGCAACGTCCGGCAACTTGTCGCTTCTCATGCGTGTTGATGAAAACGTGTGTTACAGATTATTTTGTTACTTACCTTAATTATTACAATTTGATTTTTCTTTCTTTTCTAGTGTCTCGTGCAGCAAGGAGCATCATTAACACTCTAATTCCTGGCCGTGAGTATATTTCTTTTTTTTTTACAGAAAAATAATATTATAAAACAATAAGTAAATTATTTTTTTCTTCGAAATAAAAGAAAGACGTAAAAGAAAATGTTAATTGGGAATAATTTGGACCTATTGTCGACTAATAATAAGTATAATTTAATAATATATATTTAAACTTATTCCAAAATAGCTATGATAAACAGTTTGTTTATTTTTTTCCATAGCACTTACACCATATCTTTCCTCACTACGACTTTGATAATCGTTTTCATTAACAGTTCTCCGATTTTTCAATTTTATAATGTCATTTTATTCATTATAATTATGTAATACTAATATGTATTTCATTTTTATTTCAGTTGGAACAATCTTTGGAAATAGTAAGTACATATTTTTATTATTTTTAATCCATGTTTTGTTTTCGTTTTTCGTCACAATAATTGGAAAATAATTTTACTGTCCAAATTTATGTTAAAATTTATAATTAAAATTAACAATTGATTATTAGTCAAATTTAATAAATAATTATGTTAACAATTTATTTATTAACATTTTTTGTTTTCCACAGTCGTCCTCGCCATTGCTAGGATCGTCATCTGCGTCGGCGGATCACTTGGTGGCAAGACAGGTAAATATATTATATGCACCTAAAATTAAGGTATTTAAATTAAATTTGTCTACATTGCCACTACAAGATATTTATAAGATCTTACATACATTATATTTACATGTACATTATAAACACATACGTCATACATTCCTGAGAGTATGATGAGATTTTATACATTCATCTGTACTCTATAATTTCATTGCCATCCTTTTTCTCCTTATAGTTTTTTATTTTATTTTTTCTATTCCAGGCTCCGCAGCACTTTGCCAGAACAATTACGGACAGCAATGGGGCTTGTCTAGTTACACCGGTGGCTACGCCAGTGCTGAAGCCGTCATCAAGTTCTACAACCTTGCACAAGTTCATTCCCAAGTGGACGATGTCGTCGGAAAGTACACGAATGGAAAAGGTGTCAGCTCTCTTTCAGGTGAGTTTCTTCTCCATAAGCGGTTCATTAGTTAGTGACGAGTCTAGTGAATTTAAAACAATAATTAACAAAAAATATATATTTGCTGCTCGTTGTACCACACAATGGCTGAGTGTGAGTGGCAAAGTTGAAAATGTCTGAAACTCAGCCACTTTAAATTAAATTAAATTTAAATCATATTAAAAACAAAAATGTTAATTTATTCTAATAAACTATTTAATAATGTTAATTAATTTCTGTTTCAGGCACCGATAAAATCGTTGTACAGTTGGTCACCGAATTGGGAGATCTATTTGACAGTAAGTACTTGATATTTTAATGTGTGTTCTATTATTTATTTAACTGACCGGCCCTGTGGTTCCGGCATAGAATAGGCCACCCCTTCCTATCCCGTCGTCGTAAGACGTGTCGTAAGGTGTCGTAAGAACCGACAAAGGGAGGGCGAGGGATGGGCAGCAGCGTCCCTCATAAAACACCTCTAAAGCCTGACTGCGGTTGCCAATCCGCCTGCCAAGCGTGGCAATTATTGGCAAAACCCCCCAAGGGGGAGGCTTATGTTCAGCAGTGGACAGTTAAAGGCTGATATGATGATTATGATGATATTTATTTAAATTTAATATAATTTGATAAGAATTTACGCAATGGTATACTAATCCACATTTTCTTTTACAGAGAACAGCGGTAAATTCAGTCACGAGGACTTCGTCACAGTTTTCGTCAAGGGTGAGTATTTTTCCCATTCTATAATTTTTGTTGGTACTTCACTAATATTAGGGATGTTGACATAAGTTTGTTCGATTGATGATTACTGTTGGCACCTTAACGCTTCTTCCGATCAAATTCAGAATTTTGCAGAGTTTGCCATATCTTAACAGTACTTTGTAGCTTTGACATTTTTGTGTATGAATTTCAAATGAAAGTTTCACGAAATAGATGGGAATCTAGATGGATATAGATGTTATATTTAAATAAAACTTATTCCATTGCAAACATACATTTATTAACTTCTAAGAGAGTGAACAAAGGTGGGAAAGCAACCGGAAAATCCGCTAGGACATACATGTCAACTAATGTCATCTGTCAATTAAGATGCGTTCCTTTTATACATATTTCAACCAGGTACGTTCATCTTGCAATAGATATTGGGATATAGAACTAAGTTCTACCGATAAGAGAGGAGCCAAATCTTACAGATCTAGTGCGTATACATGAGACGAGTTATGGTAGATGAAGTAACAGATGGATAAATACCTTTGGCACTCGGTTCTCTCCGCCTATGGAAAGCTAGAATGCAAATAGAATTGCTAAAGCAACTATCTTTCTAAGAAATCTATCTCCTTTTTACCCTATATACCAAAGTAACCTATTTTTTATTATTTTCCAGTTTCCACTGTCATTGGTGTGGTTGGCAACAGTTACTCTAGCGGACGTGAGTATTATTTTGATTGTTTATTTGTTTGTAACTTGTATTAATGACTGAAAAGACAGATTTATTGCTAAATAAACCATTACTTGCAAAACATAGAAATAAGTGTATGCAGTATTGAGGTTATGTAAAATCTATTTTTTGTTTATACAACTTACAATGGCAAACAAGCTGACGGCCCACTTGATGGAAAGTGGAAACCGTCGCCTATAGACATGAGCAGTACCATGGACATAACAGAGTATTCTTTTTCACTCATGATATTCCCCATGCGTTGATATTCCTGTGAACTGAGGTGTTATTCCTCTGTACCCTATAAATTCACTGCCATATCCCACCCTTCAAACCGAAACACCGCCATGCAAACACAACTGCTTTACGGTCGAAACATGAATAGGACACGAATACTTTTGTACAAAGTCTGTTTTTTTTTATATTGCATTTTATATATTTATTGTTTTATTAATTCGAATATTTGTATCGCCGTATCGTTCCGGCATAGAATAGGCCACCCCTTCCTTTCCTGTCAGTGTCGTAAGAGGCGACTAAGAAGGGCGTGGGATGAGCAGCAGCGTCCCTCTTAAAACATCTCTAAAGCCTAACTGCAGTTGTTAATGTGCTTGCCAAGCGTGGCAACTACTGGCAAAACCCCCCAAGGGGGAAGCTTATGTTTAGCAGTGGACAGTTAAAGGCTGGTATGATGATAATGTTATGTAGAGAGTGTAAACGGTGAACTTATCACAATAACTATTACAGCGACATCTATCCATCAATTGTTAAAGCAATATATTATAAATAGCACTAAAAATATTTTGTGATTTGATTTACTAATCACGGTTTTGTTTTTTTTTTTTTTACAGTCGGTGTAAAACTTGTCGATGGTAAGTATTTTTATTAATAATAATAATAATAAATACGCTTAACTTAAAGATGAAATCACAAGAATCTGGAAACAAGAAAAAGTTTGCATAGTACCGATAGTCCTCTCGTCTACAAGTGTCATTCCCAACCATTTACACCATAGTCTAAAACAAATAGGTCTACGAAAACATCTCTACATCTCCCTACAAAAGGCTGCCGTATTAAATACTTGCAGAATAGTCAGAAAATTCTTAGATATAGATGAGGATGAAGTAGCCACCTGACATACACAAACATAACCTTCCATTCCAACATACACACTGCACTTACTTGGTCACGTACCTGTAAGTATAGTATAATTACCAACGTTAAAAGAAGAAAAGCTGAGAAATAAACAATTCAATGTAAATAATAATAACTTTATTTGCAATGATTTTGTGTATAAAACATTTGGTCTTATAAATTAAAAGTACCTTACAAAATCTACTTAGGCCAAGCGTGCAAATATTGAAAACAAAAATTACAATGATTTAATTTTAATTTTTTTTGTAGCATTTAAATATTACGAAATTAAAAAAATTAAATATTTATTTTAATAATTTACTTATTATAGCATCATTTATGACTACATTTTTTTATAAAATACCTTAATATAAGATCGAAAAAGAAAAATAGCATATCAATTATAAGCATATATTAAAAACATATCGAAACTTACAAATAAGTAAAAAAATTTGCACTTAATAAATTAAATAATTGATAATAATTATAATCCAGCGATAGAAACATAATTGGCCATATGGTTCCGCCATAAAATAGGCCACCCATTCTTTCTGTGGGTGTCGTAAGAGGCTATTAAGAGAACTTAATGGTAGAGAGACGAACAGCAACGGCCTTCTTAAAACATCTCTTAAAGCCAAACTACGGTTGCCAACCCGCCTCTCAAGCGTGGCAACTACTGACAAAACTTCCCTTACAGGGAAGGCTTATGTTCAGCAGTGGACAGTCAACAGCCGAATTGATGAATGATAATGATAGAAACATAAAATATTAGTATTGTTTAACGTACGTTTAAACAAATTGAATAAAGTAAGATTATTAAAAATATTCTGTCCTCTTTTTCAGCCGTAATCTCCTACGCTGAAAGCAGTTTCAAGGCTCAAGGATATTCTGGTGAGTTTTACGGCCTTTTCCCATCTTATGTTATGTACAAAAACTGCTGTGTGTTCCCAATATAGAATGGGCCATCCCTTTTTTCCCCTGGGTGTCGTAATAGACGATTATGGAAACTTAATAGTCGAGGAATGGACAGCAGGGTTCCAATTAAAACAATTGTGGGATCATCGGCTGTAGTGTTGGCACAGTATACGTACAGTGCGAGCATTGTAGCGGACGCACCATACTGATATTGTTATGAAATGTGGTTTTATTTGCTTAACGGATGCTTATGTTTTGCGCTGTGGATAACTATAATTGGCTAATATGTAGTAAATGTAATTTAATATGTATTCAATGTTGTAAAAAGCTGTTGTTATCCCAAATAAAATAAAATACTAAAAATCACCAAAGGCAATAAATAAACTAAATAAAAATAATAATAAACTGGCAAAACCTCCCTTTATGGGAGAGGCCTATGTTCAACAGTAGAGTATAACAGCTAGTATTATGATATATAAAAGTTACAAAATATACGTCTAAATATAAAACAAAAATTTTTCATATTAACAACTAAAATGTGATAATTAAATTTATATTTAAAATCTCGTATTTTGTCGCAGTCAACGCCAATATTTAAGTAGATTTTATTATATCAAATAATAACATTGTTCTCTTTCCTTTCTCCAGATCTGGTTTCCTTGGGATCAGAGATTAAGAAGAGAATTTCTGGATACGGACGCTTCGACTTCAACGGTGCCTTGAAATCGGACTCGAACAGCAGCAATGGTTCCAACGGCAGTTCCAACAACAGTGCCAACTTGGGTGGCAGTTCCAACAATGGATTCCACATCGGTGGCAGTTCCGACAATGGACTCAACTTAGGTGGCAGTTCCAACAATGGACTCAATTTAGGGGGCAGCGGCAAAGCAAGCGGTAGTTTAGGTGGAAGTTTAAACTTATGAGAACGTCAACTATCCTGATTTATTGATTACAGCTCCTCATGTAATTTAATTGTGAAATGTCTTTCATTAACGATAAGCGTACTTTTAATTGATTTTATAAAATTAATGATTTTAAACCAAAAACTTATAGAATTTTTGTTTAATCCTCTTTTTCTAGTTTCTGCTAATAAATTTTGATCATATCTTACCTTCAGTGTTTTCTTCACTTACCTTTGTCTTATTCTCCCCCATAAGGGTAGTTTTGCCAGTAGTTGCCACGTATATATATATATATATATATATATATATATATATATATATATATATATATATATATATATATATATATATATATATATATATATATATAGTCTTTTGGTGTTATGAAATACATTACATTTCAATACATATTGTTTTTTATTAAAAAAAGAACTATAGCCAGTGTCATTCGGGATAATGTATGGATTCTAACGACATTTTCATACAACTAAAGTGATGGTATTTACGAATAAGATTTAATAAAGTCACTTTACAGAAAAGTATAAACACAAGTACAGAAGGAGAGCAATAGTAATGAGCGTAAAAATTGAAATATAAAACGGCAACTGTTATTTGCCATTTTGTTAGTATGCGTGCGATTGACTGTATCAATGTTACTGAATATTCCTCGTTTAGAGATGAAACACGTGGCGCAACATGTGCATAGACTGGATAACGGTCGGAGATTCATAACTAATATGGAAGGTCATAGAACTTCTGCTAATAACAATAGTAGTCAATCATCAAATGGTGGCAGTCGCACGCGTACTTACGGTAGCGGAATTAAACAAAATAATTCCAATCAACTAATCAGCAACTAAATTCGGTGTTGTTTGTTTGTTTTGAAAAGTTCTTTATTTATCATAATTATTTACAAATATAATAAATTCCAGTGTACGTAAACCTAGAATTTAGTATCAGCCAAATATTCAATGATGTTTTTTGTGGAACTAAATTTACTTATAAAAATGACTATCATAACAAAATATACAAAGGACTGTGCTCAGAGAAATTGTTTAATATGATGCCATCGGCCACTTTCTACCATCGTACAGCTCGCTAGCGACAAAGAGTTCACCCGCCTACCTTAGAGTTCCTTAGAGAGAATACAGAGCAGTTTCAAAGATATTTTCTCTCACAAACGCTCAGGTTATGGAATGATCTACCTGTCGAGATTTTTCCAAAAGACTATAGCATGGGGTTCTTCAAAAAAAGAATAAAGAGATTTCAGAGTTAGCAAACGCGCGTAATGCCCCTGGTATTGCAAGCGTTCATAGGTTACGGTGACCGCTTACCATCAGGTAGGCCATATATTTGTTTATCACATCAGTGGTATGTGATATTTATATGTTGTATTTAACGTATGTATATATATGTATATGTGTGTGTGTATGTATGTATGTATGTGTATATATGATGTGTATGTATATGTGTATATATATATATATATATATATATATATATATATATATATATATATATATATATATATATATAATTATTTATAATTGATGTAAATATTTATTTTAATTTCTGTCTTGCACTACTACTGCCCACTCACTACTTCCTATGCCACTGCGTTAGGTTGACTGGAAGAGATCTCTTTTAGAGATAAGTTCGCCTTTGGTAACATTGTTATTAACTTATTGTTGTTACTGTATGTTTTAGTGCAATCAAGAATATATATATATATATATATATATATATATATATATATATATATATATATATATATATATAAATGTTAGTTCAATTTATAAAAAGCGACCTTGACTGTAATCTCTCTGATAAATCAGAGTACAGGTGTTAATATTCAAAACTAAATATGAAATAGCCTATCATATAATTCCATTGATTATAATTATCATTCGAAATGATAAATAACACTATGTGATACCTATATATTGTCTATTTTGGTTAATTAATTAGTTCGAGCAAAATGGTTCGTTGCATTAGTGTGTTGGCTCTATTTTTCGCTGCTGTTTCAGGTAATTAAACAAAGAGACTTTTTTTATACAACTTAGAACGGCAAACAAGCTGACAACTCACCTGGTGGAAAGTGATAACTGTCGCCATGAGCAGTACCATGCACATAACAGAGTATACTGTTTCGCCCATGATACACCCCATGCGTTGCCATTCCTGAGGACTCGGGTGTTATCCCTCTGTACCCTGTAAATTCACGGCATATCCCACCTTTCAAACGGAAACACAGCCATGCAAACACAACTGCTTCACGGTTGAAACACGAATGGAACAGAGGCACCCAAGCAATCGACTTTTGTACAAAGTCTTCCTCTGTAAAAAAAACTTTGTACAAAAATCGTCTGTTTGAATATCTATGTCAAATTAAAATCATTTTTATTCGAATAGACTTGTTTACAAGCACTTTTAAATCGTCACCTTTTTTAAAACTACTTCAGGGTTCGTAAGGTTGTTATCTGTTGAGAAGAGCCCGCAAGGAACTCAACAGTTACTCTTTTAAATCTCTGTTAAGATTATGTGTATTTATTTAAATGTACAATATCTAAAGTTACATGGTCGTTAAAAGCCCGTGCATGATCGACTAACACCATGCACATTTGTCATTCAAATAATCGTTTAGTGCGTAATAGGTTTGGTTCAATAAATATTTTTTAATAACAGTTTTAAACTTATTAAAAGGTAGATCCAAAATATCCTTCGGTATCTTATTGTGACATTTAATGCTCATTTCCATTAAAAACTTATTAACTTTTTCTAAAAGACATTTCGGAACAGCAAGTTTGTATTTGTATCTAGTGTTAAGATTCGTAAGATCGCTGTTTTTAAGAAACAGTTGAAGATTCCTGCGTATATGTTTGTCCAACTCGTGTTTGGTGTAAAGCCATGCTTGCATGACTGTATTATGGTTTAAAAGGTGGCTTATGTCAGTTAAATTACAGACTACAGAGGCATAACACCATATGAATCAGGAATGGCACATAACCGCGAGGGGAACATGGGTATCACAGTGTATTCTGTGACATCCATAATACTGTTCATATGGATTGTAAATTTTTTTATGCATTACCACCTTATGCATTACCTCTCTTATCTTCTCATCAGCTACCTTCGAGCGTATATTTCCAACCAATCTCAAATATAAGGAAGTTTTCAATTCGATTATATTTTTCTTTTATATTTGTTACTTGTTACTTGTTGTTGTGTTATTTGAAAAGATGTTTTTTTATATATTTAATTTTTTTGTAAAATAATAGGGAAATAAATTACATATGTGTGGGGGGAAGATATCGTTAATAAAGCGGACTACCAGTCCCATTGCTAGCAATATGCCCAACTAGGTCGAGCTCCACGTGGTCCTGCCTGGAAACCATCAGGCTAAACTTTAGGTTAATTCATCACAATGGGCTAACTGGCCTAATTTTTTATCCTCACCTATTATCCCTCGCTAGTGCTCCGCCAGTGTATACTGCTAGAGCAGGCGGGGTTACCAGCCCATTATTATCCATTAAAAAAAATTACTTAAGTGTTAATTGCATATATATTTAGATGCAACCATATTTTTCCGGGGGGAAAGGGATTGTTAATAATGGAGAGTGAGAATCCCATTGCTAGCAATATACCCAACCAGGTCGACCTCCTCGCGGTTCTCCCTGGAAATTATCATGGTTAATTGGTCCTGGTGAAATCATCATGATGGGCTAACTGGCCTGTTTTCATTCTCATCTATTACCCTTCAATGGTGCTCCGCCAGCGTATCCCGTTAGCGCAGGCGGGGTTACCATACCATTTTCGCCCATAAAAAAAAACATATTTTTCCTTTCATGGCGTGCAAAAATTTTAAATATTATATATTCCATAATATTAATACTTATCTACATTACTTTTAGAATTTATTACTTACATTATTTCACGTCATTTTGTTTTTATTTTTTTTATACAACTTAGAATGGCAAACAAGCTGACGGCCCACCTGATGTAAAGTGGTAACCGTCGCCTATAGACATGAGCAGTACCACGGACATAACAGAGTATACTGTTTCGCCCATGATACCCCCCATGCGTTGCCATTCCTGGGGTGTTATTCCTCTGTACCCAGTAAATTCACGCCATATCCCACCCATCAAACCGAAACACAGCCATGCAAACACAACTGCTTCACGGTAGAAACACGAATGGGACAGAGGTTATGTCAGATAAGTTACATTCATCACGATATCAGCCTTTGACTGTCCACTGCTGAACATAAGCCTCCCCTTGGCGGGTTTTGCCAGTAGTTGCCAAGCTTGGCAGGCAAATTGGCAACCGCAGTTAGGCTTTGGAGATGTTTTAAGACGGACGCTGCTACTTATCCTTCGCCTATTAAATTCTCTTAATCGCCTCTTCCAATACCCACGGGATAGGAAGAAGTGGCCTATTCTATGCCGGGACCACATGGAAATTTATAAATTTATAAGTAGTTTTAAAACTTCATAAATACTTAGATAGATAGATAGATACTCTTTATCGTTTCCTCCAAAAGATTACAATAGTAAACTTATTATAGATACAAACAATTACAAGAAATAATCACAGTGAGAAAACAATGGGCGGCCTTATCGCTAAGAGCGATCTCTTGCTGCCTGCAATCTCAATGCCTCAAGTCGAACTGTTTATAATTACTCCTCTGCATCTTTGGATGGAGAGGAGTAATTATAAACAGTTCGACTTGAGGCACGAAACTCTGTTTATTTTTAAATACATATATAGATATATACGTACAATAGTGTGAATATACTTTTTTTTTAATATTATTTTAAGGGCTTTTACCTTCTTCAGGTATATCAGTCCTATTGTACCCTGAACTGATTTCTCAAACGAAACTTTATCTACTTTCCCTAGACGCGGAAAGAGAAGAATTAATGGGTGTAAATACAGTTAATACAATGTTTTTTGAGAAATTACAGACAAAGTCACGGTGAGTCGTTAGTTGAATGTAAATCAAATTATTGTGTATTGTACACTGATATGCATTATCAATAGTCAACAGGAAGGGGATTAGGTCTAATCTCATATTTAGTTCCATTTGTCATTTCATATCTTCGTCCACAATCAATCATGGATTAATCGATAAGTAACGCTTCAATGAAAACAAATTTAGGAAATAATCAATTTTAATATTCTACATATGTGTTGCCACGTGGTCTCGGTATAGAATAGGCCACCCCTTCCTTTTTCATGCGTGTTGTAAGAGACGATTAAGGACTTAATGCTCGAGGAATGGGCATTAGCGTCGCTTTTAACACACCAAAAACCAATACGTGTTTCTACGGTGAAGCAGTTGTGTTTGCATGGCTGTGTTTCGGTTTCAAGGGTGGGATATGGCAGTGAATTTACAGGGTACAGAGGAATAACTGAGTCCTCAGGAATGGCAACGCATGGGCGGTATCATGGGTGAAACAGTATACTCTGTTATGTTCATGGTACTGCTCATGTCTATAGGCGACCTGCTATATCAAATCTCACTACGTGTCCCAACCAAATCACGAAGATTAAATGCCACCTTATTTCTTCTATTTGTTGCCACTAACTATAATAAAAATTCATATTTCTGGCGTGCAAGCGATAATTTTAATAAAATATGGTATGTAGAGAGCTCGATTTAGATTTATTTATTTATTTAACACTTTATTGCACCAACATAACAAGATTTGTTGAACAATTTTCAATACGTAAAGTGTAGTACCTACAAAAGGCGGTCAAGATTTATTTAATTCTAAGATAAGACCTCAAGACGTGTGTTGAGTCAGTGGTTCTTTGATGGTTCATCTTTGAGCGCGTGATTTTATCTTTTAATTTTGCATAACTGCCTACCTATAATTTTTTTTTTATTAATGGGTGATAATGGAATGGTAACCCCACCCGCGCTATCGGTATACACCGGCGGGGCAACAGTGAAGGATGATAGGTGAGGAGATGAAGCAGGTCAGTTAGCCCATCGTGACGAATTCAACAAGAATTGTTCACGATGGTTTCCAGGGGGAACACTTAAAGATATTCGTACCTTGAACCTTGTTCCTTGAACAGTAACGGAACTCTTCAAAGATTGGTAGTAAGAATTAGCAGAACTGTCAGTAGATTTCACTTATACAGTTTATAAGGTCCAAACAAATAACACAATATATATATATATATATATATATATATATATATATATATATATATATATATATATATATATATATATATATAAACGAACACACAATATCACTTGATGTTAAAATTAAAATAATATTTAAACCATCTACTAATTTTCTATTTTCGTAATAAACGACAGTCAACAATTGCTAGGCAACACACGCAATAGGTGTCACACCGCATTTAAATTTTGGAACCAATCAAAAAGTATTAACAGGAACCACGTGGAGGTCGACCTAATCGGGCATACTGCTAGCAATGGGGCTATCAAACTCCATTGCTAACAATCCCTTCCCCTCTACCTATAATGTTTGTACTTTTATAATGTTGTTATTCTAAGTTTAATTCAGTCCGTTGTAAGTATTAGCGATGTCATGTGCATTAGTTAAATCTTGCTTTTATTTGGGAAAACCTGCAATTGATTTTTTGCTTTTAATGTTTTTTTTTATTATAAAATTTTTTAGCTGTTGGTTTTTTATATACACCGTACGTTCGCGACTTAAAACATACTGGCCTCTCACCGCCCTGTCGTATTCCCTTTTATCAATTTCCTTTGTAAAGTATGTCTTCATTCTTTCTGGGAATTTGTGTGTGGGAACAGCTATTGTGCAATATGTATTGGCATGTTGTAGTATGGTTTGAAAGGAGTTTGCACCCGTAACAACTACAATAACAAGCTTGGTGATGTAGACTGTCATAATAACAGATAACAGTTTTATCTGCATATTTACTGTAAATCTTTAATTATTTTTATTTATTTACCTAAATATGAGATAAAACGATAAGATATGTGGTTTCCGTCTTATTTTAATGGATGATAATGGAAATTGACTAACGGTATACGCTCATGGGGCACCAGTGAAAGTGGTAGGTGAGAATGAAACAGGACGGTTTTTTTTAATGGATAATAATGGAGTAGTAATCCCGCCTGCATTAACGGTATACACCGGCGGGGCACCAGTGAGGGATGATAGGTGAGGATGAAGCAGGTCAGTTAGCCATTCATCATATTATGCCTATGTACCCTGTAATTTCATCCCCATATCCCACCCTTGATACCTTAAAGTGTAACTTTAAAACAGAGTAAAGTTAATTTTTTTGTTATTTATTTTAATTTCTTTTCAGCATCCTCTATTGCTGATAATGTGATCAGCAAATTCGGCAACCAGCTGAGGTTTCAGCACGTCCCCAATGATGAGGGTGGCGCTACACTAACCGACAACTGGTTAAAAGTCGCTGACTTAATTCCATCAGCATACTTGCCAACCAGGGACAACCAGTTCCACCTCTTCACCAGGTAAGTAATAATAATAATAATTTATTTACTCGAAATGTGGTGCAAATAGACTTAAATGATAACAGAGCTACACGTTTCACTTTATCTAAAGGCATGCAAATTTTGTCTCAGTACGATTTTTTATTTTTTTATTTTTATACAACAAAAGGAGAAAGAGAACTGTATCATTTCCACATAGGGTTAGGACAAGCACCGACAGCATTCTAAAAGTAATAGGCGATAAATATAACTCGCCTATAATTGGGCATTTCGTTCAGATGCTGATCTCGGTGAGCAGTTCCTGACCTGCTTTAATTAATTTGCTTTTCTGTTTTTACTAACATAGTTTGTAAGAAAACTGTTACTAACAAAATGGACCAAATTGTAGTCTGAATAATAAAGTATATTATTATTACTATATATAAATTCACGCCATATCTCACCCTTCAAACCGAAACACGGCCATGCAAACACAACTGCTTCGCGGTTGAAACACGAATGGGAAAGAGATACCCAAGCAATCAGTACTGGGTACTGAGGAATAACACCAAAGTCCTCAGAAATGGCAACGCATGGGGAGTATCATGGGCAAAACAGTATATTCTGTTATGTCCATGGTACTCCTCATGTCTATAGGCGACAGTTACCACTTTACATCAGGTGGGCCGTCAGCTTGATTGCCATTCTAAGTTGTATAAAAAAAAAAGTTCATAGTACTGTTCATATCTATAGGCGCAGGTTATTGCTTTCTATCAGATGGGGTAAATTGTTAGCCATTCAGGATATCACAGTCTTAATTATTTTCAGAGACAACCCCACAGTCAGCCAGCCACTTCTGCTCTACAACGGTGCTTTGCTCCTAAACAGTAACTTCAACGCTTCACGCCGCACCGTCATCCTAATCCACGGTCATGGAGGCTCAGCTCTGTCCAACTTCAACCTTGTTCTGATACCTAGTAAGTTTTCGTCACGAAGAACCAATTGAGCGGACTTCATCCACATCTTTTTATCTTTCACCGGCATCCATCTTTGTATAACTTATTATTCTGAGTACCTCGGTAGTGTACCAGTTTAAGGAGGAGTGGAGGGGAGGAAGGAATTGTTAATAATTAGGTTATCCACCACATTGCTTATAATATACCCTATCAGGTTCATCTCCACGAAATTCCCGAAATCACGAAAATCAAAGAATCACGAAAAGAATGGGGATTCTATGCCGGAACCACACGATGTGGTCTGCCGACAATTGTTGGTGATTCTAAATAAATAATAACAGTTTTTTTATGCAACGAATGGCAAACAAGCTGATGGCCCACCTAATGGAAAGTGGTATCCGTTGCCTATAGACATGAACAGTAACGTAATGAGCGTAACATAATGTACTGCGTCGCTCATGATATCTCTCATGCATTACTATTCCTGGGGACTATGGTATTATGCCTCTGTATCATGCCATATCCCGCTCTTCAGACCGAAACAGCTGTGTAAGCACAACTGCTTCAAGACAGAAACACGACTGGGTTGCCACACTTTGGTTAGCTAAGGTTACGAACGCTTTTAATACCTATAATTATTTTGCAGGTTATTTGGCCGCTGCTGATGTGAACGTAATCCTTGTGGACTGGAGCCGTGGCGCCAACTCCAATACAGTTCTTAGTTTAGTCAACATAGCTTTGTCAGGCAAGTAAATTAGAATACTTTGAAACCAACTTCAAAAAGAATTCGGTTGTATTTTTTATGTTCCTTACCTCATAACTCTGTTAGTTGCAAACCGATCTGCAAAATTCTTTTTTAACTTAAAGAATATACTTAGAAAATGGCCCCATACAAATTATACTAAAATCCGTTCAGTTAGAACTAGAACAAAAAGCTCGACTAATTTCGGGACCATTTGGGACCCTTGTTCATGAGCGGCAGTAACATAAGGTCCGGAAACTAGCCGAGCTTTCTTGACCAAATTACACGTAAGATAAACCGGTAGTTATTACAGGAAAGGAATTGATAGTAATGGTCTAAAAACCTCATTGCTTGCAATGTACAGTTTTTGGGGGAAAGGGATTGTTAGCAATAGAGTTTGACAGCCTCATTGCTAGCAATATACCTTATTAGGTCGACCTCCACGTGGTTCCCCCTGGAAACCATCGTGAACAATTCTTGTTGAATTCGTCACGATGGGCTAACTGACCTACTTCATCCTCACCTATCACCCTTCACTGGTGCCCTGCCAGTGTATACCGATAGCGTAGGCGGGGTTACCATTCCATTATCATTCCTTAAAAAAAATTTACAGTTTAAGCATGACCGAGTAATATATGTTTGTACCTAAGAGAAATACAAACAATTTTAGAATTTTATTGATGTATTAAGTAAAATCATCATCTATTTATTTTTCAGCTCGCAATGTTAAGAATTTTATTGAATTCGTCACATCAACTACCGGCCAGTCATTGGCTGACGTCAGCCTGGTTGGAGTAGGACTTGGCGGTCTCCAGGCCGGTCTCATCGGCAGGAGATTGAGGAGACAAGTCGGATATATCGCGGGTAAGAGCAATGCTTCATTAGATCATAGTAAAAAGGTAAACAAAGTAATCCATTCGACCAATAATATTTTAGTCCAACTTGAAAGATAGGTTAATTTATATCCCGATAAGTAAAAATGGCATCTGGCAGATAGCGGTAGGGTGCTAAACGTTTGACGGATTAGCTAATAAATATATCAATAATTAATACAAGTTTAAAAATAAAATATAAACCTAATAAGAAGTCTATCTATCCTATTTAAGAGCTGCGCTCTTGTCGGTGGAGCTCTTGCCACTCACTACGATTTTCAGCGAGTCTCTTCACCTCTTGATACGACACGACACCAACTCCTTCCTTGATCTGCCTGATGTAACTATGTCTCGGTCTCCCTCTCCCTCTCCTTCCTTCTATCTTACCTTCTATTATAATGTTCATAAGTTCGTCGTGTCGTATCAAGTGTCCCAACATTTTACCCCTTCTGTCCTCAATAGTTCTAATAATTTGTCTTTTTTCCTTAACCCTAAGCAGGGCCTCCTCATTGCTAATTCAATCCCTCCAGCTAATTTTCTTCATCCTTCTCCAGCACCACATTTCAAAGGCAGATAATAAGAAGTGTGGACTAAAATACTATTTAGTGACAAAAATCAAAAACGGAATGTTGCGTTAGTTTGGTCATTTGGCGAGGATGAATGAAAAAAGAATTACGAAAGAGATTTATCGAGCACGAATGAACGGAAATATCGGTAGGGGCCGCCCTAGATAGACATATGTCGACCAAATAGACGACATCCTGAAGAAGAGCCAAATTAAAAGTACCCGTAACCGGCGAGCGTGTATGAATAGATTGATGAGTGTGGAGGAAGCGAAAGAGCACTGTTTGAATCGAAGCATTTTTGCGTTCCTATATTTCTGCCTAACCCTATAGGAGACAAGCGTAACGGATATGTATATATGTATAAGCCTATAATAATTTATTTCAGCCCTGGACCCAACATACTGGAGTGCGGTTCACGAACTGTTACCCCAGTTCAGGGCCAACGATGGAGTCTACACTGAAGTTATCCACACCAATGTGGGCAACAGGGGATACATCAAGCCTATGGGCCAAGTGGATATCTACCCCAACGGTGGAATAAACATGCCTGGTTGTGGACGAGATGACGCCTGCGATCAGGAGAGGTGAGTCTTCAAGTGATTTCTAACAGGACATTAAGGGGGGGAAAGGGTTGTTAGTAATGGGGTCAAATAGCTCCATTACTAGCAATATACCCTGTCAAGTCGACCTCCACGTGGTTCCCCCTGGAAATCTTCGTGGCTAATTCTAGTTGAATTCGTCAGGATGGGCTAACTGACCTGCTTTCATCCTCACCTGTCATTTATCACTGGTGCTCCACCGGTGTATACCGATAGCGCAGACGGGGTTACCATACCATTATCACTCATTAAAAAAATGTATGTGTATGAATGTGTGTTTCTGTACTGTAAATGAACGTATATAATAAATGTACCCTACATTTTACATTATAATACAATTTTCCCAAATTTTCCACGGAAACGAAGATATGTGCATTTAAATTAATGGAATTTTTCAAAAATTTCCCCGATAATGAAAATCAACATTCTCGCGGAAAATATTAAAACTAATATTTATAAACAATTTTTATTTCAGAGCATATTATTATTGGGCAGAGGCTTTAACCAGCGGCGGCTTCACCGCCCGCCAGTGCACCGACTACGAGGAGGCATTGCTGCAGGAGTGCCAAGGAGCCACGCTGACCTTGGGAGGCATTGAACCAAAAACTGGGTAAGTTTTTAACTAAACTAACCTCATGAGGAGGAAAAATTTGATAATTCATTACTAGCTGATCCGGCAGACTTCGTACTGCCTAAATCGATAAATAAAAGATCTAAACTTAAATTGTAGAAAATAAATTTAAAACAAACAAAAGGAATCAATAATTAATAAAAAATCTACATAAAAATAATCTGAAAGATAGTTAACAACTTTCTTATTTATTCACCTTTTAAACCTTCTCTGGACTTCCACAAATAATTCAAAACCAAAATTAACTACCTTTACTATTACTTATACTGTTTTAATACTAAGAGTCAGCTCAACCTACCTGGTGCCCCAAACAAAATTTTTGATGATGCCCTCAATACCCAAAACAGCGGTCCTACCATGAAATGTTTTCCAAAATTTCGGATCCGAACGAAACAAAAATTTGATGCTAAAATTACATGATACGTACCGTTTAAAAATATTAAAAATGCTAAAGTATCGTACCTTTGAACTTTTATGGTAGGATTTATGACAAATTAAATGTTAAGCTCCACTTAGAAGGTCTTCGGTACGAACAAAAACACAAAATTGAGCCCGAAAATTCGGAATTTCATTTCATGGTAGACCCCCAGGTCACCGACATTGTTATGTTTAAGGGGTTGGAAGAGAAGGCAGGTGACAATTGTCAATTTCTTCCCTTTTTCTGTAGATAGACTCTATAGTTTTCTTTTTTGTTACAGTGCCTCCGGTATCTACTCGCTACAAACAAACCCTAGCCCACCATTCTCTCAGGGATAAATAATATTTAGTTATCGTGTATAAAGCTGAACGAATATTGATAATTGTTTTATTGTTATAATTAAAAAAAAATAAAGCTGTTGTCTTTTTTTATTTCATCCCTAATTATCTCGTCCTTAAATGTATTTGTTTATACAGCAAGGTTCACGTCTATGTATATACCGCGAAAGTATTACGTCACAAATATTTAAGGTTGTAGGTGTAACTGCGCTTAGCCTTTACCTTATGAACGGAAATAGAAAATAACCGAGCTTACGTAGTTAGATCTATGATCTGAGAAAACTTCAATGTACGAAACATTTACACTAGAGTTGAATGTCAACCCCCATTACTAACAATCCCTTTCCTAGCAGAGCGAAGTTTTGTACATACAAAACAACCAAGTAATGTTTGCGACAGGTGCGAGCGATAAATTACTAGTCAGTAGGCGGCGCTTGTAAGAGATAGATGCAAAAAAGAAATAAACTATCATAATATAATATCGCGTATATAAAAAAAAACTCACTAAACATTCTCGCACCGCTCATCTGTTTACCATTTCACAGCGTCGCTAAGCGTTTTCGCATTGCTCAGCTATATCGTAACGTCTCTGGTGGAAACGCAGCCTAAAAAGAAATTTTCTTAGGACATAGACTAAGAATAATATTAAATAAACAAAAAAAACGTAAAAACATTTTGAAATGTCAACGTCAACCGTCACTGTCAATCAATGTCAAATTGAAAGATTCGTGTTTTTATTTGTTTTTCATTCTATCCATTTTGTTTTGCTTATTTTCATTTTACTTTTATTTTATTTTCCCTTGCATTTATTTTCATTAATTTGTATTAGTTTAAATTTATTTTATTTATCATATACAGAACTTAAATATTCCTCGTTATTAAATGGCGAAACAAAATGAAAGTAAACGTGGTAAAAAGAGGATTGAAAAGAATTTTTGTGAATATTGCAATAAAATCCTTTTGGGATCCTCGTATAAATTCAAAATTCATATGTATCAACACAGTACAGTTCGGCCTCTTTATCATTGTAAATTGTGTAATAAAGGTTTATCGAGGAAAGACGCGTTGAAACGCCATATGGACGCTCATACAGGTTAGTAATTTTTTTTTCAGTCGATGACAAAATTAAGGAAATTCTGAATTGGGTTAAATTCTTTTATTTTACTTTTTTTTTATTTATATGACGCGCATGACAGTAGTTTGCAATATGTAATATAAATTTATGAATTTAAAAAAATCACATTTAAGTACTTTAATGTATTGTTCAGGTAAACTTTCCACAATATGTGCATATAACATGATCCAATAATAAATACGAGTAACAGTAACAACCCTTCAGTTATAACAAAGAAAAATAAATTACATTGTTTTTTTAACAATAATTAGAGATAAAAAATAAAACAAAATAAAAGTTAAAATAAACAAAAAAAAATTTTTTATTACTTTATAACTCTATGAATTTTAAACTAATTTGGAAAATTCTTTTTTATCTGAAATCACATATTTACAGATTGGTTCGATGGCATTTTTAGTACTTGTAATAGTTTAGTTTTTATATAAAAATAAACTTCCCTAGTCGCCTTTTACGACACCTACTGGGCAGGAAGGAAATTGCAAAAAAGAAAAATATATCAAGAAATAATTCTGAAAATAACAATCAAATATAATGACAATTTGTGAAACTGCCAACTATAGAGCTTGGACATTACAAAATAGTTTAAAAAAAAAACTAATCTAGAATACAAAAAAATTCTATGAAAAGTACTACTCACCAGAGAGAGACTTTGTACAAAAGTCGTTTGCTTGGACACCTCTGTCGCATTCGTGTTTCTACTGTGAAGCAGTTGTGTTTGCTTGGCTGTGTTTCGGTTTGAAGAGTGGGATATGGCGTGAATTTACAGGGTACAGAGGAATAACACCTGAGTCCTCAGGAATGGCAACGCATGGGGGGTATCATGGGCGAAACAGTATACTCTGTTATGTCCATGGTACTGCTCATGTCTATAGGCGACGGTTACCACTTTCCATCAGGTGGACCGTCAGCCTGTTTGCCATTCTAACTTGTATAAAAAAAAATTTACAGGGTACAGAGGAATAACACCCGAGTCCTCAGGAATGGCAACGCATGGGGGGTATCATGTGCGAAACAGTATACTCTGTTATGTCCATGGTATGGTCTGTTCATGTCTATAAGTGACGGTTACCACTTTCCATCAGGTGGGCTGTCAGCTTGTTTGCCATTCTAATTTGTATAAAAAAAAAAACTTATGTAGGCCTTTTTAGAACTAAAAGCAATGCAATTAATGCAAAAGTGTCCTTTATAATAATAATAATAATCTTTATTTGCTTAAACACGGTTGCACTTGCTTTCCACAATGAGGACAATCATCGACGCCTTTTTTTTTTTTTTTTTGATGAGTGAAAATGGTATGGTAGCCCCGCCTGCGCTAACGGGATACGCTAGGAGCACCAGTGAAGAGTAATCGATGAGAATGAAAACAGGCCAGTTAGCCCATCATGATGAATTCATCAGGAATTAACCATGATAGTTTCCAGGGGGAACCGCGAGGAGGTCGACCTGGTTGGGTATATTGCTAGCAATGGGATTCTCAGTCTCCATTACTAACAATCCCTTTCCCCTCATCGACCCCTATTAAGTTATCTTCGCCGACGCTGGCCGCGTCGAGCACGCCCATTAGTGTTCCTTATAATCACACCACTTATCAGTCTTTGGGTTGAACTGTCCAGAAAATAGAATATTTGAAACAGCTGTAGCCATTTTTACAATAATTTTTTATTTGTTTATTTAGTCCCCACTAAAGAATACATGCAAGTGGGGATTACAAAGCAATCTGATTTGTTTACCTTTTACCCTCTTTATACTATATATAGTATATATATATATACTATAGTATATATTAATCAATACATAACAGTAACCATAGTGGTTAAGTGTTTTTTTTTTTTTATCAATAAGTTTTACTGCCAGTTAATTTTATGATTTTTACAGAACAATAAATTATTTGTTGGGAAACTAAATCTGCTTGTAAATACCTTTTTTTCTAAATTCTAACGTTTTCAAAGAAATATATATGTCTAAAAAACATTCTATGATGCCAATGAACTATGCAATTAAAAATGCCATTTTTATGCCAGTTCAAAGTATGCTTAAGATTATTTCTCAAACTACTGTAATATTATTATTTTATCGTTACCATATGAGCATATCGTCCGTAATCTGACCACTGCTGGACATAAGCGTCCCCCATAAAAAGGGTTTTGCCAAAAGATTTGTAATATTACCATATCATCATATTGTACCACATTTTTAGCAATAAATTTCTTTCATCCATTTATTCATAGTTACGCAGTTAGTCTATTGCTGACGTTTTAAAAACGACGATACTGCCGTTGCTTACGACACTAACGAAAAAGTAAGCCGTAGCCCATTCTATGCCGGGACCAGACAGCAAAATATTGTTATTTGCTTTAAATGATTTATTATCTAACGTTTAAATTTATAACATTACAGGGAACACAAGAAAATACATTTGCGACTACTGCGACCGCGATTTTGTGGACAAGAGGAATTTAATATCTCATCTATGGATACACGAAGACAATCAAAATTCTCAAAAATCCCCGAAAAAGAGACACACGTGCTTGGCTTGCGGCGTTTATTACTGCGAAGAGCGTCTCCTAAAGTTTCATATACGAAAGGAACATTTTAATCTAACTACACCAACGCCATCTAATATTCACGAGAAGAAATTGAACGACACATGGGTGGAGAGAGTGTCGGAATCGGAAACATACGTTCAAATGACCAAAGTGAACAATAATATCATCACTATCAAGAAATGCGACAGTTTGACTGCAAAGGAACTGTGCGACACGGAATTTAAAATAAAAGACAAAGGGGTCACGGAATATTATGATGCGTACGCGCATTTTCTTGCTTGTAAACGAGCCGATTCGCAATATACAAAAGCTATATGCGATTATTGCAACAAAGAGATGCTTAAGAAGAGTCTTTTAGCTCATATAAGGGAGAGACATTTAAATATTCGTAAATATAAATGTGAAACTTGTCAATTTAGTTTTAAAAGACATTATTTGTTTGTTGAACACGCTTGTGGAAAGTCTAGAAGAAGGAGGCCAAAGAGACAGGTAATTAGTTGAAAGAACACCCGCGGATTGGACATGGGTCACTGCATATTTGAAGACCCGTTGCCTTTGTCATTTGAGATACCTGGATTGTATTCTCTGGAGTCAGAGCAGTGGAGTGCGCTCGAGTTACTTAATTGGTGCGGAATAAATTGTAAAGTTACCCATGTCTACCGTGGATGGCATAGTGATGCAAAAAACATATTGATGTAGGATACATTTTCTAGATATTTACAAAATTGAGGCCTGCAAAATCAAAGACAGCTAGATCCACATCTGTGAAATGTTTGGGAAACTACAAAAAGTAATATTATGTCAAAAAAATGGAACAATATTGTATATTTTAAACCAGATTGGACAAAAATTATGGTATTGTTAATAGTATAAATTTTAAATAATAGAACTCCCTCTGTATTTGAATACAGAGTGAAAATGAAATCGATTTATTGGCGTTTAGCTGCCTTTTAGTTTTATAGGCCCCAATTGTTCTTAAACTTGTAAATGGGTAACTTGAAGTTGTAGATTTAAATACATAGAAGGTGTAAAAGAAAGGTGTAGTCCAAGATAACTGTATCATTAATAATAGTTAATTTTAAACTTGGGTCGTTTACACATATTTTAAATTCACTATCCTTACCAAAAACTGTTATAAATGTTTGCAAGTAACTAGTACCTTCATGCCTACTTCTTTATTGGCGACATTTCGACGTAAACATGACCATAATGTATTTAAAATATTAATAATAATATTTACAAATATTAAGTATTCTGATATAAGGAGTATGATAAAAAATGTTTTTAGAAAACCCATCGAAAAAGATTGTCAAGTTTGCCTCAATTTATTTCCCTTTAAAACAGAGGATCTCTTTGAAAACAGAAGATGGGTAACCTACATCGTTAAAATGTATCAACTTGTATATTTAATTAAGTTTTAAATCAATTACAATGTTTTGTTATTTCATATTATGTAAATATAGTACCTTAGTTTTTTTACATTGGACTTGCTTTACAAAAAATACTATTACTGTTTGACTCGACATTTGTTATTGCATGTTATATTTGAAATTTCAACAATCATGGTTTTAAAAAATATATTTATTTGCATGTAACAAGTCTTCCGTATTGAAAATTATTTTTAAATTAGTATGTAAGTTTATGGGGCCAAGAAAATGTCTCTAAAAATGTTATGAGAATTAATATGTAAGTTTTAAGCTAAAATTCTCTTTTTTTACACACAGAGAAGGATTAATGAGTAGCTATACTGGAATCCAGTTTGAATTGTCATTCTCAGGTGTTATGACTATTTTTTATTAATTTGTTTAAAAATTAGGTCTAATAAATGACTTCTAAGCATAATAGGCGTTATAAAAAGGGGACAATGTGAGTCGTGTCCATCCCACAATTATCTGATGTCTTCCCTGTGCCCACCCCATAATTATCTGGTTATGATTATGGGGTACATAGATTGGTAATGTAAAATAGAAAATATAATAACCTATATAAATAATAAATTTATTGCCATCTTTACAAACATAGACAAATTATAATGTACATAAATTAATTAATAAATATATTGTGCATTGTTCGTATGCCTGGCAATAGGTAAATGTTATAAAATGTTAAAGCGAGATAGACGATGAGACAATAATTTGCATAATATATTATCCAAATAAAGTCCCAAACGTCCCCGAGTCGTACTTAAACTTACAATAAATACGTGAATTTTTGCTATTTTTGCAACTTCCATTCCATACATATATATATTCTTTATTGCACTTGTAAGTTACATATAAAATAATCCATTTATAAATGTTGTGAGCAAGGGTGGACTTATCTCTGACAGAGATCTCTTCCAGTCAACCCAGTACAGTAAGAAAGCATTTCGTTAGCGGGCAGCTGAAGTGCTACAACTATTAATACATAAACAAATATACAGTTAAATAAAATATTAAAATATATAATAAAATATTACATAAATACATACACTATAAATATATACAATACCTACCTACTTATATAGTATATGTTAAAATAAATTAATATACTACTTACATTAGAAATTTCGTTTAATGATTTTAAGATTTGAGAGTTCAATTAGAAAAATATTGAGATCTGTCACGTGTACACATTTACAAAACGCACAAACTAGTTTTTTTTTTTAATGGATGATAATGGAATGGTAACCCCATCCGCGCTATCGGTATACACCGGCGCGGCACCAGTGAAGGATGATAGGTGAGGATGAAGCAGGTCAGTTAGCCCATCGTGACGAATCAACAAGAATTGTTCACGATAGTTTCCAGGGGGAACCACGGGGAGGTCCACTTAATAAGGCATATAGCTAGCAATAGGGCTGTCGAACTCCGTTGCTAACAATCCCTTTCCCCCCGCACAAACTAATGTAACCATTTTCTCGTTTTTGTGTTTGCATTGCCAATCTGTCCGTACATAGTATATTATACGATGTCAGTGCTGCCTACCCGAGAATGCAAGGGGGGCATAGCTAAAAAGCTACGTGCAAAAACATATATAAGGGTACACATTGTGCCTTCTCTGAGGGAACAGATCCCACTGAAAATAACCTTCATAACTCCAATGATGTTTAAATGTAAATAATGAAATTTAGAAATCGCCCTCGTCTTAATAAATTATTGATTATTAATTAAATAGATGTATTTAAAATTATTTTCTAATCTCAAAACTTGTATGTAACACAATGTAAACTGCCAATAGTAATTTAATTAAATATACTTTTAGTCATTTTGTTTGTGTACATCTTAGATTACATAGATAGAGGATCGAGTCTCAAAAACGAGTCAACTTTTTGTCAGCTAATTGTCAAATTAGCGGTTTTTTTTTTTTATGAATGTTCTATATACTTACTCACGCAATGTACCTTGACGTATCTATATTTAATTATTCAATAAATAAAATGAGTGTTTACGCATTAAAAAGATGCAGAATTTATAAGACAAAATAAATGTAGAAGTTATAAAGGAATCACTCATAACTATTTATCATGCAAAATTTTATGAAAAAGTTGAGCCGTTTTTCTCGAAGTATTTGTATGGAGACGCTCTATCTATATAATCTAAGTTTATATATTATAATTATAGTAACCTATTATAATTGCAAAATAGATTGTCTAAGGTCATGTCGTATGAAGAAGTGCAAGCCATCTTGTTACTCAACTCTGTGTTATTTTGCGAAAGTCTATAATCACTGGGAAGTTCATTAAAATTATTTTGTTTAATTTAAGATTGACTGCTATTAGCATTACCAGAAGTTCTATAATCTTCAAATATTAGTCATCAATCTCCGACCACTATTCGGTCCAAGCACGTTTTGTGACACGTGCTTCACCTCAATAAGGCGTTTTCCGTGAAATTAACACCCATAATCGCATGTTATGTTATGCCTAATGTTAACCGTTCGGCTCTCAGACTATGTTTTAGATGAACTAATGCCAACCACTCTTTGGAAGTAACTTCTAGCAGCAGTATTTCAGAACGGATACGACATTATAACCTTCAAGAAAAGAGCATATTCCTTTCTAAAAGGCCGGCACACCTGCGATGCCGTTGGTGCTGCGGGTGATTATGAGCGGCGATAGTCACTTACCATCAGGTGAACCGCGTGCTCGTTTGCCCTCTGTCTTATAAAAAAAAATTAACCAGTGGTATGGACTGCCATAAAGTAACACCTAATTCAGTTGAAATAATATATATTAACATAAATCATAGCAAGACACAATATATTGTCTATAGTATTCTTCGAGTGACCACAGACATATTTACTTATATAGACAAAAATGTCTGACCAATGAAATGAACAAAAATCAAGACTGAAATATTTAATGTGCCTTATTACAATTTATTAGACCCCTTATGGGACATAGATGGTTGATAGTGGTCGATTCTGAAGCTACATATCTCTAAACTTGTCTTTCAAATTAACCCTTTGCACTCCAGCCTACTAACTCATAGAGGATACCAATAACTCGAGCACTGTATTAATTACAAGTACATACCTGTGATGTAAAAGAAAAATGGAGTCGTTGCAATCTGTCCGACTCTAGAATAAGGGCATACGGGTATGCGATCCCGGCCTCCCGAGCCGCTGCAGTGTCCCCCCCCCCCTTTCCTTTCCCACACAAGTCCCTTATTCCCCTCATTCACCGGGAATTCAGAATTCATCCACATTCAGAGGGTTGACGTCAGGTAGGTGGCCGGTCGTAAAACTAAAAACCCAAATCTTTTTGTAATATGGATAAAATCATATTACGCCGACCCCAAATGATTGGGATAAGGGTAGGAGGATGATGATGGTGTCGTTGCAATAAAACAAAACATTTATTTCTTAGCTATTTTATAAAGGGCGCTGAGTCAGTAAAACAACCGTGTTGCCGTAGCCGCGACATTGGATTTAATGTTAGCATTTTAATGTCGCAAATACAGTGGCAATGGAGTGCAAAGGGTTAAAACTTCAATATGGTGTCACAGCGGAATGCCGTTTTAATTCAGGGCACTGTTGGGGGTACCCTATCGCTGTAGTGCGTCACAAGTTTGCACGAGAGCGTACGGATGATTATTACGCAATACGGCGCAAATGAATTGTTTCGATGTTGGGTAGGGTGCGTGTTAGCTCAAACAGTGTCCTGAAGACAATTGCTAATAAAATGGACTGTCCCATCCTAAAATATTGGGTGGGACAGGTTATCAATGCAAGAGCGTTATGACCGCTCATTTACTAACATAGGTTAAGTCAATTTATAACTAACAAAATGGGCCTTACGTAGTCTGATTAAATAAATATTATTATTATTAATACTGGCTGTTGACACTGAAGTTTTTAGAACACATATAATTAAAAAAAATATGAGCTTTTTTTTCACATAATTGGATTTTTTATATTACAAATAAATATGTTTTGCTATGCCATTCTGCTGTTAACATCAAAATGGTTATAGGAATTAATTTATGGTGGCCCATGAAACAATAATTTCGTGAAATTATCGAATTAAAATATTAGATTGAGAGATAGGTTTGGAAAAATTGCGCCTCAGAATCGATCCTAATGTAATTTTTTATACAATTTATTGAGGATTTTTTTTTATAATTCCCTCTGTATGTCAATATTATTTCAGACGATGTATACTTATTTAATATTAATATACGTCAAATATGTTAATAAATATTTTAAACACATGTTGATGTATTTATTTTAATAAGGGTAAATAAGAACATTAATAAAAACCAATAGAGAATAGAGGTAAAATGCTGGGTTACCTTATACGACATAATGATTTTTTGAGGAGCATACTAGAAGCAAAAATGGAGAGCAAAAGGGGAAGGAGAAGATCGAGAAATAATTACATACAGGGCCGGATCTACTTCAGAGCTTTTTGGGCTGCAGCCCAAAATCTTGTGAATACAAAGGGCCCCCAGCCCCTACTGAAAACAGTATGCGATATTTTTAATTAAAAAAAATATCTAAAATTATTATTATAATTATAAATCTAATCATAAGGTTGGCAACCCTAAGATCAACAACCCATATGTGTGTATCGAAATTTACCAGAGAGAGACTTTGTACAAAAGTCGATTGCTTGAGTACCTCTGTCCCATTCGTGTTTCTACCGTGAGGCAGTTGTGTTTGCATGGCTGTGTTTCGGTTTGAAGGGTGGGATATGGCGTGAATTTACTGGGTATAGAGGAATAACACCTGAGTCCTCAGGAGTGGCAACGCATGCGGGGTATCATGGGCGAAACAGTATTCTCTGTTATGTCCATGGTATTGCTCATGTCAAATGCATGGCAAACAAGCTGTCGGTCCACCTGATGGAAAGTGGTAACCGTCGCCTATATCTATAGGCGACATGAGCAATACCATGGACATAACAGAGTATACTGTTTCGCCCATGATACCCCCCATGCGTTGCCATTCCTGACGATTTGGGTGTTATTCCTCTGTACCCAGTAAATTCACGCCATATCCCACCCTTGAAACCGAAACACAGCCATGCAAACACTTTTGTACAAAGTCTCCCCTGCTAAAATAATAATAGATAATGCCAACGTTCGTTAAAAACATTTAGGATAGTATGTATGGTCTTTCTCCAGCTAAAAACTATTCTAAATAGTAATAATCTTCTGATTCACTACCATAATACTCGTCCATTTCTTTTTCTAATCTTTTACAATTTGAAATTGTAGTACTGGCCCTTGTTACTACATCAAATAAAATGTTACTATCAGAAAATTCATTTGTGCCAACATTTAAATCAAATTCTTTATTCAAATTTGTCGTTACTTTTATCTTATTAATTATTGAATGGAGACTAAATTGTCCCATTCTAGGTTTTGAATCGTCTTCAACATTTCCCGCCAATTTTTCTCGGCTTATATGATGCTGTAATGTACCAACAGAACTATTTACTGTAAATAAAAAATGATCATCTATTTTATTGGTCTTTGGTAGTTTATCTAATAAATGTTTTCGTAGTGATTTATAATTTTTAACGTTTTTCTTCGAGTTTGGATCCATATAACCACAATTTTCAATGCACACATAATTTTTTCTACCGCTTCTCATTATTCTTGAGTATATAATATGATTAGTGGAATTAATTATTTGAAACAGTATAAATTCGGGGAATATCTGAAATAAAACAAACAGGTTTTACTGAATAAATATCCTCTGCTTAAGATGTAATGCCGTAAAAATACTGTGGTCACAAAGTTTTTGGCCCGGCGGGCCGTGCCGGTACTATTGTAAATAATACCAAATAACTCGTCTACAATATCAGTATAGATACACTCCCGGGGCACCAGTTGGAGATTGTTGGTTTGTTTGATTTTTGTTTAAGCTTACCGCGTAAAACGTTGAAAATTCACAATCTTCCCGCCATTTGCACATAAACATGACAGTTGAGCGACGTTCGGAAACTTTATTATAAATTCTTCTAAGTTTATATTTAGTAACGATGGGATTGTCACAGGTGTTTAGATCCGAAAATGATATCAGTAACGGACATTTTGAAGTGATATTGTTTAATTGAAACCAGCTGATTGCACATAATTTATCTTTGTTAATTACTGACAAAAACTCGTAGGGACACGGAGGCTCTTCTATAACCTTCAAATTGTAAGTCCTTATTATTATTATTTACTAGCGACCCGCTCCGGCTTCGCATGGGTGCAATGCCACACCGCTATGTCCCTGCATTTTTAATCTGTAATATCTTCGGAAATATTCATTTAAATTACATGCTGTAAAGGGTCATATCGATCTATATTAAATGGACAATGTAATTAAGGTACTTAGTTGAATAAAAATTAATACTGTATTGTTTAAAATCACTTCGTAAATAAGCCATTTTTTTCCGTAAAATGTAAAGGATAAAAAATGGTTATCGTGGATTATCCTTAAGAGATAGACATTTTTTTTTTTATTTTTTAAGGTGTACAATACTCTAGTTCATTATTTTGATTTATCTCGTGGGGTTCAGTCAGCATTTGTAATGTAACAGGTTTTTAATATTAGTGTTGGAATGTGATGGAAAATGTTACTCGTTATATAAATAACATTATATATATATAACAGTAATCCTTGTTGATACGTTACAATGGGCTAACTGACTTGGTTTCATCCTCACTTATCATCACTTACTTTAGGCCCACCAGCGTATATTAACAGCGCAGGCAGAGTTACCATTCTATTATCATCCACTGATAATCTACAAAGCCACAAAATCAGCAATTAAAGAGTTATAATTTGATTGTAATGGGAATCTTATTAAACACTTCATTTACATTTATAGGAAAAATTTAAATCACTTAGCCTGTCAACTACTTAAACTAGAGTTCGGTTTTCTAGACCTAATAATTTAGATCTAGCACCTACATGTAAGTCAATTTCTTTTATATAATAATTATAAATGATTTTTTATAATTTATCTATTTTTATTAATTATATATTTTATCTTACCCAAAATATACCGTCATAACAATGTTTACAGGTTTCGTTTATTATACTTTGATATTTATAAAATATCACTGTGTTATCAGTGCCATTCGCAAATGTAACATCTCGCCACGTCCTCCAAAACATGTCTCTCTTGTAATCATATTTTACGCCTATCATTCTTATAACTTTTTCGAACTCCGTTTCCATTTTGTTAATTTTATCCCAATTCCTCAATTTCTTAGTTAACAGCAAATGTGTTGTTCCATCAAAATCTATCGTATTATTTAATAGAATTTTTATGGAATCATGAAATTGTTTTCTTGTTTCTTGTTGACTTCTATAGCTTGTGATAGAATATAAGTTATATTTTGGAATTTCTAAAATAGGTACTAAACTAGAATCAATTGGAGTACTTGTTGTTATTATAAGTGCTGTAATAAAGAAGGTAAGTAATGAAAACATTGTTTTGAACTGCTAACTACAACAGTAAACTACGATATTAATAACTGTGTGCCTTAAACTTGATGCATACATTCAAATGATTATTGGAATGTTTTGTAAACAATTTTGCGAATTGCATCGAAGTAAGTAAAAAATGAAGGCGTATTAGTATTAGGCTGGCTGGTGGGCGATCCGGACAGAATTGAACGGTGTCCAAACCCAGTGCGTAGAACTTTCAACTATGCCCACAAACATGTCTATAAGTACATAATATGCATTTTTAAAGAGCCAAGCCTACCTGGAATGTAGTTTGAAATATGTCAACATCCACAAAGACATTATTAAACTACTAGTCTTTATCTGCGACTTCATCTACATGTCCAGATATATTAATTGACTGGGATTAAAATGTCTTCTCCATTCCAAACAGTACATCGAATAAAAGTCTCTGACATAAGGAGGAGTTTGCTATTAATTGCCATGCTTGACAGATGCTTGTCATGTTAGGCTTTGATGTTGTTTAAAGAGGGACGCTGTTGCCCATCCCTCGACAATTCAGTTCCCTTAGTTACTTCTTACGACACCCACGCGAAAGGATGGGGTGACCCGTTCTATGCTGGAACCACACGGCAAAAACAATACATGTAATGTCAAATTTCGAGACGATTAATCGTGCCCCAAGAGTTAATAGGTAACAACAACCAAACTCACTTTCACACTTACAAATATACAGTACATATTTTAGTAACCTATACTCGATACTGTAACAGAACATCTAGAATATAATAAAATAACGACTAATAAATTTTCAGAATAACAATGTTCTTTGGTTACCCAAAAGAACATTTTAAATTAAACAATTTGAGCGTTTTAAAAAAGACGGCATAGTCGTGAACTAACATACAAACGAACAAAGAGCATATTAAGAACTAAAGAAGTTACATTCCTTGGCTACCGAATATCAGCTTCTAAAATTCACCAGCCCACTGAGCGAATAGAAGCGCTTAAATATTTCCCGCTTCCTAAATCTGCTCAAGGATTTCGCCGATTCTTCGGTATGTTAAACTTTTATAGAAAGTTTATGCCGAAGGCTGCGAAATATCAAGCACCTTTAAACCGACGTACTTGACGATAATCAGCTCAAAGGTTCCAAACCTGTACCGTGGACTTTTGAATTCGAGGAAGCCTTTAATGAGTGCAAAGCCAGCCTCACTAAGGTTATTTTACTTGCTCATCCTCAGCAAGTTCAATTCCTTGGTATTTTTACTGATGCATCTAGTTCACACATGTGGTGTTCTTCACTAAAAAGTAGGTGACATTTAGCAACCATTAGATTTCTTCAGTAAAAAGCTGAATCCTAAACAGTCATGGCTAACCATTTATAGCTAGCTCTTAGTGGTATATGAGGCAGTGCAACATTTCCGATATGTATTAAATGCACAATACGTCACCAAATATAAGATCATAAGTCTCTAATATATGCTCTTTCTCAGCGTCAAGAGAAATTACTACCCATTCAACTCAATCTTTTATTTCTCAATTCACGACTGATCTAATAAATCTTAAAGGCTCAGATTATATAGTCCCGAGTCGAAGCTATACACGTAGCTTACGATTTTGCTGAGCTAGCCAAATCTCATTATTCAACACCCGGTATATTTGTTTTCAAAGATTTGCCCGACGCTACTCATGCCTTATTAAGAGATGATAGCGTCAGATGATCTCTAAAACCACAATATTCCGGACCGTATCACATTTTGGCCCAAACAACAAAAGTGCAACTCTCTGCATTAATAGTAAGAATGTCACTATGAGTCTTGACCGTGTGAAGTCTGTTCATTTAGAACTGGGCATTACTGATCACAACGCCCCTTTACGTGGCCTAAACCTTCACATCTCATTTTTTTATATCCCGCTCCTATATTTTCTTCACCGGCCTTGCAAGCTAGTGGGCCGGTCACTAAATCGGAAAGACAGGTTTGTTTTAGGGACAGACTTGACCTGTGAGCCTTACTTTCTTTGCTTGGGAGTAGTGTAGCACATTACTGGCCATCATAATACGCTTTTTATATTTTTCTCAAAGATTTCTTGTTCTTAAATTTTTTACTGATTTTCTGTTGTCTTTTGTTTTATATTTCTGTCACGAATAGTCTTTATCATTTTCCTTTCTATGAAGACGAAATAAAAGAGAACTTTATAATCAAGTATTTTAATTATTCACTCGTTTCTCCTAAAGTTATTACATTTTTTCCTCTTTTACATTGCCAATTTAAATAGATTCTTCATAATTTAACTAACAAACAGTATTGAGTGCGACATAAAGCCATTGCGAGCAAGAATCACGTTATTGTGATTTGTCACCAGTGATATCTAATTGAATAAAAATAACCTGGCAATAAATGATTATGAATTAAATGTGGCAACTATCTATGTCATTATTTTTTTGTAATGTCAGTTTTTTTATCATTCATTCACACACAAACACATAATTAGTTCATTCAAGTCAGTCAATTGAATTTTGTTACAGTCGTCGACGAATTATGGCGAGTAATATCGTATTTTTCTACAAAGAAAGATACTTTTTAGTAAAATTGTAAATATTTAAACTCAAAGACATTATGTGACATAAACCAGTGGTTTGAAGTGCTTGTGATTTATTACTTTGTGCGTTTTTGAAGTGTTATTTTTTTCGTGAATTGCTAAATTCCGTGCTCAACACATATCTCTGTAAGTCATAAAATAATTTGATATCTCGCTTGTTAAATAAATTTGTTTAATTTGTACTTATTTCCGTAAATGATCAAGATCAGACAACCACGTAGGTATCAACAGGAAATTGTGACGTTCTGTTCTTTGTCTTATTCATAAACAACGTTTGCCTTTGCCCGGCCCAAGAGTAGTAAAATTTAAAAAATATGATTATAAAATTAACTCTAGTTAACCACCAAATTAATATTTTTTTTTTATTTTATAATTTACCATTCGTCTTATAATTTAGTTTTACTACTGTAAATATATATTTAGTACTATTAAATTTTACTGTAAAAAAATAGGTATTAAAAAGCCTACACCAAATGATGCAAAAACAACTAAAAGAAAAGTCAGAGAGTAGAAAAACTATTTCTACTCTCTGACTTTTTATCATAAAACACAAATTAAATCATATTTGTTATATAAAATATTCTCATTTTTATATCCATGTTAAGGAAATATGAATAAAAGCATATTTTGTATTTTTTAATATCTAAGTATCAACTGCATATTATAGATTTTGTAATTAGGTATTTATATATTTTCATTTAACAATTAATTTTTTTCTAAAGTTCGAATGCGGAATGCTATATAGCATTAAGTGTAACTTTTTTTTTCACATTTGTTGAACAATAAAAAATAAATAAATAATATTAATGATTAGATTTATCAATTTATAATAAATAAAATTAGAAATCTTGGGGAGTGAGGGGCTTCATATTGTTAATCATAGTGGTAATGGAAATTAATGGCCCCATTGCTAGGTGTGTATCTTGTCAGGGCAACCTCGATGTGGTCCTGGCTGGAAACCATAATTTTTTTTAAGTCTTAAGGATGTTTACCTTCTTTAGGTATATCAGCAATATCATACCAAGAACTAGATTTATTAATTACTTATTAATTTGTTACAAAAAGTGAACTAACCAAAGAAACATCATTTTGGTAAATTTTGGGGCACCATTTCTGTAAACATGTGCTTATAGTATACAATGGTGAGACATCATTGTAAGTAAAAAACCAAGAATGAAGTCAATTCATTTAGCCCATCATCATCATTCATCAATTCACTAAAAACCGCATGGTGAATTTACTAAAAATTAACCATGTGGTGGATTTGCTGTAAATGAAATCTCTAGAAATTAAGCAAATAGCAAATTGACTAAAAATTTACTAGGTTGTGAATTCATTAGAATTTAAACACAATGAATTCACTAGAAATTAACCATATAGCAAACTTATTAAAAATTAGCCATGTAATGAATTAACTAGAATTTAAACACAATGAATTCACTAGAAATTAACCATATAGCAAGCTCATTAAAAATTAGCCATGTAATGAATTAACTAGAATTTAAACACAACGAATTCACTAGAAATTAACCATATAGCAAACTCATTAAAAATTAGCCATGTAATGAATTAACTAGAATTTAAACACAATGAATTCACTAGAAATTAACCATATAGCAAACTCATTAAAAATTAGCCATGTAATGAATTAACTAGAATTTAAACACAATGAATTCACTAGGAATTAACCATATAGCAAACTCATTAAAAATTTGCCATGTAATGAATTAACTAGAATTTAAACACAATGAATTTGCTAGAAATTAACCATATAGCAAATTTACTAAAAATTAACCAGGTGGCGAATTCACTAAAATTTAACTACATGATGAATTCACTAGTAATTAACCATTTGGCATGATTGTTTCCAGGTGTGGAAATTCACCTGACCAAATTGACAAAACCCACCTGATCTACTATCAATATACCCTATTGATAGTATTAACATTTCCATTATTAACAAATTTTACTTCTCTAGCATAGATGGCTATCTATGACCCCTATTTTTTGCTTTTTCTTTTTGTATTTTGTGTATATATATATATATATAAACCTTGTCAGATCCACCTTAACACAGTCCTGGTAACTATCATACTGAATTCCAGGTGTATTCATCACGATAAGCTAACTAACCTGTCTCATCATCTCTTACTGGTGCCCGACCAGCATATATCGGCGCAAGGTGTCCGACCAGCATATATCGGCGCAAGCGGGGTAACCATTCCACTATCACCCATAAAAAAACTGTTCCATTATCTATTAAAAAAAACCTTCACGCTGCACTATCACACCTGGATACCATTATGGTTAATTCCTAAAACATTCATCACAATGGGCCAACTGACCTGCTTTCATCCTCGCCTCACTGGTGCCTCGACAGCATTTACTGATAATGTAGGCGAGGTTATCATTCCATTTAAATTAATTAAAAAAAAAATCTTAAGTAGGTACATACACGTGTCATATTCGTCTTATCTCGTATTTACATAGAATAATCTACAGTGTAACAAATACATTGGTTAAAGAATTAAACCATTCTATGTATTGTATCTCTTTCCCCACTTTTTTTTTTATTTAATTTAACCCCCACCTGCTTTATTGGTATATTGGCTGGTGGGCACCAGTGAGGGATGATAGGTGAGGATGAAATTAGGTTAGTTGACCTATCAAGGTTTTGTTTTTGATGGGTGAAAATGGTATGGTAACTCCGCCTGCTCTAACGGGATACGCTAGCGGAGCACCAATGAAGGGTGATCGATGAGAATGAAAACAGGCCAGTTAGCACATCATGATGAATTCAACAGGAATTAACCATGATAGTTTCCAGGGGGAACCGCGAGGAGGTCGACCTGGTTGGGTATATTGCTAGCAATGGGATTCTCAGTCTCCATTACTAACAATCCCTTTCCCCCCGACCTATCACGGTTAATTCAACAAGATTTTTTCCATCTTATACAAAAATAACAAATGAGATGAAAGCGTTAGAGGGCTGGATTTTAGTATTGATGATTCGATTGATTGAAGGCCCCATTGCTAACAAACCTTTTAGCGCTTCTCGTATTCCTCTAGAAACCATAATGTTTAATTCTTGCTGAATTCGTGACGATGGGCCAACTGACCTGCTTTCATCCTCACTGGTCCTAAATCTCTCACTGGTAGCCCGCCAGCGTATATCGCTAGCGCAGACGAGGTTACCATTCCGTTTTCACGCTTTAAAAACTTAAGCTCTAATCACGTTACCATTCCATGTTCATCTCTTAAGAAATCTATAAACACAATTTTGCTTAAAATGCACTGTAAGCGTGACTAGAACTATTTCTACCGTTAGTAATAATGGCGGCCAATCTTCGAGTGTTGGCAGTCACATACGTCCTGTGTAATTGTAGCGGAATTAAACAAAATAGTTCTAATCAAATAATTAGAAATATTTCCTTTTTTTTATACAACTTAGAATGGCAAACAAGCTGACGGCCCACCTGATGGAAAGTGGTAACCGTCGCCTTTCAAACCGAAACACAGCCATGCAAACACAACTTGCAATCAAGCAATCGACTTTTGTACAAAGTCTCCCTCTGGTAAAATAACTAAAATGTCCTAATTTTAGATTACAGATTTTAATACATTTTCTACTATAATTAAGTTTATTTCAATAGAATATAATGAAAAGGTGACCAAGTTTTGTTTCAATCATCACGGAACACTTTAAATGAATTTTGTAACAAATCAAAATATTCTATTTGGAGGGGACGGACGAAATGAAATTAAATTTATTTGCCAGAAATATTGTTGATAAGAAGTTGCTTTTGTCAAGTTTAGAAGAAGTTCGTAAGAAGAATTACGGGGGGGGGGGGAGGGATTGTTAGTAATGGAGACTGAGAATCCCATTGTTAGCAATATACCCAACCAGGTCGACCTCCTGGCGGTTCTCTCTGGAAACTATCATGGTTAATTCCTGATGAATTATTCATGTTGAGCTAACTGGCCTGTTTTCATTCTCATCTATCACCCTTCACTGGTACCTCGCCAGTGTATCCCGTTAGCGCAGGCGGAGTTACCATACCATTTTCACCCATAAAAAAGAAAGAAGAATTACGAACGAGATTTGTCGAGCACGAATGAGTGGAGATGTCGGTAGGGGCCGCCCTAGACGGACGTATGTCGACCAAATAGGCAACGCGCTGAAGAAGGGACAAATTAAAAGTACCCGTAACCAGCGAGCGGGTATGAAAAGATTGATGTAGAGGAAGCGAAAGAAGTCTTTTTTTTGGTAATTGTTGGTCGCGTAAATGGCAGAGCGATCCATCCTCGATATAGGATAGGGGCGATGGGTCAGCTCGAAATATGGGAGATAAAATCAAGAATGAATGTATAGAGACCATTGTAAAGAGGTCTTTTTGATTCTAAGCATTTGATGTTCCATTATTTGCCTGCCCCAATACGGGGCAGGCGTGAAGGATACGTATGTATGTATATGTGTCAAAATATACAAACGATTAATCAGTTTTCATGCGCAGAGACAGGTTATTTACATGTATGCTTTTTTAATGGGCCAGGCTCCATTTTTTTTTCATGGATGATAATGGAATGGTAACCCCGTCTACGCTATCGGTATATACTGACGGGGCACCAGTGAGTGATGATTGGAGAAGGTGAAACGGCAGGTCAGTTAGCCCCTCGTGATGAATTCAACGATAAATTAGGCACGATGGTTTCCAGGGGGCACCGCGTGGAAGTCAACCTGGTAAGATATAATGATAGCAATGGGGACTAACTTCCCCATTACTAACAATCTCTTCCTCCCGGCCAGGCTCCGTTACCCGTCACAGATAATACTATTAAATATTCTTTAATAAGCTAATACATCTCACATAAATAAAAACGATAGGTAGGTAGGTCCAAGCGACCTGATTTCATAAAAAATCACAATATGGCGTTAAACTTTTGGCCACCATCCATATTTTCTCTTGAAGATTACGTCTCCTCAAAGTATGTTGGGTCGATGAACTCATGTCTTTTTTTTTTATTGCATGATAATGGAATGGTATCCCCGCCTGCGCTATCGGTATACACTGGCGATGCACCAGTGAAGGATGATAGGTGAGAATGAAGTAGGTCAGTTAGCCTAC